ACGCCCCAGAGTTAGTAAACTGTGCCTCAGCATTCTACTATCCAAGCCTACTGGATAAATTCAAATAATGCTTGGAAAAAGCAGGCAACCCGTAAGAGTAGGTTCATAGCCTTAGACTATCGGCTTGGCTTAGTCCATGGCGCGCACGTTAAAAGGATGCACTTATAGGTCAGAGAATCCTACTCGGTAGCCGAGGCACGGATATCGTCGCGTATCTGGTAGGCGTTTCTAGAGAGGACGCACAGCACGCAAGACCTATAAACACCAAGATGCATACAACTAATTCTTTGTGTATCTACAAGTAATTGGGTACCTTGGCGAATGAGTCTTACAGTTTCTATGATATCTTGCAGAAGTATACAGCTTTCAGACTGCTCGAAAACTTCCACGCATACTTCTGCCTATAGGGGTCGACTAGGAAAATCAGGGGGCCAAATACAAAAAATGGGGCCGAATATGATTCTCCTAAGGATTCGCTGCTGAGCGTTTATTTTGGGTGCTCCAGCGAACCAAGTCGTTTCATGATTGTCAGCTGCATCTTACTCGGCCCCATCAACGACTTTAAACTTCAGCCCGCTCTCCTCTGACTGGATAGGAATCGGTATCCAACATTTTGAATCCTCCTTCTTGTTGAGGATGATCCCTTCCCAATCCTGCGCGGTGGAAACAGTCAGCAACTGCCCGACATTCGATCGCCAACCCTAACAATAACTCGGTGACGTACCTTCAACCCCCCATACTTCCAGCTCCACAACGTCTTCGGATTACCAACCGTTCCACTTGGCGCCCAACGCAACCAATAATCCCGCCCAGAGCTGACCCCTCGTTGCCAAGCAACAGCCTGATCAAGCTGTAACGTCACGCGCCGGCTGACTTCTTGTCCGGGAAACAGCTCAATCCATCCCTCAGCCTCGCTGACAACATAAGTCTGCGCCGCTGCGTAATGGCTATCGCTCGAATCGATGAACCGCCCTTTTGCATCTCTTGGCCGCCGTAAACTCACATTGCGCCATTCAAAGGGAAGGCGATGTTCAGGGAGGTTCTCAGGCGAAGCAAAGATCTGGTACTGGCCCCAGTACACTGCGTTCTCGGATAGTGGGCCTCCAGCTTTAGGACCAAGCAGGTGTAGAACGATTGGCTGGCTAGGTACAAATTCAGGAGTCGTTGTGTAGCATAGCGTCGCCGTGAAATCCAAGGTTCCATCCCTGAGAGACAGAGTGCTGGCATCCGAGAGTCGAAGCGTGAGGCGAGGACACACGGCACTGTACACAATATCAGATCGGAGGAACCCCTTTCATAGACACATAATAGACACCCGAGATCAGGTAGAGAATAAGGAAGCGCCGGTAGAGAGAACATACAGTTTCTCCTCCTGCAGCGCGCTCTTCTGGCTCCGATACTCCTCCAACGCACGTCGATTCTCCGTCTCCCCCGCTTCATGCCGAAGAGACTCTTCATCACGCTGTACAATCCTCGTCGACGGTCTTTCAGGCCAAGGGGTTTGCAGGATTGCGGGAATTGAGGGCACCATCGTGTAGAGGGCAGTATTGATCTTAGGAGCTTGACTTAGCCCACAGTATCGGTGTTAGGTATACGTCGTAAAAGCTTAAGACTTGAAAAATTCCGTTCAACAAATATGTTGTGTTCCAAAGATAAGGAAAACGAATAATCTTGCTGTGTCGTGCTAGGCAGGATATATCACTGTGGCACGTTGGGTGCGGGGCGCTGATTAGTCAGATTCTACGTCATCTAACCTGTTCTTGGGTTGGTGGCTGGCGCCACACGAGTCTGTGGGTGTAGGATGCTGGACGAGAAGAAAGGCAGTCCATCTTAGGCAATAGAATAGCACCTTCTAACGCATTACCCACAGTTGATTGTAACATTAATCGATGGTCCATGGAGCTGGTTGATGACTTAATGGCATGCCAGCCTCATCTCACATAGACAGGCACGTTGTTACCTGTTAGTAACCCGTAAATGAATACAGGATTGGAAATTGTAGCTAGGCATACCAAGAGGCTGTGCTGCCGAAACCCGGTCCACAATCTGGTATGATCTATGATTCTCGCCCTTTGAAGGGTCCATGGCGAATGCTCCGCTTGATGTCAGAGTAGCCCTGGAAGTATCCATAGTTAAGCACGCTGGCTCCGTCATGCTGATAGCTCATGTTTTCTTGCATGACGGCAAGAAGATTGTCCATCAAAAAGGCTGGCGGTCTTGGGGACGAGAAATTGCCATACGCCGGATGGAACGCCAACGGATAGAACGTAAAGTCCCGCGCTCCGTGGAACTCCCGGAGCACCATGTTGCGATCAGCGAGGAGACAGCGCGCCAGCTTGTTGTAGGGATCAGGCGAACGACCATCAAGACAGTTAATGTCGACAGCCAGCGCGTACGACACGGTATCGATGCTATCGAGGACGTACTTTTGCTCGAGCTCCGCTCGAAGCTCGTATAAGCCGCCGGTGAACAGGTCCTGGTAATCGTAGCGGCTGGGGGGGATCCCTCTGGCTTCTGGCACCTCCCCATCGAGCCTTTCGTCGTAAACAAAGATGCTGTCTTCAGCGTCCATGCCCTCTTCGTCAGACGCTGAATCTTCTTCAACCGCGCGGAGACGAGTCTCTTTCGGCACAGACCGTAACTGCTCAGTTACCTCAATCTTGATGTTGGCGCCATAGTCGTACGCATGGAAGGCTGGCTGGTTCTCCGCCCAGAACGTATCCTGTGTGCTATGTTGTACGTAGTCTGACCACGCTTGCATGAATTTCTCCTGGAACGTTGTCCATTTGTTGGACGTGATCTTCTGCGTATGCGGGCCATCTAGCTTCCAAGACGGCTCTACACCCTCTCCTAACAGCTCCCCGGTAAGGAAGATCTGTTTAATGTACGAGGCGAGGAATTGGGCGCGGTGGGACTGTAGGGCGCTGGATAGAGACGATTTCTCGCGACGTTTTTTACGCTCGCTCCGGGACAGAAGCTCTTCCGGCGCGTTGGCGATGGGGTGCATGACGATATACCATGCCTCCCTTGTGGCAGCCGTTGCCAACCGGAAAGTCCGGTGTTCCAAATCGAACGAGAGTCCGTGAACGTGCTTAGCACTATACGACGCCCGCCAATTTTTGAAACTAATAGTGATATTATCGAAGAACCTGCTAGATGGCTGCGTAATCGGCCGAAGCGGTCGTCCGATGATGATAAGAAGGTCGAGAAAGAAGGAGTGGATGTATTCGTCGTCGGGTGCGGCGGCTCTAGAACCGGCTTTCTTGCTTCCATAGTCAATCGTGTATCGTCGTTGTAGCATGTCAATGGCCTGGCTGCCATCGAACGAGATACGCTTGGTCGCAGCAACAAAGTCCTGTGCTTCACGCTCTTAGTCACTCACTTGCGCCCCAGCTGCACCCACACACGTACCTTGAAACTTATGATCTCCTTTAGCATGGTCAATCTTCCACGAGTATTGATCAAGCGCCACTACTATTTGCTCTTCGTCGCCGAAACTGCCGTCGCAGTCGTCCTCCGGATGTCGAGATGCTGCGTCATCGTGGAGACTGTCCTCCTCTTCAGAAGCCTCGTCTGAACTGCCGTCAACCTCTAGATAAGGTACTGCCTGTTTCTCAAGGGTAATAGACGGTGAGTTCGGCCACAGATGGCTGTCGTCGACAGGGCTGAAATTCAAGAACTGTTCGTCAAAATCTCCAAAATCCATCTTGTTACGATAGCAAGATAAAAACGCTACCCTAACACAAGAGAGCGGAATCAGTCGTATGCGAAAATTTGTAGTAGGGATTCGTCTTGTTGCCCCCAGGGGCGAGCCGCTGGGACGCCATTAAAGTTTGGTGCGTAAACATATCACACAACACTCATTCGCCAGCTTCTCCAGTGTGATGATAGTGACATCGTATTTTCGTCAAGGTTTCAAACTATAGGAAATTGCTATGGCCTACTCGGAGCACCTGTTGCCCGCTTTCTCCAATGCCCTGGGCCTCCACTTACATGGGTTGCTTGAGATCTTTCGTCGCCCGTTGGTGGACCAGTGCTGTGAGAAGAAGACGGCTGGATTAGTTGGTCCCTCTGCAGAGGAGCACTTTGCTTGCTGCGGTGTAACTTTCGAAGATCGTTCAGCGTGCTGGTAGTGATTTCTGCTGGATCATGCAGCTGTCGCACCGCTTGAAGCTGGGTTCTTGAATTCGACCTACGTATCGGTCCGTGCATATTGCTTGTACCGGGCCGATCCTCTTCAACAGATCCGTGCGTGGTTGATCTCTTACAGTGTTCGTCCACATAATCTCCGCAAGCTTCCAGAGGCGAGACAGGGAGGCTCGCGCGCATGGGAGTGGGAAAGGGCAAATCCCCTAGCAAGGCTTCAAACTTCGTGCGCTCTGCATCCACTAGCTCGACTGTCGATGGTTCCCACTCCTTGTGGGGGCGAGCTAAAGCTTCAATGCACTGTTCAACAGCCCACCGAAAGAGGATCGGCTGCATCATCGCAGACAGCTTGTCTACAGCGTCAGCTGACCAAAGTGCGGGGTTTTTAGCGACTTCTGGGATGCGGTAGATCAGGTCGCACGCTGCTTGAGCGATGGTAGACGCAGACTTCGAGCTGATCTCTTGAGGATCTTCCGTATTAAATCGGACCATGCATTTGTGCTGTAGGTTTGGCCCAGCAAAGTCTACCACAATAGACAATAATCTTCTCCACACAGCATGCCTAAAGCGTGTCGTGTAAGCGTTGCCCTGTTCGCTTGGGTATTCGTGCAGATAATGATCCGTGGTTGTGCTTGTGAACGCCTTGACGTTTGTTTGGACGTATCTCAGAAGCTGCTCCTGGAGCACTTTAGACTTCTCTTCAGCATCTTTGCCATACTTCTTCTGCAGGCCGGGGAGAAAGTCTTTCCGCAGAGCGGGCTTGTTGTTGTCACGATCTGCGACTTTGGTAGGCTCTTGGCTCATCCACTGCCCAACATGAGCTATCACAATGCTCATAAGCTTTCCTTCTTGCTTTGTAGTCCTGAGTAGTGCCTGAATATCGACGAAGCGACGTGTTGGCGCTAAGAGGACAAAGTTGTAAAAACTGTGGTATGCATCGTCGCTGATGGCCGAAAGGAAATCTCGTGGACGAGTACTCGAGGGACCAGGATCTGTGTCTGACTCCAAACTAGGGAAGAATAGACCCTGTACATCTTCCCGGCTACGCGTTTGCGGAAGACCTGCTAGCTTATTCCAATTGCTCAATTGGACATCAAAGCTGAATTGGCTGCGGATCTGAGAAATCACTTCAATAACCTGGTCAAATGCGGAGAACCAAAACTATATAGTCCAACGGTTAGAATCAATCGAAGATACAACTGGATACACAGTCCACTTACATCGTCTATCCTGCAGCTTGCCATCCATTCAAAAGTAGAGATAGTAAACGTAGCTTGCCCAATCGGGAATTGACACCACCTTGTGATCCTTGGGTTCCAATTCGTGTTTTTCCACAAAGTGGCCAGCCGCCGCACTGGGAACTTTACCCGGCCGCTAAGCCCAAGATGCTGTAGCATTTGCTTCTCTACTACTGTGTTCGAGTCCTGGAACAGCCTAGGATCCTTGGAGGACAATGTTGCGAGCTCCGTCCATATCTGGCCGTGGTTGTCTGGCAAAATAGTGTCTTCCCGATTCGCTCGTAGCTTGATGTGCAGATGTGCAGGTAGCGCGTCTGTGATTGGGGTTAGCTCGCCTTGGCTAGCGTGTGTAGGGGGTGGTACCTTTATCGTAAACGTCGCACGCCCACCATCGCTCCGATTGCGACAACTTTAAACACTGCAGATACTCTTTGAACGCTTCCACCCGGTGGTTGCCCGCCATGAGCTCTGCCTTCTCTCCGACAACGCTACTCCAGTCTTCGAACGAAAGCAATTCCACATCAGCATCGCAGGCATTCTCACTCGCACCATCAGCACCTTCAACCTGGCGCCTCTTCTGTTGGAGATGACCCAACATTTTCTGTACTTGCGCTTTGGTGCAAGCGACCTGCAACCGATGGCTTACATCTCGCCGAAGGACTCCTAGTTCTTTGAAGATCTGGCAAAGGCGACGCTTGTAGGCTTCGTTAATGGGTCTGTTCGTGCCGATACTCTACTTTGAGGTGAGTGTGTCGATTGTAAATTTGGCGGTGACCAGGCGGTACTGCTCAGCTTCGTCGTAGACGGACTCTACCTCCTATAAGAGTGTACGCGGCTTCTTCCTCCCTTTAGCTGGATTAGCTGGATCGTTAGCGAGCTTGCGTTTTATAGCAACCGTATAGCAGAATATAGGGTAGAGATTAGGGAGAGTAGGGGTAGAGGTCTGCTGTAGAGTTGTAAGTAGCTAGGCTTTTAAGAAAAAAAGTTATTGTTTATAAAGCTATACTGCCAGTATAGACCGTATACTCCTAGAGGTAAGCGTCCTTTGTACTCTTTACAGAGCTTTAACTAGCCTTACTTCTAGGAGCTAACTTAATTCCTGCCTCTAGAGGTAACCTAACTCTACGTTAGTTATATAGTTTATAGATATATTATATATATATATTACCTACTTAGCGTAAATTATAAATTTATACTTACCTTTACTACTTATTATTTTTAAAACTTTAATAACTTATTTTACTATTATACTACTTTAAATTATACTATAGAAAGTTTACTATACTATAATAATTATAACTAGAAATTGTAAGCTAAATACTATTACAACTAAGTAGCTAAAGAAAGAATTAGCTACTAAAGCTATATAAAAGACTACTATAAGAAAAATAATAAGTAAAAAGAAAATACTAGTTAGAAAAAAGTACTAATTTAAGTAAAGTAGTATATTATTTTATTTTTTAATTATAGATAAGTACTAACTATACTTAGCTATAGCTTTAAGAAATATTAAAAAGTAATAAAAGTCTACTTAGCTTTTTATTTATAAGTTACTATTTCTTTACTTTAATTATAAGATTACTAACACTTTACTAAGAAGTATAAGTATATATTATTATAAAACTATATCTAAAGCCTTTTAAGAAGTAACTTAGTTATTTCTTATTAGTTATTTTAAAGTTATAGTTAATATATTTTTACTACTATTAGTAGTCTAGTACTATACTTACTATAAAAGGTTATAATATAAATACTATTTATACTAAGTAGGTTACTATTTAGTAAAAGAACTTAGTCTTAGTAAAGAACTACTATAGTAAGTTTATTATATTAAAATTCTAAGTAAATAACTAGAATTATATAATTAGCTTTTCTTTTTAAAGAATAGTTAGATCTATATCTTAAATAGAACCTTATGTAAGCTATAATAAATTAATATAATAACTGCTATTTCTAATATAATACTTACCTGTATACTAACTTATAAAATATAAAATTCTAATTTTTAAAAGTATTTTAGAGTAGATATATATTAGCTATAAGTTTTATTTTAACTAGGCTATACCACTTAAAGATCTAGTAGTTCTAAATAGAATTACTAAAAAATAAATAGTAAATATAGCTTAATAGTTTTTTTTTTTCTTTTTAAAACTTACTTCTAAGCTCTAAAAATAAAATAGTAGGCTATAGCCTTATATTATATATTTTATTTATAAGTTACTTTAGTAAGTAAATTATAATATTACTACTAGACTTTTAGTTTTAATAGTATAGTGCTTAAAAAAACTACCTTTAACTTTAGCTAGCTTTATATAACTTTTACTATAAGCTTAAGCTAACTAGTAAAAGCTATTTAAAAACTAAGCCTAGGCTTAAACTCTAGATCTTAAAAATTATCTTATTAATTAAAGGTTTTATTTTAACTAGACTATACTACTAAAAAGTCTAGTAATTCTATATAAAAGTACTAGAAATAAAATAGTAAATAAAGCTTAATAATATAATATTACTTAATATTTACCTAGAGTTTTTATAAATCTAACCTAACTCTAACCTAATACTAGTATTAGAATATTAAGTTAAGAATAAAATAAAATAAGGATATATTAAGTTAAAATTAAGTAGAAGTTAAGTTATACTTATATAAGATTTTACTTTTACTTAACTCTAACTTATTTATAATAGGCTAGGCCTAGTAGAACCTTAGTAAGTAAAGCCTTAAAGCTTAGTAACTCTAATTACTAATACCTACTCTTAGCTAGCCTACTAGAAATAGCTAGTATACTACTAGAAGAACTATAAATAGAAAAAAGCTAGTACTATAAATTCTTAGTAAATTTAATTAATTAATACTAGTAACTACTTTTAGAGTTAGCTTCTTATACTATTTACTAGTATACTTACTCTACTTTTAAAATATATTAATTTAATAAGTATAAAAACTTTAAAGTCTAGTACTAGCTATACTATACTAAATATTATAATTATATTACTCTATATACCTAATCTTTATATTATATAATTTTAAATTTCTTTATTAATTAGGTTTAAGTTCTTAATAAGAAGCTTATAGGTTTAGATATTATATACTATTTTACTAAATAGGTACCTATTTTAAAAATCTCTAAGATAGATAATTATTAACTAAAATTTTATAGATATTATATATCTAATAAGACAAAATTAGAAAGATACTTAAGACTAAACTTATTAAAAAGTAAGATAAAAAAATAATAATAAATAAAATATATTAATTAATATATTATATTAATTATTATATATATTTGTTTTTAATTCTTTCTTAAAAAAGACTATATTAATTTAAAATTCTTACTAAAGAAAGACTAGTTTTTTATTATTCTCTATTCTAACCTTTACTTAGATTTACTAAATCTAAATAGTTTTTTTTACTTTAAAAGGTATAATAACTACTTTAAATAATTTAGATATAATAAAGTACTAGTAAGAAAATTTACTAAGCTATTATAGTTTAATTACTAATTTTTAGCTAGACCTAGCTTAGTTTACTCTATACTAAGAACTCTAGTTAAGAAATATCTTAAAATAGAATACTACTTAAATAGATTAATTATAGTAATAGAAAATTAAGTTATTATTATTTTAGAATTAAATACTATTTATTTACTATAAATTTTAAATTTTATCTTTATTAATAGTAAAATATCTTTTAAATTAGTTTTTAAATTAACTTTAGGATAATAAAAAGTTTTAAGATATAGTGTAGTACCTAGAATTAGAATTAAAATTTATAATAATTTTTAAACTTTTCTTTTCTTATTATTCTAACTACTAATTTAGTTTTAATATTTATATTTTATTAAAAAGTTTAAATCTATTTTTGCTTTATAATCTATTAATTATAATAGTATTACTTAGTTAAACTTATATTAACTAAATATTATATTAATATATATACTTTTTATTATTAGTATTAATAAATATATACTTATATTATACTAGTATATAAGTTTATTTATTAAATTCTATAATATAGTACTATATATTTATATTAATTTTATTTTTCTAACTACTTCTTGTGTTTTCTTCTTGTTCTTGGAAAAGAAATTTTTTAAACACTACCTCGCTTCGCGGCTACACGCTAAGGCACTGTAACAAAAACACTTCTTGGTCCTAGACCTTATACCTCTATCTACACTTGTATGTTGTTTATAATACTTTAAAGCTTCTAAACTATCTATACCTTCTTAACAAAGTCTAAGCTTATTAAGCTGTCTTTCTCTGAATACAAGTGTTAATATTTGTTTAAAGTATGTCGCGAAGACTACACGATCCTTACGAGACACTTCATAACCGTCCAAAGTGGGGATTCGTTATTTATCGATGCGACTACCGTAACGACGAATCCTGGAAGGCCTTTATAGACAAGTGGTCAGACCGTGTAAAGCAATGGCTTCTTCACAAGAATGCAAGCCATCTTGTACAAACACTTGAGTTCACAGTCAAGGAGGATCCCGCTGTTCTCGATGGTGCAACTGTAGAAGATGTGCAAGGGCTATTCACAACGTGGACTACATCAGAAGAAGCTACTGCAGAGCAACGTGCTGCTTGGGACAACAATGTGGGAAATTCTGCTAGGCACTACTTCTGCATACACGTGGATGCCCAGTCGCTTGATGGGTGTTTACGATATGAGTCGCTTCCAGAAGATACGCAAAGGAAATATATCTTCTCGAACCGTGACCCGTCTCTTGGACAGGCCGCATACGTCAATATCGTTGAGAAGTTTCAGGAGGTTATCAGGCTTCCGGGATCGTCAGACAACGGTGGGAATAACGACGAAGAAGATGATGAAGACGAAGATGATGAAGTAATCTCAATCAAGATGCACATGCCGTTCGTTCTGCCAGATGCTTACATAGCTCTTTCCAAGATGCCCAACCTGCTCCAGAGCTGGGCTCAAAATTGCGAGGAAGATGGCGTCTGCCTATACTAGGATAACACTTATGTATTTTCTGTTGACTTTCCTCTTGAACTTCAACGTAATTGTTCGTACCAAGCAACCCGCGATGCCCATTCGAATATCAAGTGTTGTCTGATTCAAAAGGCAGAGCGAACTAACAGGAAGAAACATCGAACTCTAGACTGCGAACGAATTGTGTGTTCAGCGTTCAGCGGGAGTTTCCTGACAACTATTTGAAACGACGGGAAACACCAGCAAGTCTGGTGTTGCACTGATTTCTCTTTACTTGTGACATTCAGCTTGAGTTTACTACGTCCAACTTGTGCGTAGAGTCGAACGCATGTCGTATGGTCTGCAGCATCTACACTCTTTTAAGCAAGTTAGCTAATTGAAGCAACGCATTGAAGAGACTTCTGCGGTGAGCCCTAGATATATCACTACATTAGCTGTCATTGTCAGAGAAACGGCGAAGTGTAGTTTTTAGGAAAGCAATTAAGATCCTTTAGTTTTCTTTGTATTCTACACTGCTTTCTAGAAATGAGTCGAAAGTTTGGGCGACAAAGATGGGGGGCTGAGCGTGTCGATATTGTTTACGCGATGTGATCGTCGCGGAAGACAGATACTCTAGACAGGGCACCGGCAGGCTTCCACCCCTCGGCATGCTAACAAATAGCGGCATGATGCTGGTTATCGTTTTCTGAATTCTGGGTTGCCCCAAAGCCGATAAAGGACTTCAGTACACCATTTGCGAAGTTGGTGTAGGGGATGAGCGTGAAGAATTAGGACGGCGACGCGAGAGAAGCGAGAGAGGCGTTTTCTTTCGAGTACTTGACTAAAACAAGTCGAGAAAAGCAGTTGGTTTCATGGGTGGTATGAGTGGAATAGGACGCAAGAATTACTAAATGCATTTCCCAAGCGCTCTTATCGTCGCGATCATCTGAACAGGTTCACAACAGGTACTGTTCTCCGGTGAGAGATGATTTGACTTCGATATTTCACCAAGGTACTTAAAACCTCGCTGCGAATATTCAAGGCTAATACAAACTACTGCTTGTTACACACCCTAATAGACAAAAGTAGTGCAATTAAGGTAGGCGAAAAGGATCAGTAGGTAGCATATGTTATGCTTTTTTTTACGGCACGTGTTAACCTGGATTGATATTAGTACAGATATTATGAGGCTTATCGTCAGCACTGAAATCATCGAGACTCAGTTGTTTCAAATTTTTTCCCACCTATTACGATGGATGAAGGGAACTGAAATAACCTCAATTTATGTCGGTATTATTTCTCTCCGCTCTTGCTAGTTCGGTTATCCCTACTACTTCCCAAATGTGACTCGCCAGGACAGAAAGCAAACACGAACATTACACAAGAGCATTGCTAATAACACTATTAACTTGTGCCTTAAGACCTGTATCTTCTCTCTTTATAGCGTTTACCGCAGTTCTTCAAAGAGGCCTACCTCTGTCAACTACAGGCCCTTTCGCAGCTGCTATTGGAACAAATCACTGCGTCCAGCAAGGAATCAAGCGCCATCCTCGAAAATGTGGAGGGTTGGAAGATTCAACTCAGTCTTTTGAATTTCTACTTCCATCTGCAGAACTATTAAAGCATTATCGCGCACATGAAAACCGTCCAAGTCTTGTATGGGAATAGGACTAACATACAGGACTGATATAGAGAGCAGATTCTTTCTGATTCATTCGGCGTTGATTCGGCGCATTACGCGATGCTACCCTGCCACAAGATCGTCCTTATATATACTCAATCGATACAATACCAAACAGTTTCACCGCCTATTTATTCTTGAACCAAAGCCCTTCCGTCTCTCTTTGATCACTTCATAACTTCAATTGAGCTCAAACTGCCATGGTATCCCAATACAAAGGAGGGCTGGTCTTTGGGCGAGATCTCACACCTCTTCCAACTCCACTTCATACTGCTGTTGCTGACTCGCCTCATATCCTTATCGTGGGCGGCGGCGTCATCGGCCTTGTAAACGCATGGACACTCCTCGACCACGGATACCGGGTCACGATTCTCGCCAAAGAATGGGCCTCATACGGCAAAACCCAACGCCTGACATCTCAAATCGCAGGTGCGCTCTGGGAATTCCCACCAGCGGTCTGCGGGCAGCACACCGATGCCATATCCCTCCAACACTCGAAGCGATGGTGCATGGTCGCCTATCATATCTGGGATGCTATGGCAGCTTCCGAATCTTTAGCCAAGCTCTCAGGAGTCCAGATGAAAGCTGCCGATGTTTTCTTACCCGTCCCCATCGAGGAAGATCCTGCTCAGATGTCAAAGATGCTGGATATCATGTCCAATGGTGTCCGAGGATTCAGGCGTGACCCAGCTATCATCAAAGAGAGGCGGGTTAACCCTACCTACGGCGCTGTTGACGCGTATGAGCATCTTGCACCTATTATCGACACGGATGTCTGCATGGCATTCCTGAAAGAACTCGTTGCTGCCAAGGGTGCCAGGCTGGTTACACGGGCCATTGCCGGCGATCTCTTCGACCAAGAAGCCTCGCTACGTACCGAATTCTCTGCCGACGTCCTAGTAAATAGCACTGGCCTCGCAGGCACCGAACTTGCCGGCGATGCGTCTTGCTACCCAATCCGTGGCGGATTGATCCGCGTCATCAACGATGGAAGCGATTTTCCGAAACTGGACCATGCCCTCACCATTCCAGCAAACACGACACACGTTTTGAGTGAGATTGTGTTTCTCGTCCCTCGCAGCGACAACATCCTACTTATCGGTGGTATCGCTGAGTCGCATGAGAACACACTTGATCTAACGCTTGAATCTCCTGTCATAAAGCGCATGCGTGCGCGCTGCGAAGCATTTTTTCCTGATCTCGTGAAAGCAAGATTGGATAGCGAGTATCCATTCGCACAGGGCCTGCGGCCCTTCCGCCAACGTAATGTACGGGTGGAGCGTGAACTACGTATACACTCCAAAGGGGTAGACACGGCAACTCCAGTAAGCCGTATCGTGCACAGCTACGGTCAAGGCGGAGCCGGCTGGTCGCTTTCATTTGGCTGCGCCGGCGACGTCCTCGCTTTAGTGGAGGAGGCACTGCTTGACATCCCCGCCCGGCCAATGATGTTGGAAATTGTGGCACCGAGTGAGCCTGTGTCGTTCGAGCTCCCCGCGCAGGTGTTGCAGACATTTGAAAGTAAAATACTCAAATCCCGAGTCTGAGCGCTTCTGTTGATTGTGTGTTTTGTGTGTTTCCTTTACAAATATGGGGAAGTACAAAGTTCATTTAATGGTATAGAAAAGACTGGACTATTTATTGTCACCTTATATCCGACTTCATGATCGAGTTATCCGCGTTCAAATCATGGTCGAGAATATGCGTTTTGACTCCCTACTATGCGACTTTTGATGTGATAGGTTTGTATAGCTTAATATACTACAATTTCACTCTGGTAGTAAGATGATATCAAAAGCGACTTGGGACGGAGATGACACCATATCGCAACGAGTGATAAACCCATGTCCCTCTTACAATCGAAGTCGCCATACCAGCCCTGTAGTAAACGATTTGGAAATACAACGATGTCATCCATGCCTCACACAATAGACTGTTGTTTGTTAGCTGACTAAGTCTCCGTTGGTTTAACGTATCGTGTATGCTCGCTGCCTAACTGTCACACATCTCGACGGTAATATGGAGACGTATTGTTTTCTGGCTAGATTCTTTGGGCCAGTGCAGACTTTGTGCAGTCGCTGTTCCGGTGCGAGCAGATCTCGCGTAGAAGTTTCTGAATGCAGATAGTGTTTCTAATCTTGGTAAACATCTCATCGCCGGCCGAGTCCACTTATAGAAATATAATTTCCATTCCTGCACCATGTCTAGTTAATGGTGTTTCCCCATGTTATTTTAGGTCGCAAGCATACACGATCACAATTCAACATGCGTTTCGAGCTCGTCCTGACTTTACTCACGACGTCGGTCTCAAATGATTGATTTAGACGCGTATCATTTTCCCTTACATTAGTATCGTCGAATTGTACACGTAGTATACGATTATGGGCACAGAAACCTACTCACAAATACATAATGTAGGTACGGCGCATCGAGAGAGATGAAACAACGAATAGTGCCTGGCGGCGCGTTCGGGCGGGACATCCGATGACTTGTGCAACAAAATCCAACAACCAGAACGATTCTCTCCAGTCGAACAGGCTGAAAAAGCGTTGATTTGGGGTACAAGAAACTGCAGATGCCTGCTCTCCGTCTCCGGTATTCCTCAGGAGTGCTTCAACCAAGCAAATTTCCATCTCTGTCCCATCGGATGCTGATATAGGGAGTTGTAGCGATAGACTACTGAAGCTAGTCCTGCACAGACTTTTTTCCGTCATGGGGTTCTCACACATTTGTCCTTTTCAAGGCCTCACTAGACCGTCATCCTGAACCGAGAATTTCAGCTCCTGCACCGTTATTAACACCTTGCCCGTCTGCTATGGCTCATTTAGCATCAAGTTCAGCCTCACTGAAGAGGCAAAAAACCGGATGCACTGATCTCGTAGAGATGGGTTTGCGAATTATTAACCGTGCTAGACTATCTGAACCCGGATCTTGTCATGAGGTGCTCGATCTCTAGCCGTCAAGATTTCGTGTTTAAATGCTGGAGTTGTCAAAGCGCCTAACAACAAAATTGCATATACCACTCAGTCTAGATTTGCAATAGTAGTTTTGCATAGGATTTTCACGGCCTCAAGTTTGTTAGAATGCAGACATATTCAGTGTTACAGTTCTCATGCTTTCTGTCCATCTCGAAAAGATTAGAGAATTATGTAAGGAGCTTTTGAAACTTATTGGGAGAACTTCAATTAGAGCTCTCTATCCCATCATTCACGCAGTTTCCTCCTTGAGACGGCCATTGGCTTGCAAGAATCAAGAACCGAGTCACGCGGTAGTCGTCTCTCTTTCACTCTTTCTCCCCCTCTTCATTGTCCAAAATACAATCTCGCCCATCTCCCCCTGTAACTGCTGCCAATCTTCGTCTGGCAAATCAGTTTTGGGAACAACAGGATTTCTTTTCACCAGCTCAAACCCATGTTTTTCATACAGAGGCTTACCCAGCGGCGTCGCATCGAGCCAAAATTCGACATCAAGTTCGTCAGCTTTCTCTATGCCCCATGTCAGAAGAGTAGAGCCAACGCCTCTACTACGATATGAAGGGTGCGTGAACAAAATGTTGAGGACTTCTCAAGAGTTAGTGATTCGTCACATCAAGTTGTTGAGCAGTATGAAGTTCCGGCTGCACGTACAGATATGAGGCTTTTGAGCTCCGTTTCTCCGCGGTTCATCTAGTTGTTCCAACGCTTGCCCAACAAACTCCCGAGTGCTGTTCTCAGGATACCAGTCTACAACCTACTTATTGGATATACCCAGTTAGCTTGGATCGTTGTTTGAAGTATCTCAAGATCATAAATTTCCTCGTACCTCTTCTTCTTCATGCTGGAACGGATCTTCCTTATAGATCTTATACCAAGCCGCACCGACAATCTTATTCTCTGCTCCCTCATCCACTACCTTCAGCCAATGCGCATCAATTTCGTGCTCATGCCACTTCCATTGTAGTGACGCAGCCTTATTGATGGAATCTAGGCGTCCGGATTCGTATACGGGACAAAAGAGCCTGAAGAATGGTTGGAACGGGTTTTCATGCGCGATCCACTGACAGGCCATGACATCTTCAAAATCAGCACGGTCTCGGACGTATGTGAGACGGAACGGCATGGCGGAGGGCTGTAACGCGTTATAGTGGGTGGCGGTCAGTTTTTGTCCTAGGGACAGAAAGCACTGATGAAAGTCAGACCCGAGATTCTACGCTCAATCAATTAACCACCAATGGAGAGTGTCGAAATCAATCAGTTTGCACGCGAAATTTGTGGCCACGACTCATATTTCAACGACAAGCACAACATGCATTTACAGACTATCTCGGTCGCAAGCGAGATGTGCACCTCATCTCTTGAAGCTCTGCCGTGAATTGACTAACGAACTTCGGCTCAGCCGACCCGTCTCACATATTCCGGCTGTTGCGTGAACTGCCGGTGTCATTGGCTCGTCCACCGACCCTGACGGATAAACCTGCTTGAAAATAAACATACCGTATGATTCTAGATAGTTGGGCTTTGGTTAATTGAAGCGAAGAGTAGTGGTTGAGTTTTTACCGTGGCACAGCGTGGCTAACTATGAACTCTGTGCCACTCGCTCTGGATCATGCAGATTGCGACCCAGAACGCTGGAAAACGGTGGCCTATCTCACCTGACATCCTCAGGCCGAGATATTCGTAGACACGGGAGCGGAACGAGGGGGTGAGCCGTGTGGGTCTGAACAGGGAAGCTTTTTTACGCGCTACTGTGGTATCAGGGAGTAGAGTGGAGAATGCGGTCTGTGCTCGCGGATATTAGAACAGAAGCGCGGGTTTCCCAACCAGCAGCGATGCTGTACAGGTTTGTGTTCGCGATCCTATCCACGCTGCAGGTCCCACTGCGCTACGATCAGGAACCGGTACGGACATGTGCTGATCGTGTTATGATCATCCGGGAACCTGACGGAAGAAATCGACGATATTCTATTGTATCACACAAGCTCCTTGTGTCAATGCGAAACTACACAGTAAGACTAAATCACATAATCTGATTTCCAATTATGGCCAATCAGGTCTCCTTGTAACAGAACATGTACCAATCTTCTACGAATAACCGAATGTGCAGGTGCAATGAAGTCCAGCGCGTACAATTATCTAAATGTAGACCAAAAAGCAGAAATCTTTACAATTCAAGGCTCTTCGGCTGAATGACAGCTCTAAAGTAGGGGTTGTAGATGATGCTATCTTTTTTCCTAGATCACGAGTAATTCATCTAAGTCAATCTTCAACCTCGTAAATGTGTTTTAGATCAAAATAGCCTCCTCATGCTCGGGTCTTTTTGCACCCATGTGGCCATACTATCTTTGCTTGAACCCGAACAACAATACGCAAAACTGTAGCCATACAAGGTACATAGGGTGCTTGATTTAGAGCTGCGCACTTCGCCTATCCTTGTTTGGTATCACCCGCGGTCCTGCTCTTCGGATGCAATATCTCCTGACTCTAATCTTCCTCCGAAAGCACCTTCCCTTACGGCGTAGTCTCCATGCACTGTTAGCGCATGATCTTAATCTTTGATGACATAGTAACTCATGCAATCATTCTACATGACGGTATGCTTTGTACGCGCTGTCTCTCTTTACGTAGGCAATAGATCCTATTTACAAAAGATACAAGCTAGTCTTTGCTCTGACAGCTTCAGCAGCTGAGAGCTTCGACTACAATGAATCAAGTCATTGTGTCTGATTCGAACCGAACACCCATTATCCAGATCGCCACTTGGTTTTGCCTTGTAACGAGCCTTCTGGCTTTTCTCACGCATGCCACCATCAAGTTCTATGTTTTCCGATCTCTAAAAGTGGAGTCAGGGTTTGTACTCATATCTTTGGTAAAATCAGTTCGAATCAACCTCGATTTTACACACGCTTAACAAATATTAGGTCTTCTGCATTGCACAGTCGATCGCTGTGATATTACAAACTGAACATGGTTTTGGAAAGCCAATGACGACCTTAAGCAACTACGACATCCAGTCAGAGCTCAAGGTGAGTTCTCTCTACCTTCATGAACGTTGAGTGTACCGTTACTAACAGAATCACAGAGTGAGTATGCCGCAACGATATTACTGATTGCCTCACTCGGTTTCTCGAAGCTCGCAGTTATAGCATTTGTCCAAAACTTAACACCGTCCCAGCTGCACCAAAAAATCAACCTTGGTGTAGGAATTTCCGCATCTTTGTGGTTGTTGTGCTCAGTGTTGGTAGCGACTTTCCAGTGTCCTATGCCACATCCGTGGGACAAAACGCTCGACCGGTGCATAGATCGTGTGAGTAGCACTACAACGAGGTTGAGATCTCAAATTCTAACATTAGACAGTTTTCCTGGTGGAATGCTGTGTCAATCTTGAACATTGTGACAGAAATCGCAATCGTGACGTTGGAACTCGGTATAACAGCACAACTTCATATAGCACGTCAAAAGAAGGCAGTTGTTATGAGCATCTTCGCATGCCGGTTGCTGTAGGTGTACCATATGCGACCAGATTCAAGCTCCTGCTCACGGTTCCTCAGAGTTTTCATTGGTGCTGCAATTCAGCTTGCCTTTGTCTTTCACGAAAACAGAAACCCCTCCATGAAACACGACTTGACCCTCGGGTTCTGGCGCTCAACAATCTGCAATCAGATCGTTCAGTGTCTTGCTATCGTCACGACATGTCTGCCATATACCAAGATATTCATGGAAGGCTTTGAATCGGGGCTTATGCGTTTGGATGACTTGCGCCGACGAGGTGAACACATCACGAAGGACGACTCAAGAAGGGAGTATCAACTTATGGATGTCTCACGTTCTACTCGTGACAACACCATCAATGTGTCAAAGAGCTGGGCTGTTCAGGTGGAGCCTGCTAAGTGCGCTTCATCTTCGTAGCGTTCGCGTGACTACTTCGATGCAATGACGAATAGTAGGTCTCAAAAACACTTCGTTGAAAGCAAAAATATTGACTTTCTCCACTATTTTCAAATGAAACACTTCCTAAGAGATACTTGCCGTCCTTCACAACATCAATGTCATCCTCATGCGCACGTGCAAAATCGGGGACTTGTTGTTTCGACGAATGGCAAATCTCCACCATTCTCATAGGATTGTCGGGATGGAGTCTGGAGCTCATCCTGTGCCGTTGACCCCTGCACAATCCTTCAAATTATTGCAACTAAGCGAATTCGGCAGGTGGTTAGACAGGCGGGACCAACCAATGTAGTGTCATAGCCCGTTTGTTATGCATGCATGAATAGCTGACTGTACCACAAGTAATCGTGAGACGAAGCATTCATTCCGCGGCGTTGCTCACGGTAGCCGGCGTTCGCTCATCTAATACTGCATTTAGTCCTCGCGTTCCTCAATCTGTTTCCCCTTCCACACAACGTTGGTTAGCATTTGTTTTTCAGGCCACTTTTCGTGTTGCGATCCTAAGATGGCGTCCTCTCATTCAAAGGGTAGTGATATTGAGTTGACTGTGGTCCCGAACCTTTCCACCGACAAGCAAGATGATCTTGCGCTTGCAAGATTGGGAAAGAAGGCAGTGTTAAAGGCGAGTGTTAGTTAACAACGTATGATCTACTTGGCTAACATATGTCTTTTAGAGGCGATTTGGTTTCTTATCAGTCTTGGGCTTTAGTTGCACAGTCTTGATTACTTGGGAAGGATCTTTATTGTAAGCTAATGCGCGACGTACAACTAACGCCAAACTAACCCAAACATAGATTGTTTCTGGTGGGCTACCAAAAGTACGAGTATTGTCTTGACGAATCTTGAATAGACCTAATTAAGACAGTGGTGGTCCCGCGGGTGTCATCTATGGCTACCTTGTTGTGTGGATCGGTACCGTATCTGTGTTCATGGTTCTCTCCGAATTGGTTTCTATGTGAGTAGACTGAGCTACTTGCATGATAATTTACTAAAGTATAGTTCAGGGCTCCAACCTCCGGCGGACAATACCACTGGGTCTCGATGCTAGCACCACGGCGTACACAGAAGATCTTGAGCTATACATCTGGTATTATGGTACTCTGAGAACTGTTCTGGAATTACAAATGACTAACTGGCGGCTTGCATAGGTTGGCTTACGATGTGCGGCTGGCTAGCTTCGTTAGGATCCGGAGCGTATCTTACTGGCGGTTTGATCCAAGGTCTCCTCATCCTTTGCCACCCGAACACATATGTTCCTCAAAACTGGCATGTCACTCTTCTGTACTGGGCGGTGATACTCTTCTGCGTCTTTATCAATGTGGCTGCAGGGTGGTTGCTTCCCAAGTTCGAAGGGGCACTCTTGGTGTTGCACATCCTGGGGTTCTTCGCCATCCTGATACCACTGTTGGTCCTCGGCCCTGAAGGTGACGCCCACGAGATCTTCACGACTTTTGTCAATATGGGTGGATGGGATACCCAGGGGTTGTCCTTCTGCATTGGAATTATGGGGAGTGTATTCGCGTTTGTTGGTAAGTTGAAAGTTTAGCCCGATACATGTTTGCTCATGCTGACAACCTGATCAGGTGGCGATGGCGCAGTCCATGTGAGTTCGACTACTATCCTCGTTCGTCGACTATGAACAGCTGCTGACATATTGTAGCTGTCTGAGGAGATCCAGAATGCGCAGATAGTCGTCCCTAGATCAATCATGACGGGCATCGCGATTAACGGGTCTTTGGGCTTTGCTATGGTTCTCACTGTGCTCTTCCGCATGGGTGATATGGACGCAGTCTTGGAAGAAAATCCCGCATTCCCGTTCATGGCCGTCTTTCACCAGGCAGTTCGATCCAGATCGGGTGCTGCTGTGATGGCCGCTATCATCGTCGTTCTCACTGTCAGTGCCAACGTTGGGTTCTCGGCTTCGACTTCGCGTATTTGCTGGGCATTTGCGAGAGACCGGGGCCTTCCTGGCTGGCGTGTTCTTAGCAAGGTGTGTATATCGACCCTGCAAGAAGTGAGTGCCATTAACATCATAGTAGATCAGCGACAGAACCTCGATTCCTGTAAACGCGGTCGCCTTTACGAGCCTCGTTGCTTGCATCTTAGCCCTCGTCAATCTAGGATCCACCTCCGCCTTCAATGGTGTCATCTCAGTCTCAATTGCAGGACTGTTCTCCTCATACCTCTTGACCTCGTGCCTCCTCCTCTATCGACGCTGCACCGGAGCAATCCTCCCGAGCAGTGGGGCTCACGACCTCGGCGTACCTTCCACTACCGATGATGGTATGATCCGGGCTATGTGGGGACCGTGGAAGGTACCTGGTGTACTGGGCATTGCAAACAATGCTTTCGCATGTATCTACCTCTTGTTTGTGTTCTTCTTCAGCTTCTGGCCGAGCTACAAGGAAGTCACGCCAGCGACTATGAACTGGTCGATCTTGGTAACTGGTATAATCGCAATTTTCAGTACGGTTTACTATCTTGTCTGGGCTAGGAAGAGTTATCACGGTCCTGTCATTGATATCAGCGGCTAGTACGTTCGAGAACAGCGTGTAACTCCAGTGTACATGAAAATTATAGGCAGCAACTTCGTTTGAGTTTGCGAAGCGCTCCGGAGCTGTGTGATGACAAGGGCAATAGATGGTCCACCGAGCGTACTTTTAGTAAAGGATGATTAATCAAAGAATGGACGAATTTTCGGACATACAATTGAAAAAAAAGTTGATAACAAGACATCGCTGAAACTGACGATACTAAAGGAAAAAACTTTGGTTTAATTGCCTTGCAGAGAGCTAGAGGATCCACCGCATAGATTTGAGTCAGAAGACGCATACTATTGAGTAGTACATCAGAGTGGCGATCAGTGGGGTTAATTGAGACAGTCAACTACTGTGGTACCCCCTGGAAGTATAAGCCATTTGCCACATCCAAATGGGGTAACACCTTACCAGAAGTCAAAGTGGCGAATGGCTTATACTTCCAGGGGGTACCACAGTAAGTGTTGAGTAGGTCCATGTACGACTACCTACATGCCCCAAGAGGGTCGGGGCACCTGCCTGATGTTCAAGGCTCCAGAGATAGAAGGTAACGTCCTGGGATAAGTTTAGGTATACCGCCAGTACTGTAACGTCGCCGCATAGTATCGCAAAAGTTCTGTTCGGCAGTTATCAAGCGAGGGCGGGAGTTCCCACAAGCCTCGGGGTGAGCCGACTAATAGAAGCTTGCCCTCTCGGCGCCACCGGCCAAGCGTAGCTTAGCACCAGCCACCTCAACGCAAAATCAACCTGATCACGACTATTTCCACGACCACATCATTGTGCCAAAATACTCCACGGCACGATGGCATTTGCTCCGACTTTCTAGCAAGTTAACGCTACTATGGATGTTATAGATAACTATAAACACCTCCCTAGAATAGATTGGACTGTCCGGACCTGTTCTCATCGCGGCATCTGCCAAGGAAAAGACGCGTACGCTCAACACAATGGCCAAGAATTCCGGTACCTCGTGAAGGACACCACCGCCTGAGCTGCTCCACTGGCAATTTTAAACTTCCCCTTCAGGACCGAATCATGTCCTTTTGTCGTCATACCCACACAGGGTCCTGACAGGATCTAGATGACAGCATTGCCGAGGCCTATCGACTATCTATAGTAGGCGTGTTTATAGAGTTCTACGTTTCTGACGGACAATTGCTTGCCCAATAGCGTCTAACACATTCGTCAGGTTTGTGTTGCTCCTTCCTCGAACGACCTATCATGACTCGGAATCCTCAAACAGCCATTCATCTAGAAACCCAAATCGTGAAGCCGCTGCTGTTCCACCCATGTTGACCATCAAGTAGAATCCAATGTATTCGTCAGCTCCTTCCAGAAGTGTGCTACATGCTCCGAGGACCCTCATGCAATGTTGCCGCGGAATATCTGGCGGATCTCCATCGTGAGGGGGATCTGCAGGCTCAGGACGCTGGGAGACAAGCTTTACGCCATGTTAGTTGCGAAACGGGCAAGCATAGGATATATTGGCTTGAGGAACAGCTTTGTGTTTGGAAAACACATATAAACCGCCATTTTGCCATATCAAAAACCCCATCGGCAAGCTTCAAGCATCTCATACTTGACACTCTTTTCCACAATGGTTTTCTTCTCCCCCGCCTTCGTTGCGATTGCTGCGTCCTTTTTCGCTGGCTCCACGTTCGCCCATCCAGGACATGACATCCAGGCTGAGATTGCAGAGCGTGCTGAGTATCGTGCTCGCGCCCAGTACACGAACCTCGATCACTGCGCCGAGAAGCTTCAAGCCCGCTCAGCCAGCATGATTGCTCGTCGCAAGACAGAGGTTGAGAAACTACGTCTCAAGCGTGGCATTGTCAAGAGAAGCTTTGCGGATGTGTTGGCTACCGACCACCACTCCAACCAGACTGTCACACCATGTAGTCCGGATGAGCTCATCTTTGGCAGCAACAGCTCCTGCATCTTGCAACCCGAGACAACCGAGGGTCCCTACTGTAAGCCTGCCTGTCTTCGTATCATGTGTACGGTCCTATACAGATTTTAACACGCGTGGTAGGGGTTTCCGGCGAGCTCGTGCGTAAGAACATTACTGATGGCAATGCTGGCGTCCCGTTGACTTTCGACGTCCAAATGATCAACATTAACACCTGCGAGCCTTTCAATCAAGTCGCTCTTGAGGCTTGGCACTGCAACACCACGGGAGTGTACGGCGGTGTGATTGCTGGCAGCAACGGAAACACGGCCGATGCGTCGAACATCAACAACACCATGTTCCGTGGTATTCAGTTCTCTAACGAGAACGGCATCATGCAATTTGATACGACGTTCCCTGGTCACTACACCGGCCGTACCACTCACATCCATAGTAAGAAACTTGAGGTGTTGATCTAAGTCTTTAAACTAATGCATTTACAGTCCTCGCGCATGTCAACTCCACCCTCAACCCCATGAACGGCACCCTCCTTGGCGGCCACGTCTCCCATGTCGGCCAGCTCTTCTTCGACCAGTCACTCATCAATGAGGTCGAGGCCGTAGCACCCTACACCACCAACACCCAGGAGCTCCTCCTCAACGCAGATGATGGCATTTTCGAAGGCGAATCCGCCAACACAGATCCTGTTTTCAACTACGTCTACCTTGGCGATGCGGTCGAGGATGGCTTGTTTGGTTGGGCTACGGTTGGTTTCGATCCAACAGCTGTTACGACGCCCCGTGCCGCGGCTTACGTCGATGAGAGTGGCGGTCATGCCAATGCTGGTGGTATTGGTGGCGGCCCTGGAGGTCCGCGACCTACGGGACGTCCTCCGGGCTTTCCGTCGGGCGTTCCTTTCCCAACCGGATCTGGCGTTGCGATGCCGACAGGCTCGGCTTAAGGTTAGGATGTGTAGGAACCTAGGTTTCGATAGAACGATGGATTTACAGGTCCAACGGTAGCGCACTTCGGCAAAAATGCTTCCCAGATGCATGGCTTTCGAAGATGTACCTTAGATAGTAGTATGAAAACGTATGACAGAAGGCGATAACTGATGCTGGTGAATGTGTTGTGTGACAAGTTTTCTCCTACGTGTGGTTTTGGCAGAACTGATTGCCTCAGCAATTGTTCCATATACGGACCAGTTTCTAAGGGAATTTACGGACCGAGGAATCATTACAGCAGGAGTATCGACACGTGAAAGAGGGGGTATAATGAATCTCAAGCATACATAAGCTCTTCTACATGCGAAAATAGCACGACGTAGCAGTGATATGTGATATCATTGTGTCAAAAGATCAACATTAGAACCCAGTCCCTACGCACCGATTTTGGTGACAATGGGATGCTGCTCTACGCTGCACATGCAAATGTAACTTTCCACGTCCCACCTTGAAGTCCCGCGACAACAACCGGTGCAGCCGTATCTTTGACCTCCATCACAACGGCCGCGACCTTTCCACTCTCTTCCAGCATCTCCAAACTCCCAGCACAACCCATACTCGGCACGTGAACTTCACCGGTAGTCCCCTCCGGGGTCTCAAACTCCATCTCAAGTCCGGTGTCACTGACGCTCGTTTTCGCGCTGAAGAAGCCCACTTTTGTACTGAACCCTGCATCTACTTCTTTCAGGTCTCCCATCTCCGGAGCAATTCGCCACGTCGCACCTCCGGCAGTCAGTAACTGGATACCTGCGACATAAAAGGTAAGCGAAGACGTTGGTCCCGTCGCCCACCCATGCGCATGGCTGATTCGCGCGTCATTCTTGTACGGTGCGTAGTGCAGTTCACCTGTCGTGCTGTACCCCTCAATAAACGTGCTGTTCGTCATGCGCGGGTCGTCGAGCATGAAGCCCCACTGCAGGCGCATGAGTGCCAGCGCGGCGGAGGCGTTGGAGGCTAACATATGAGCTTGCAGTTCGAAGCCCGAGATGAAGGGAGAGACCGTGGCACCTGCTTCAGGAGCAGGCGCGCCGTAAGGTGTCCAGCGCGATACGAGACGGGAAGAGATAGAATCGATTTGTGATGAGTTCTGCGTGATGTTTGCCACCACGGCCCAGGAGTTACCGTCCTGAGGAGTGAGGATCGTAGTCTCGTTGTCGGTGTACATTCCCAATCCCTCGTCCCAGAGTAGTGCATTCGCAGCGGTCTTGATGGTTCCGGCAATGGTGCTCCAGTTGGAGATCGAGCCTGTGTCGTTAAGTGCCGTGGCGAGCGCAATTCCTTGGTTGATGGTATTGTAGAGAATAGAATTTGCTTCGATATTGTGGCCGCCCATTCCGAAACGAAGCCAGTCGGCGGCCGATGTAACATTTGCTAGCCCGGTGGAGTCGATGAAGCTTAAGGAGAAATTCAGGCCGAGTTTCCATTTCGGCCAGAGTGATTGAAGGTACGTAATGTCCCCCTATGATACGTGAGCACGAGGCTTATGTTGAAGTTGATGTGGGACGAATAAGACCTACAGTGTACAAGTAATGATCTGCCACACCGATCAACGTATACAGATGATACGTGAAACTCAGAATACTGAAAAACGGACGACCCGCATATGGTAGCTGACCAGTCGTCGTGTTCTGAATAGCAAACAACGAGTTGATTGAGTTTTCAATCGATACTACATCATTCGTTGATACAACGACTCCCGGCACTGCAATTGCCATATCACCAGCCCAAACGAGTCTGTCGCGCTTCGCACCGTCGACTAACACAGACGTACCGTTGGAGATGGTATAGTTATAATACCAAGTCACGTTGACGGCGTCTGAGATAGCAGACGTAATATTGCCGAGATGAACCAGTGCATTACCGGTGGACGGGCTGATGGTACACATTTCGTTGGTGTATGCGCCAGCGTACCATATGCGATTCAACAATTCATCTATTCTCACATTAGCTCTGCCCAGATTTTGTCCCTAGAAAGCGGAGAGGATGCTATACCGTCACAGTGGAAGTAGCCCGTGTAATTACCAAGCTCTTCCTCTTCCCAATGAGGCATCGGTGTATAGTAGACCTCAGCAGCAGTGACTTCGACACTCCCAGTCGTATTGTGAACAAGCGTCATGTATCTGAAGCCACCGCGTTGTTTTTCTTTCGGCGCTGTGTATTGACCAGGTCCATCAATCTGGAACCAGAGCGTTTCATCCTTGCCGGCATCTGCGGTGGCATCAGAGCTCTTATTGCTGACCCAAAAACTGCTTTCCGAGAAGGTCACTCCGATAGTTTGATTTTCCCCACATACTCCACCAACCGTCAGCATCACCACACCTGCTATGTTAATGCCGAAGTCGTAAGCAGTCGCTGAGACGCCTTCGAAAACCGAACTGCCTGAAGAGCCGAGAAGACTTTCTGGGTCGCTGACGGAGCCATTGCTGCTGTGAACAGAGACAGGTTGTAGCGTACGAGTCTTGGGAGTGAGAATATACTGTTCGTATGGAATTGAGATAGCAGGGGCAACAAGCGACAGAAGTGGAAATGCTGAGAGAAGCCTCATCTTGGCAACGGTTCAATCAATTTCTTGAAAGATTTTGAACTGGTACATGCGATGACAACAAGCGCTTATGTGTACTGCTACAAAAGCTGATGTACGAAGTTGGTTTGGTCATTCTCAACTGCCGGGTCAATCGTTGTTCAGGGAACTCGGTCAAGCGAAGACCGAGATGACGTTCAGTTAACAATGATGACAATCATGGTTTTCGTGCGTGGAGACGACGATCGATTGCGATTGCGGGGAAGACCATGATCAACGCGGGGAAAGCCTTGACCGACGCGGCTAAGGCAGCGGATGAACATCGGGAGTGAACGCTGACAAGGACCGTTACAGGTCGTAATCGGACCGATATGGGTAAGCTTATACCCGCTCAGTTGTTTTCTCGATCTACATCGCTGTCATTGCCTGTACAGCAAAGTCGTGATTATACAGTCTTCGATCGAGTTGAATCTGCATTTCCCTTCTGCTTACTTTCCTTTTTATAGGCAAACTCTTAGCTTAAGCGTCATTGATGGTGAAGCTACGAAGGAGTGAGATCGCTTGCGCAATGACCCACACCCTTAAGCTAGATCCTTGCACTTTTATACATAGGACTCGTAGGTATCAAAACGTCATCTTTGCATGTATACTTCCTACGTGTTGTCGGTATACTTCGGACCCCTCAGCGAATGCTTGTTGTAATGCCGACTCCGGAAAGTCTGTGGAAAGTGATCGGATGTAATCATTGGGTTGATGCCAGTATCAATTAGTCCAACCGGTGGATCGTGACATCAGGCGGAGATGAACGCCGATACGATGACAAAGTCCGAGGTTGCAAGGACGACAAGATTCTGATCTATAGTTCATGACAATGACGCTGAGTCTATCTCGTTCCAGGACGTATCCACGTCTTCTTTGAAAAGTACTTCCGATGTGTATATGCAAACCCAAAGTCAACCGCCTTAGTACATACTGTGCACCAATTGCTTTACTATAACCGAAACTTAGCGAAGAGAACGGAAACAGTATGAGCTGATACCAAACTTACAAGTTGCGAAATCTTTGTGGTCCTTTCCATGCAAAGCTCGAGAAGCGATCGCTTCTTCTTCAGCATCACCGGTCGGTACATTGTACTTGGTATGCATCAGTATGTGACGTTCTCAGCTACTTTGGAAACTCACAGCTGTCAGTGTTGTGTTGAGTCCGAGTTTCACGACAAACTCCGCTATGGCGTCCGCCACGACGTGCGAGTCCTTCTCGTTGCTGCCAGTGCTCTGCTTCCCAATGTACGGGATGATTCTTGCAATCTGTGTCGCCTCGTCCGGGTTGCTCGCTTTGAAGTGAACCACTGGCGCCAGACTCAAACAGCTCGTCATACCGTGCGGGATGCTGTACGAAGCTCCAATCGCATGACCAATGCTGTGACTAAGCCCAACACCGCCCTTGAACAGGAACGGAAAGAGTGATGAGTAGCATGCAAGAAACAACTTTGTGCGGATGTCTGCATCGTCCGGGTTTGCCTTTGACTGTGGCAGATAGGTGAAGAGGTCCTTGATGGCTTCCAGACACAGGCGCTTTGTGGGCACCTCCGAGGCAAGAGGATGGTATACCAGCTCAACGGCATGGTCTAGAGAGCGCATCTTTAGGCTCGTCAGTCGTTGTCTAAGTATCAAAAGGAATAGTACAAACCCCTGTGCTTGTCCATAAGCTCATCGGTGTGTATATAGCGATATCGCCATCGTAGACAACGGCTAGATCTGATCAGTCGAAATTCCTAGTCAAGATCTGCGGAACCTTGCCTTTGGGAACCATTTCTGGATCGCTAACTGCAATCTTATGGCCGTCGTCATTAGTGAAGCCAGCATTCTGTGTTGTTTCTGCTACACTCAATGTTGTCGGAACGGCAATGCTAGGAATCCATTTCCCTGTTTTCTCATGGATGTTATGTGCGATTGCCTTCGCCGAGTCTATTGGCGATCCACCCCCTACCGAGATGAGAATATCACACCCTGATTTCGACATTGACTCCGTGGCTTCCCGTATTCCCTGGATGGGGCTGTCTGTCATCAGCCATCTCCTTTGGGTGGACTACACTAGACATACGCATGCTGTCCGATCTTGCTGAAAGTTCCTCCGTGCTTGGATCCAAGGCTCTTTTCAATGTTCCTGATGACTGGCGTCTTCTCATTCAAGGATCGCCCGGTCACGATGAAGGCTTTTGTCCCCCCAAGCTCTGCAATGACATCTGACAGTTGGTTGCTCGTTCCTGTTCCCTTATCGGTGTCTACTCTATCAAAAATCTCCAGCTATCGAACTTACCTCTCCCGTACATCATCAATTTGGCTGGTGAAGCCCGATACATGCCTTTCGTTGAAGAATCAACGTTCCCATTTCGATGCTCATTCGGGAGTGCCATTCTCAGGATTTGGATGCGCAGGCTTGCTGTTGACTAGAGAATGACACCGAAAGGCTCTCGAAATGTTTCTTGTTCATTGATGTGCCGACTGGACGTCATGGTGGGGTAGCTCCGAAGCCGCGCAACGCTTCCGCAGTGCAGGGAACATACATCTGCCGCCTGTTGTGAGCAAAACTGTGAGATTGTATTTCGCGTATCTGCAGTCGACGCGTCCCTACAAAGACTCAACAACAGGTGGTAAATGTCAATCATCAGATAATCTCTCGGTACTTCCAACTCTCGCATGAGCATAATCAGGTATAGGCCGCCATGTTGGTTTTACTTCATCCACCATCCTAATCAACTTTTCTCAATGTTCTTCTAGTCTTCTATTCAATCGCGAAGACATGGCGTGTGGGAGGAAACGGATGCGAACATGGCGCGAAAATGACGCGCCAAAACGACGCGTAACATTCACGCTAGTCCTTTCCAGAATAGATCGGCTTCTCAACTTTGCGTTTCTTCGTTCTACGACACCTTCAATTCTCGCGAGTCGCCCACGTATTCGAACTCACATATTTTTTTGAAGCTCCAAGCTAATTCTGTTGCCTCTTGCTCGAGCTCGCCGTAAAATAACGTCGCCTGCTATCACACTCTCTGTGGTGCATTACATACTGTCTCTGCTATCTCTACGTCTTGTCGATCTTTCTTAAGGCTCGACAGAAGTTGGCTGCCCAGGCCCAAGATATTGTGCACGCATCTCAGACATGATCATTGGAGCTTCGAGCCAGCACTTAGCACCATGTCGGGTTCCTAGGGCATCTTGATATCATCACGGACGAACACTCCCTAGTCAGACCTATTTTCGAGTGGCTCCGACATGTTCAGTGAAAGAAAGGCAGGTTCCCAGCGATCAGTAGGGTGACGCCGCAACTTTAGCTTTACTTCAGTGACTCCGTGGAAGTTGCCTTCACTTCACCGTTAGTCCCGAGCTCATATAAAGACCTACACTGAACATCACCTCGATCTCTCCCTCAACCTCTGTTCTATCAACCACTCAACTGTAATTCCACCCGCAGTTCAACACGATGTCGTTCTGCGAAGAGTGCAACAAGCCAGGCGCTACCCGCTGCAGCGGCTGTCAGTCAAGCTTGTACTGCTCGAAGGAGTGCCAGAAGAAAGGCTGGCCAATGCACAGGTTCCTCTGCAAGACACTCAAAGACTTCCAAGACCGGCCAGTGCCCTCCGGATCACATGAGATCTACTCTCGAGCGATCTATTTCCACCCTAACGAGACAAGCCCGCGCTTCATATGGCTCAAGAACGAGCGGATCAGCTACGACGGATATACAATCACGTACGTGAGGCCCCGCCTAGGAGCACTCATAGCCAACAACGAGGACGAAAAGAAGTCAGACGCCTACGTCACTCCAGGATCCGCCAGTTTTGCGCACAACCACGCCCTCGACCGCGGGCTGACCCACACCGTCTTCTTGAGATACCGTGACACCTTCCTGGTAGATGGTTCGCAGCCCAACAAGGCGATCAACAAAGTCTGCGACCTCGACTCACGTTATGCCCACGAATGGAGGGGGCCGATCGTTGCTTATGGTACTGAATTGCTCGGAGGCATGAGTATAGATCCTAAACAGACGGTCGACCTCGCGCCGTCCGACCTGCGCACCATCGTTCATTTTCTGAACGTATTCAACTGTCAAGGTTCTATGGCAGATGGCATGCAAGAGATGCGTCCAATCGCAGGCGTGCGCATCAACTGTGGTGGCGATGTCGAGCATGGCGGTCGCCTCAAGTACGAACCAGTCACCGTCCCCGCTTACCACCGCATCTTCGAGGAGCCTGCCGCGCCTATTTCCACCCGCTTCGGCTTTCCAGTCACTATGCAACGTGTCCGTGGTAGCTACAACCGCTGGAACAACGGCACCATGGCTGATGGCTGGCTGGCGTTCTGCAATCCGGCTGCCACTTACATCTACTTAGGCTGCGACCCAAAGGTTAGGGACAACACTGCCGGACCATCGTGGGGGTTTGCACCGATGAAGTGGCAGAACAGCGTTGGTTCTGTTCTCCTCATGCGCCAGGACAAGAAGACTCTCCTCCCAGAGCATGCCGCAGCTCTCTCGGATTACTGTCAATTCCACTTGACTGATTTGTTCCAGCGACAGATCGACGGTGAGATCGGTATCAATGCGGCCCGCATTCTGCGCGAGATCACCGAGGAGAAGTTCAAGACGTACTACGAGACCTGGAAGGAGGATCAGGATGATGAGGAGAAGCGGACGCAGATCTCTCCGTACGAGGTCTGACCAGACTTCGATTGGCCATGGTACATCGAGCATCTTCCAACACGCACTACCGAAGCTAATGGAGGCAAAAGGATATGTGAGGATCTCATTCTCTTCAGGTCACAGTTGCTATGATATACAGTCCCAAACACGGCGCAGCAGATGGTCACAAAATGAACACATGGCATGGCATGGCAGGCAGTGATGCTCTTTTGGCGTGGCATGGCACATAGCAGCACTCAATACTTCCAACCCAAAGCCTGAATTCCCAACTCCACCACACTTTTCCATAGAACAATTCCACCAAACACACACACTCCACGTTACCCAGTCCCGCAAGCCAACCTACTCTAAAGCTTACAGCTTACTCTCAAACCCCCCCACCCCCCGCGTAACAAAAACCTCCATAGGCTTCACCAGCAGTTCCTCCTCCCTGATCGCCTTGCCCAGCGCAGCGAAGTACTCCGTCTTCGCGTGCGTCGCGAGCGCGGCTTTATCCTCATACCTACACATCATCAGCACTCTCTTCCCCATCTACATCCACACCCACGACTCCCCAATAAAAAGTGGATAACAACTCACGTTTCCAGCACAAAGAACCTCGGCGCCTCGCCCTTCGTTTCGCGCTGGAGGTGGTACTTCAGCGTGCCTGGTTCGTTTGCTTTTACGGACGCGGCGGCGCTGGTGAGTAGTTCCTCGACCTTTTTGGTGCGCTGTGTTAGAATGGGTTTTTTTATGTGAGGGGGATGGAGGGGGAGGGGAGGTGGGTACTCTGTCTGCTTTTCCGGGGTTGGGGGTTAGGAGGGCGATGACGTCGATGGTCATTTTGGGCGGGTTTGGGGATAGGTTTGGAGGATGGGGTTGTTTGGGGGTTGGAAGGTTGGAATGGAGTTAGGGGATGGGATGGGGTGTTTTCTTGTTGGAGTAGTTCATGGATGGATGGATAGATGGTAGATCGCCTCCGCGCGGTGTTGACCCGAGAGATGCCGAGGCTTTTTTCTTGGAGGGAATATCGAACGTCAGTTTTTGTGGATGATTTTACGACGCTACATGTTGATATCTTGGAAATGCAGTGACGTGTTTCACTCGCAGTGTCTTTGTTTCGTGGGGTTCTGCTGCTGGCGTTCGTCATGCTGTTTATCTGCACGTCTCATCTTACTGATTGATGGCTTGTACAATAAAAGGGAGCGTCTCGCGAGGAACCACGACTAGTTATTGTGAAAGGGGTTGACCTTTTTACATGGGACGGTGGAACATGTAGGCTGAGTTTTGGCACGGAATAAAGGAGTTAGAGATGTTGTAGAGTTGACAGACGTGTAGTCTACTGACTATATCTCAGGTGCACAATGAGCAGATCGACGGCCAAGGAAGTACTACAAATCAACATCAATCTCGGAACGATGTTGATAGGTACCCGCGCTTAATATATATAACACCACCATCTATAGTCGATAGGTAGGCCGATGCCTTTCTTCACGACAGTCGGATGTGTCTGGCGAGGAAAGAAAACACAACACAGCATATCACGATGAGATGTGCTTTACCGTATGTTCAAGTCCTAGTATCTACCTCTATAGCGTACTGGTACTGTGCTGTAATGAATTACATAGTCCTGAACTTGATGTAATCACTATTTAGGATGGAGTCCTCATACCCAACCGGGTCATCCGCACATCTCTATATTGTCCGACCAACCAGCCAACTAACGACTCTACGAAAACGAAACGAAACGAAGCGTATAAACACGACAATACCCGCAATACCTCCACAACTCCTAACAACAGCAGACAATACACGACAACAACGATGATGATAAAGCCGGCAAGAAGAGCCCAATATATACTATAAACTATACTATATAATATGGTATAATATGCGACGACACTCCACACTCCCCTCGCATCTGATGGTATACGTCCCCCAGTCCAGTTACCAGTCACCAGTCACCAGTTACCAGTTAAACAAAAGGAACCCCGGAATATACTCCAAAATCTGGAGGATCAGGCAAATTCCCCCAAGAAAAACGCCTAGCAAAACGGTAGAAATGTGAATGAGAATATGAATATGATATGATATGATGTGAAGCGACGCAATGCAACGTGATGCAACGTGATGCAATGCAAGAAAACCAAAAAGAGGAGACAGAGACCGAATATGTAAGTGTCAAGAGAGCGAGCTCACACAACGCAGAAAGGGACCAAGAAGAAAAGCAAAGCAATCAAAGACTCGTAACCCGACCCGTAGGCCCCGTAATACGATGCGGTCTTAGATTAATCACGCTCTCCAACTCCCTCAGCATATTCGTGCTCGCATCGCGCTGTTCCCGCGCCGACGCCTGACGAACGCGATCCTCCTGAATCTTATGCATGCGCTCCTCCCTCGTCATGGTGACGCGAGTCTTGGGGATGGCAATGGCCTCGAAGACCTCATCGTCCGAGTTGCTGCCTTGGTCGCTCGGGGGCGCACTCTGTAGGAGACTTAGCGTGTCGCCATTTAACGCGCGCAGAGCATCAGACGGACTGCCTTCGTCGACGGCAGTCAGGCCGCCGAGGCTTGGGACGGGGGAGCGCAGGCCGCTGGAGGCTTGCGAGATGCGGCGTTCTTGTCTGTCGATGTTGAGGGCTAGGGCGGTTTTGCCGGCTTCCCAGGCTTGCATGAGACTTTTGAGGTCGGCGCCGATGGAGTCGTATTGGACCATGAGGTGGTGGCCGAGCTCTGTCACGTCTTCTGTGTCCTCGAGGGTTTTGTTGGTTTCTTCGCGGAGCACCTGCATTTTGGCTTGTAGTCCGCGGATGCCCTGTGATAGCCCGGATAGTTTGCGGACTTGGTTGCGGACCTTTTCCCGGCCTGGGGGAGGGGCCTTGCTCGGCGAGGGCTGGGGGAGCGTGAATTGTTCTTCTTCTGCGAGGACGCGGTTGATCTTCTCGCTGGATCTTTCTGTGGGCGCGGCCAGTCTGCGCATCGAATCCACGACTGTTGCCCAGCGCGCAAAGTCTGGAGATCCACCGTCCGCCTCGAGAGCCAGCAGGGAGCAAAGATATACGCGGCGAAGAGTGGAGAGTCGGTATTGGAGGGTTCGTAGAGCTTTTAATGTTTCGGCGTCTTCGAACTCGGTCTCGGAGTATCCCTGCGCCGCCTCCTGCATATCGGGGTTGCTGATTTCGTAGACGTCGAGGTACTTTTCCAGGTCGTCTTCTTCGATGAGCTGCTTGAGGATCATGCACTGCTTGGTGAGTATAGGAAGGGTTTCGACAAAGGCGCCTCGGAGGTGTCGTCGCAATCGCTGACAGCGGCGGGCTTGTCCTTGCTCTTCGAGTCGCGAGATGGGTGGCATTGGCGCGCTGCTGGCTAAGTATTAGTCGTGGGCGGGTGTCGTGTGGGTAGGGACATACAGTCGGTAGCCTCGCGAGACCAGCTCCACCTCCTGGATCAGCGAGAGGGCAGCAGACGTGGACGCCTCGAAGGCCTGCAGGTTCAGGACCAGGGCAGACGCGCCCTCGACCGCCTGCTGCCTCAGATACTGCAACCACTGGCGCCGCATGTAGCCGTAGAAGGCTGTGGCGACGGCGGCGAAGGTCAGGACGACGACCAGAAACCTCCATTTCCCCGCCCCGGGTGTGCGTCGCGCCCAGTGGGCGAGGTAGACCAGTGTGAAGGCCGTCGTCCCCGTCAGCGCGGCGCCCGTGGGGCTGATGGTGATGATCTTGAACTCCTGCGCGCCCGGCCCGCCCGTCGCGAAACTGGCCAGGGACGTGGCCCGCACGCCGCCCTGCTCGCCCAGCAGCTGCGAGGCGACGATGAGATAGCGGAAGTGCTCGAGGAAGCGCTCGTTGTCGGCGCGGCCGAGGCGTGATGCGACGGCTTTCTGCGACACATGTCAGCTGGTGCGCCTCGGATCCGCAGCGCTCGCACGTACCGAGCACACGGTGTGGATGCGTGCGATTGAGCCATTGCGGGCATGTATTCGCAGCGGCGGGGGCAGTCGGTCGCGTATCCTCGACTGCAGCGTCGACGGGCCCCGGGGCGCAAAGCTGTACGGGTCGGATGCGGTGGGTGACGGCGGCGGGGAGTCTGCTCCCTTGCCTTGGCCTAGCTTGGAGTTTAATGTCTTGGTCCCTGTACGGCCCGCAGTCTCAGGGCGCAAACCTTCCAGATACTCGGCCAGCGGCGAGTCTTCAAGTATGACGTTCTCCATGCGTGCTGCGTGCTGTGCGTGTTGCTACCTCCTCATGTTGCGTGGTTGTGGGGCGTGAACTGGGTCCCGGTGCGGCAGCGCTTCGAGGGTCTACGCTAGAGTCGGTAAGGTAAAGGCGGCTAGCTGCGTTTCGGAACGGGTGGGCGGTGAGCTTGTGAAGAGGTTTGTTGTGAGGCAGAGAGATAGATAACGTCAAAGGGATGGCACACGGTGCTTCGAGCGCCGTTGGGGGAAATGAGCGGAGAGAGGCGGAGATAGGCTTCTAGCTGATTGGGTTGTATAACGGCTTTCACCCCATTTAAAACGCTTATGTCATGTCAGTCTGGCCATTGCCTACCACGGTTTGACTACGCATCCCTGTGTCCGACTTGCGCATGTGCTGCGCCCTCGTGGAGGCGTAGATAACCTGACGCCGCCTCCTGAGCGCTTGCCCAGCCATCTTCCTTTTACTCCTTGGCCCCAACCACAGCACTTCAGCTCATGGCAAGACGGACAACTTCGTACGAACCAGCATGTGAGCTTGCGTGTCAGGTCCGTCCATCACGCATGGTCGCTTCTGGAGTCGTCTGGGCTCTCCCTGAACCCCACAACTCCTCTCGTAGCACTGACGAACAGCCTCACTACCTATTGGCTATGAATACATACAGCAGGCGTCAGCATGCCCCTTTCTTGATTTCGAGCAACGACGTAACTTGTTTCGAGCGTTCGCCACATGCCAGATAGCTATGTATGATGTATTCTCGTCCTGGGTCATCAAGTCTCTAGTATCCTTCCTCGGGAGTCACCTCTGCACCTCGTATTATTTATCACATTGTGATATATACGGAACCAACACAGACGTCTTAGCTAGCCGAAGACATTCCGCCACTCGCTTCGACGTTTCCGAACCCGTGTGTGGCTGCAGCAAGACATTATATTTAAATGCCCATGCGGTTGGCTTGCTAGGATGATTGTCCAGTAGACATATTACAGGACTCGCGTCCTCTGGAAGCCGGCTGAACACGCTACGAATCTTGACGTCGCAGCTTGTGTCGCTTCATGCTCTTGCAAAACTTGTTGTACCTCATAGAACAAACATATGTCCATGCTGCAGATAATGTTGGCTCGTCTCACAATTCTCATACTAGATAAATTCTGGCTAAGTAATACACCAAAGTTGTAGTTCTTGATGTTGCGACCATCGTGAATGTAGTATGGTGCACGGACCATCATTGTTCAAGACAGGAAGCCGCGAGTCGGACTTCGATGTTCCACAACACCACAGCTCAGCTCTCAGCATTACGTCTCCGCCAACACGCTACCCAGGATCAACGTTGCAGACCACGTTCCAATTCTATCGCATACAACCTTGAAAGCCGCGCGCGTCCTGTCCGCCGCTCCCGAGCTTCCTCATCCCTCCGCTCGGACAGTGTCTTGGTCGAAGACATTACATTCACAAACCGACGGACGAAGCGCATAGTCACCGAGTCGAACCTCCCCCAATATGGCCGCTTCAGCAATGCTCGACGAGCGCGAGCTCGCAATCAACCCCATCGTCGGAACAAGCGTCCAGCACAACACACAGGTACGTTCCCCTCTTCACCATCCGTCTTTCATGCATCTCTAACATAACTCAGGTGGTATCCAACATCCGCAACCTTACCGCCTCACTTTTCGGCGTCGCTGCCGGCACACTAGGCCTCGAGTCATACCCAGGCTTCATCTTCTACCTCGTGGGGTCGCTGTTCGTTTCTGTACTACTGTTTCTGTTGAAGACAGATGGGAAGCCAGGGATGTACTTCTATCGGCCGTTGGGGGAGCTGTGGATCGGGGATGTGTTTGGGGGGGCAAGTGGATTCGTGCTTACGTGGACGTTATTTTATGGGCTGGTCAGGGCATGAGGAGATATGGCTATAGGGATGAGAGACGTCGGACGAAGGTAGTGAGGCAGTGGCGCTGTTTCAGCCAGACCGTGGCGTAAGCTTCAGTCGCCGCTGCAGACCAGGAGAAATGGGGCTCGACGCTACAACATATTCTTGAGTCGGTCGTGAGGTGATGGCAGTAAAACAGCGAGACTCTGTGCTGTAGAGAGGGGTGATCGGCACGCAGCAAAGACAGCAGCAGCCCCATGGTGGTCGATCGGTATTAGCCTTTTCATGATACCCTTTCAGTCTTCGAGATATAGTTGGGATATGTTCGATGTCTCATGCTCTGAAAACCTTCCAAAATCACTACAAAGCTTGAAGACATCATCTTCCACGAATCCTATGACAAGACAAATGTGCTTTTGCTGTGCATGGCTGAAGCGTGACGCTGTCACTATGTCTTGGCGTGGCTAATTGAATTTAGCGCGTGCCCGACGCGTTGTTCCGCGCTTTCGCGTTTTGTTTCCTCCACTCCACTTCTGCCTTGACAACAACCTTGCCCTCAAACCAATCTTGTTCTATTGTAACGGGAACGATTCACAGTCACCAGTGAGTATCTACATCAATAAACAACCCCGAGAAAAGCTAACGAGTCGCAGTGCTTGAAGCACGCTTAGAACAGGCCAACCTTCTCAAGAAGGTACTATTACACCATCCCAAGACGTCTTCGTAACCATCTAACAGCATGCAAGGTTGTCGATGCCATCAAAGACCTCGTCCAAGACTGCAACTTCGACTGCAATGACTCTGGTATCGCGCTCCAGGCCATGGACAACTCCCACGTGGCCCTCGTCTCTATGCTGCTGAGGTCCGAAGCCTTCTCGCCCTTTCGCTGCGACCGCAACATCGCGCTCGGTATCAACCTCGGCTCGCTGACAAAGGTGCTGCGCGCGGCCCAGGGCGAGGAAATCCTCACGCTCAAGGCAGAGGATGCGCCCGATGTTGTCAACCTCGTCTTCGAGAACAAGACAACGGACAGGATTAGCGAGTACGATATCAAGCTCATGGACATCGACCAGGAGCATCTGGGTATCCCTGAGACAGAGTACGCGGCCACCATCTCAATGCCTGCGGCGGAGTTCCAGCGCATCTGCAGGGATCTGAGTGCGTTGTCAGAGTCAGGTACGTTCTACCAGGTGGTGTTCAGGGCATCCAGTGCCAGCAGACCATGACGTTTTCCGCCAAGGCAGAGAGCTAACATACGTTCCAGTCTCGATCGAGTGCACGAAAGAGGGTGTCAAGTTTGCTTGCTCTGGCGACATAGGCTCCGGATCTGTCCAGCTCAGGCAACATACGGCCGTTGACAAGCCGGGTGACAGCGTCGAGATTGACCTGACCGAGCCAGTGGCTCTCACATTCTCCTTGAAGTACCTCGTCAACTTCTGCAAGGCCAGCGGTCTGTCTGATCAGGTCAAGCTGTGCCTGTCCAGCGAGGTTCCCCTGCTCGTCGAATATGGTCTGCAAAACAACAGCTACCTACGATTCTACCTCGCGCCCAAGGTAGGCCAATCTATCCTTTTCTACGTCAAGACCTTGCTAACATGCATCAGATTGGTGATGAGGAGTAAGCGCATCATGACTTGCATCGATATGAACGACATGTTTTCAGGATTCAAGCGGGGTATAGCCGGCGCAACGTCTTTGGTATGCATACCTTTTGTACAAGCGTCTGTTAGATTTATGGATAAGTTTGCTGGCTCTGCGAACGATGAACCACAGGTCGTGCTTTCCTATTCTCGACCACTAGCCCAGGACAAGAAACGAGCACGACAATACAATATGAATGCAAATCTGCTTCTGATTGCAAATGTATCTTCCCTTACGTGACCGTTTTGCTGCGTTCAGCACTCTCCTTGCCTCTCATGCTCATGCTCATGCGTTCTCTCGATTATCCCTGCACAACCTTTATTGACATATGACATCTCCTGAAGAAGCAGTCGCTGGTAGCAAGAAGTGAAAGACAATATGATTATTGCAAAATCATTTCAGCTGAATGAGTGTACTTTGAGGTATGCAGACCCCGCGCCACAAAGTACCATTCTACCTAGCACCCCGCCCTGCGTCATGCGTGGGATCTTCGATAAGGAAAACAACAAAAACAGCGGCACTCTACCACACTTCATTCATAGACCGTCCTTTGATCTAAACGAATAGTAAACTCGTTTCCTTCGCGACCATGCCTTCCAACGCGCTGGTGCCGGACACGCGCGTGCTCGCAATTGCCAGCCATGTAAGAAACCCGCGCGCAAAGCTATAAAAAGTATTTTGAAGCTGACGCGCAAAACAGGTCGTTCACGGGTGAGTTCGTATACTCGGATCGACGACGCGCTTGACTGAACTGAAATCGAGTTATGTCGGCAATAAGATGGCGACGTTTGTCATGCAATCTCTGGGCTGCGATGTGTCGGCTATCAATACGGTGCATTACAGTATGTGACTCCAACTCTCGGGTGGGGGAGATGACGGCTGAGACAGATTCAGGCAATCATACCGCGTACAAACAGGTCAAAGGCACGAAGACGTCGGCGGAACAGATACTCGATCTGTATGAGGGGCTGCGCCAATCGGATCTGACCAACTTCGACGTGCTGTTGACGGGTTATGTGCCCAGCGCTGAGGCGTTGCAGGCTGTGGGCAAGATTGGGAGGGATATCAAGTTCAATGCTGGGACGAAGCCTGGTAGCTTTTTCTGGGGTGAGTATGGAGTGCTGTTGGGGGTGGCGTGAGGTAGTACTGACAACAGACAGTGCTCGACCCAGTCATGGGAGACAACGGAAAACTATACATACCAGAAGACGAGGTGCCCGAATATAAAACGCTGCTCCGCGATGCAGATCTCATCCTGCCCAACCAGTTCGAAGCAGAGTCAGTCTAGCAAGCCATATACATATTTTCCAACAGAACAGCTGCTAATTCGGTGTAGATTGTTATCCGACACGCCCATCCACGACCTCAAGTCCCTCGCCACGGCAATCCAAATCCTCCACAAGAAATACCAAGTCCCCCACGTAATAATCACCTCCCTCCGCCTAACCCGCGACAACCAAACCATATCCTCGCGCGCACCCTCGCGCACACCCTCCAGACCCGCCTCAGGCACACAAACGCCCTCGAACCCCGCCCCCCTCGACGCAGCAACCTCGCACCCCTCAACATGGCCTACATCCGCCGACTCCCCGCCGCCCCAAGAAGCAGCAGCAGCCGCCCCCGTCGATCTATCGGACGTAGAGAACCTGACCATCATCGGCTCAACCGCAACTTCAGACTACAAACCACGCCTCTTCCGCATAGACACACCGGCACTCCCCCTCTTCTTCTCAGGAACAGGCGATATGTTCGCCGCGCTGACGGTCCCGCGCCTCATTCAAGCCGTGCACGCCGCGTCGACGCCCGAGTGCGATCTAGCCAGCAAGCCCAGCTGGCGGTCCCCCGACGATGTGACCGCGGATGAACTCCCGCTTGCTCAAGCGTGTCAGAAGGTGCTGGCGTCCATGCAGGCGATTCTTGGGCAGACGGCGGAGCAGTGCGGCGAGAAGATGGCGGAGTATGATGCTAGGGCGGAGAAGGATGGGTGTGGGACGGGCGAGGAGGCGGAGTCTGAGGCGGACAAGAAGAGGCATCTTGCACTTATGAATGCTAGTGAGGTTAAGGTGGTGAGGTATGTGGGGGAGTTGCTGGATCCGCCGTGTTTGGAGCGGTTTAGGGCTAGGGCTGTGGAGGTGGATGTTGGGGGGTTGTAAGGGGAGGGGGTGAGATATAGTCGCTTTGATGCGGGTGTAATGTAGATGACTAGCCGTGTCCTTTTCCATCCCGTTCGTCCTCATTTTATGTATCCGTCATGCGATCATGCAATCAATCCACATCCCCTCACGCAGCTGTACCCGCCCCAAAACCCCCCGTACTCCCAAACCCGCCCGCCCCCCTAACACTCTCCTCCAGCTTCTCCACAACAACAACATCAGCCATGACAATCTATCCCCAGTCAGTCAACAATCCATTCATTCTTTCCAAACGCAAGACAGAACATACCTTCTCAACAATCAACTGCGCAATCCGATCCCCAACCTTAACCTCGAAATCCACATCCGAAAGGTTCGCCAGAATAACGCCCACAGCACCGCGATAATCCGCGTCGATGACGCCCGCCATAGTATCAATACCGTGCTTGAACGCCAGTCCCGAGCGCGGTGCTACACGACCATCTAGTAAGAGAGCGCGTAAGCATCCACACATATACACAAAAGCCTCACACCCCATCTCACACAGATCAAGAGAAAGAAAAAGAGAGAGAAACATACAAGTACCCACCGGCACACTAACACTCACATCCGTAGCAACCAGTGCGCGCCCCCTGGCCGGGATGCTCATCTCCCGCGCACTATACAAATCGTGTCCCGCCGCAAACGCGCTTCCCTTCGTTGGCGCGCGCGCCTCAGGACTGAGGAGCTGGACTTGGAGCTGCATTTCTGCGGCGGCGGCGGCGGCGATGGAGGGTGCGATTGAGGGCGGCGGTTGTAGGCTTGCGAGGGGGGTGGGCGTTGTGGTGCCGGAGTCTGAGGGGCGGGGGAGCGTCGAGGTGTTGCGGAGGGGCGTGGGGTCGATTACGCGGGTGCGTTTTGGGAGGGGGGAGGAGGGGAGGGAGGGGGGCTCGTGGGTTTGGGAGGGGGTTTCGGACATTTTTGGTCTTTTTGGGGTGGTTGTGATGGGGAGGTGGGTGGAAAATTGAGATATGGCGGTGAGGTGTGGTGTTGAGGTGTTGTCGTTGTTGGGCGGTGTGGGTTGTGGGTTTGTTGTTTGGTGGGGCGCGTCGCGTGGGCTTGTGTGGAGATGCGAACGCGTTGGAAGTTAGTGGGGAAGCTTCATGCTTCGACCTTCATGTTTGTTTGTTGGTATGTTGCACGTGTTAACTCCCATTATGGTTGCGCGTCTCTCTGGACCTTCTGCTGCGTTTCTTCGTCGTTGCGCATTTTCACCTTTTCGTCCTATGTTGGTCTGCCATGGTTTGCCATGTTCAGACGCGTTCTCATGGCTGGCGGGGATGCTCACGCGTATGGAGATGCTGTCTAGTAAAACTGACTCATCTATCTGTATGCGCATCTCGAAGACTACATTGCGGTGAGTTCTCACGGTGTTAAGCTCTGCCAACTGCCTTGTCGTGCTTGACCATGGCATGACTGGGAAGTGGCCAAGTCATGGTCATCGTGAAAATGACTCAGGAAGACGGCATTTGTACTCTCGCGTGATGTCCCCGACGAAACCGTTGCCACGGCGTTGACCAGATGGCAACGTTGCAAACAGGCATCCTCTGCTTCCCTGACTCTTGTATTTCATCTACCTGCTGGAAGGTCCGAAACACACATCTGACAAACACGGGCTCGGTGCCATGGGTGACGAGGGAGGCGGTTGCTTCGGTAGTTCACGCAGACGCGCAATGCAGTACTTCTCACGATGGGACACAAGATGAAAAGGAGAAAGGCTCTGTCACTACGTGCAAACTTTTCTCTCCTATTTCCACGATCTCATGATCGCGTACGCGTAGGCGACAAGAGCCGCCTACGTCGAATCGAGGCCGAATCGTACCCCCGAAATTAGAATACATCATTTGACTACGAGAAGTTTGCCAAGTGGATCTACCGTGGTAGTTGGGCTCGGCTTTTGCTCTGGTGAGCTTGAGCTAACCTGGCGCCGTCATCAAATCTGCATACAAATCGCCAATTAGGTACGCTTTCGCGTCGCCAGAATGATGATTTGCGTTTACTTCCGACCGCAAGTAGAATCCCCAGATATTGGCTTTCGTTTCAAATATCGCACCCCGCGATGCTGCCCCGCGTAGAGATTTTGTTGGGGAGGCAGTTCCACAATTTGGTGCGCGAGTAAGGTTCTCCAAGCATGCTCGGCCTCCGTTGCAATCTCGACTGGACTCCCCACAGAAATCAACAAGTGGGACAGAGCTTCTTTTATCGGTCCATCAACAAAGGTGACGATTCCACTACGATGGTACATGTCCAGACAATGATTGCGGCCAGCAGCAGCATGGCCGCATCCGACATGTATCCAACCACCATCACCCGATATTTCGCTTGCAGAAACCAGGTTTCGACTCCCATATCAGGGCAGATGACCATAAATGCCTCGACAACATGATGCCGGCTAGGACTAGTCAACGAGAAGAATCTTTCCGGGAGTTCTGCCCAGCCTGTGACGACTGCAAAACAAGCGCGCCACTAAATGCTTGTTCAGCCTCCCTCCGGGCACCAATGCACCCCGCTAGGGGCAAAATTTGCTGATCGTGTTCGCTCGTCACAGGCATTATCAAACTTTTTGCTCGTAGTACCCGACCAACAGGATCGCGTCCAGTGCTCGACATGGTGCCATAAGGCATCTAGAGCCTCTCCGGGATGCCGAAAACTGTGGATATCAGCCGCATTGGAGGTTTTCAACTTGGAACAGCCGAGCTACCGATTCCGAGTGCGCGAGACGGTGGCTGCTCCTGGGACTGCAAGATGAGCTTGTATCCAGGAGCTGCATCAGTAGATCCGCAGAGACTCTGCCATTGACTGCTGCAGATCTGCCACGGCATCGATCGTGTGATTTGGAAGCTTGCCTCCAAGCAGTAAACTCACGATCCCCAGGATGAAGTAAGTGGCTAACATGCTAGCGTGACCTTTTGCGGACGGCCCATGCTCATCATACATGAGACGGTCACTTACCTGCCAGCCAAGATCGCTTAACGCCGCAGGTAGCGTCGTCTCGCAGTCCGGAGGACATGGGTATCTCCTGAGTACCTCCGATCGGAGCTCGCTGGGGAGTTTTGCTGTGGGGAAGCAGGCATGATTTGGCACGCGAGTTCCCACAACGTGACACTCTGGCCGATTCTCGACTGGGAACGATGCAAGATCCGAGCTTACAGAGCAGAGTCTAGTCCACAACATACCGTAAAACTCCGTCCCTTTCGATTAACGCTAGCAGGGGGGTTAACGGCTGAAGATTGTGTGGGCTCTGTTGATTGGATCGATTTGCCACTGATCGCGGGGAAAAGTGGAAAATTCTGGGCCTTTCAACCTTTACTAGGCTTAGAACCCGTGCTGAGCCTCAAACCTCCCCTGCTAGCGTTAATCGAAAGGGACGGAGTTTTACGGTAGCTGCGAATTTGGAAGTCTCAGACACATGAATGGTCCGCCACACGCCCCTGGTCGGCACTAGTCCTGTCGAGAGCCTTTCATGGCCACTACGCGTCAGTCGGCTCCTCCTCCACTGTCGGGGCAAAGTCACTAGCGTGTTGACTCCACACGTCCCCAGAATCCAAGGCCAGGCAGACCCGTGCTCATGGGATCCCACATGCCTGGCGTGTACAGACGCTCGCACGTATATAAACGTGGCACACCCCCCTCGACCATAATTTCACCCACACTCGAGTCACCCAGTTGCCATCTTTGCTTCTTCCAGAGACATCAGCTATCATGGGTGCCGCATTTGGAAAGCCGACAGGCGTCCCAGGTTCCTCTGGGCCTGCCATTATGGTCGGATTGTTCGTCGCCTTCGGTGGTGTTCTCTTCGGGTATGTTAACTTCCTTGCAACGTTATGACGAATATGGTAACTAACGCTTTGCAGCTATGATACGGGAACCATTGGTGGTATTCTCGCCATGCCATACTGGCGGAGATCGTTCAGCACGGGTTACATCAATCCGACGGACAACTACGCGGATATCACTTCAGGCGAAAAGTCCTTGATCGTTTCCATCCTTTCTGCTGGTACCTTCTTCGGAGCTCTTGCTGCCGCTCCTGCTGCGGATGCCCTTGGTCGTGTTCTTGGCCTAGTCACCTCAACCCTTGTCTTCACTGTCGGAGTTGTTCTTCAGACCATCTCCACTGCCCAACCACTGTTCATCGTCGGTCGTGTGCTTGCTGGATTCGGAGTTGGTATGATCTCTGCGACCATCCCGCTCTACCAGTCGGAAACCAGCCCCAAGTGGATTCGTGGTCTCGTTGTCGGTTGCTACCAGTTTGCCATTACCGTCGGTCTTCTGATCGCCGCCATCGTGAACAACTCTACCAAGGACCGCAATGACAGTGGATCTTACCGTATCCCCATCGCCGTTCAGTTCGCATGGGCACTTATCATCTTTGCCGGTTGCGCCATCCTCCCGGAGACTCCCCGTTGGTACATCAAGAAGGGTCGCCCGGAGAAGGCCGCCAAGTCTCTCTCGAGGCTTAGGAAGCTCCCGATGGACCACCCCGCCCTCGTTGAGGAGCTCGGTGAGATCACCGCCAACCACGAGTACGAACTGTCTTTGGGCAAGGCCTCTTACCTCGACTGCTTCAAGGGCAACCTTGGCAAGCGTCTTGCGACTGGTTGCGGTCTCCAGGCCCTCCAGCAGCTTACTGGTATCAACTTCATCTTCTACTACGGTACTTCGTTCTTCCAGAACTCCGGCATCAGGAACCCCTTCATCATTGGTATGATTACGGCCTGCGTCAACGTTGGATCCACCATTCCTGGTCTTTACCTTGCTGATAGGTGGGGTCGTCGCAACCTTCTCCTCTTCGGCGCTATTGGCATGGCCATCTCCCAATTCGTTGTCGCCATCGTCGGAACTGTCGCCGGTATTGACAACCTTGCTGCTCAGAAGTCTTTGATCGCTTTCGTCTGCATCTACATCTTCTTCTTCGCCTGCTCATGGGGCCCCATCGCCTGGGTCGTCACCGGAGAGATCTTCCCTCTCAAGGTCCGCGCCAAGTCGCTCTCCATGACCACCGCCACCAACTGGCTCCTCAACTTCGGCATCGGTTACGCTACACCCTACATGGTCGACCCCGGCCCAGGTAACGCCAACATGGGCGTCAAGGTCTTCTTCCTCTGGGGTGGATGCTGCTTCATCTGTGTCTTCTTCGTCTGGGCCATGATCTACGAGACCAAGGGTCTTTCCCTCGAGCAGGTCGACGAGATGTACGGCAAGGTCAGCCAGGCTTGGAAGTCCAAGGGCTTCGTTCCCACCGTTTCTTTCCAGGATGTCCAGGACGTTCAGGCCGGTGGTCGCCGCATGAGCTTGACCGACGCCGAGCTCGAGGCTTCCCGCAAGAGGAGCGCCCAGTACAACGAGAACTACAACGCCTACGAGAAGCCAATCAACACCGTTTAGATGTTGATATGACGGGATGGATTTCTATGCGGACACGAATATGTACGAGCATGGAGATGGAAGTTGGCAGGTGTTGTTTTTGTAAAGTGCAGCTTTTTCAGCGGCTTTCGCGATTGCGACCCCATTGTATATATCACCTCTGAATTACGAGTGTAATGGATTTCTCGACGTTTTAATAAACATGTTTAACTCATCATCTTCAATGTGCTTTGAACTCTGCCAATTTGTGACTTTTGCGACTGACATTTCCATACCCATGGCGCAAATGTTTCACATCGTACCAGCCCCCAAACCAAACCAAAACAACACAATACATCCCATCTCCAATTCCCTCTCAATACACCCATTCCCCCCAGCAACCCAAAGCCCCCAATAGTCCACCTACCCACCTGCGCATCCCAATCTCCACATCGCAACCCAATCCATCCCGTCGATCCCCCCAAAACCATGCACCACATATTGCGGGGTAGCCCCAAGCTAACCCGCAGCGCCACCAACGCTAACGCACAATCTCATCACCACCACCATCATCATCTGCATCATCATGACCGCCTGCCGCTATGATGCACATGCATGTGCTGGCCTGCTCCTGCTGTCGTAGTAGTAGGTACACGGGAGGGAGGGACTACCGTACACGCGTCTCGGCGACGCTTGCGCTGTCGCTGGCTGACGCTCGCATGCGCCTCGGTGTGCCGTGCCGCGCCTGCTAGCTAAGTACCCCAGATCTGCGGGCGTCAGCGGCGTTGCTTTGCGATGCGATCGATGGTTTGTATACGATGGAGTTTCGCTAGGCTGGTGTGCGTGCATATTGGGAGTGCGATGAGATTGAGATTGAGATTGTCGGGCGGGATGGAATGGGATGGGATGGGATTGGATTGGGCACGTTTGTGGAGATTGGGGTTAGGGTTAAGTCGATCGGGACTATCGTTTTGGGGATGTATCGTGCATATCTACTATGATGTGTACGTAGGTATGTTTGTGTGTATGTACGTAGGTACAGCATTGCAATCCAACGCAGTGGATCGGATTGGGAGCAGGTGAGATGATGCACGGCGCCATGCTATGAGGTCAGATGAGACAAGAGGGAGGGTAGTTCGTGAGGTGGGACCTGGTTCTCGGTTGCCTACCTCCCGGGAGTGAGCATGTGACTACCTGGGCTTTTCGTCTTGGAGTGACATCGAGCACAACGTTCTATGGCTATGTATGTCTTGGTTGGATACTAATAACCAGGGTTTTGGCAAGGCGGTGCTATGACCCTTTGTCAGGCTTCTTACCGTATCTTTAGGATTCTTACGACCTAGAGCCAGGCCTGCGGTAAGTTCGCATCGCATTGCATCATGTATGAAACGTTCAGTCCCGGTTTGTGCGACGTGTTCGTCTCGGCGTACGGTCTCGTATATACCCGTATACTTGGATTGCTCTACTTACTTTTTCGACGCGCTACGCCTAGTCTGTCATAGATTTCTATAACGCAGGCCCTGTGTGCATCTGGAAAGGTTATTCGGACGTTTTATACGATCCTCGATGTCATGGTTAGGTGGCCTTGCATTTTCTTGGTATGACAGCCTGACACAGTATACAACGACAGTTCTCAAAGGGCAATCAAACACAAACGCAACCATGAATAAACACTATCACGTCGGCATACCGACCATAACCCCGCAAGCCAGTTTCGCTGGGACGAATCACTTATGGACTTTGCGGGATAGTCTTCAGCTGTCTGAGTTGAATTTAAGTAATCAACAAGAGAGGTTTATATATGGCGGTTTCTGAACTCATCACCTGGATGAGGAGCTGGATACACCACGATTCTGTGTATGTGTTACCATGATTCGGTTTTTTGTGTCGAATCGCTGCTACTAGGTTCCTTCATATGGCGTGGAATACCGCTAAAGGCTAGCTTTTCTGTGAAATTCGTGGTGGTGCTGCCTACTAGAGGCATGTTTTGCTCTCAGGCGGCAACGGAAAACTTCCAGAAGGCATGTATGGGATGCACTTAGTCGTGAGGCTCGCGGTCTAGTGAGTGACCAGTAACGTTGTTGTAGGTCTGATAAAATGTAATCCGATATTCAAACAACTCTCGGGTCTAACTGCACCTTCGAGATCTGGGAACAGATTCATGGAATCGAAGACGCGACGTCAATCGCCAGTGAGATTTTCTGAGAGCACATACCTGAAAAGGCATTCTCGTACGCTTTTCGTCGCAAAAGCTCAGCTGTGTTCGCAGCTTGTTGTTCAATCATGAGTAATGCCGCAATTCGGATGGCTTGGTGTTCTCGGCGAGCATTCTCCCGTTGATCGTCTACCATAGCGACAATGTAGTGCTCAGTCTGAAAAACACTAGGGGTTAACTGTTGGACAGCATTAAAGTGCAGCACTTCCTTGATTACTGGTTATTCACTTTAACGCATTCTTTTCCCTTGCCAAACTTATTTTTCAGCCGCGACAACCCCCTGTCGACAGATTCAAGACAACGAATAGTGTTGAGTTCTTCGTGTATCTCAGGATCAGTAGCTATGACAAGTACATGTCGATTTTCCATGAACAATCTCATTTCCATCACAAACTTTTCTCCAACGATAACATCATGACCTAGACTTTCCAACAACAGGAAATCAACAACGGTAGCGCTTTTGCTGTCGTAAACTACTTATCACCTAGGTTTATTGACTGAGAATACGGAGCAGTTTCCAATTTTCAATTGTGTGATTTTCACTAATCAATCCTTGTGTTCTGCCAATGTTTTTTTGTTTCAACGAAGGCAATTCTCATGAGAACAAGTGCAGCCATTTGGACAAAATATAGATTGTGCGAGATAGCGTTGTTATTAGCAGTGCTAGTTAGTTTGGGTACCAACAATCAGAAATAACCTTCCTCATCAAGCGAACGACCTTTCTATTTTCTGTTCTTGGCCTATCTTCAGGTGGTACTTGGTGGTATAATTTTCGATTCAAGGCTTGGGCTATGCAGTTTGAACAATTGTTGTCTGTGTATGTCGTTATTATAGTTGGTTCCCTTTGTATGTCAAATAGCAGAGGAAAGCTCAGTTGTGTGCTACCTAGTTTCTGTATCATAACCAGGAAATCTTCGCAATTTGGTTCTGGTGTCTTTGATTTTGTTTCGTTCTACAACCAGGTGATATGGAAGGCGAAGCTCGTTTGGATGGATGGCTGGTATTTTCAAAGCTATGTTCATACGCCGCAAGCCTTAGCGATGGACTAGAAGATCTGAATAACGCAAGTCAGATTGGTTCTGTTATCGTTGAGTGATTGCATTGTTTGTAAAGTCCTCGACGAATCCATGAGTAGATGTGTTGTTATCCTTATTAGGTCTATACGCGGCATTAAAGTAACATTGAAAATTCAGTTGATAGCCACGCAAAGGCTGAACGGAATGTATTAAACATCTGTGCAACTAGATCCTTCGTCAGTTTCTGGAGTTTCTTTCTATGGCGTGGTTTCTTGGTTGCATTCTCAAGAACGCTAACTCGAGTGAAAAGCAAGGAAGCAAAATGTTTGTGGCGATGTGGGTATGAGAAGACGATGCAAGGTAGATCAGCTTCTTTGAATTGAAGCTCAATTTAATAGATTTTCCTCTCCTCTTACGGAAAGCGAGATTGTGACGATAGGCGTACATTACTTCGATGGTGCGACATTGTTGGGCAGCAGTCTATGTTGTCGGTCACTGTACGAACATGGTTGGCTCAAGGTGTAAGCTCATCTGTATCACTCAGACTTGCACTCCGCCCCATCTATCGTTCTGATGATCGGTGTGTCAATGTTTGGCGTACAAGGCTCCCTACAACGTATGTGAAGGGGCGATCCAATCGTAGGAATTGTGGCTGAGCATGCCTGACCGGTGAACCTGCCTCGCATATACCTCTGAGGTATCCGTCAGCTGGCAACTTCAGAAATAAAAAACTCCTACCATTCACCTTTTCCAGCCAACCTGGAATACTCTCAGTAACGTGTCGGCGTGTAGCCCGGCTGGAGACATGGCAACGGCGGTCTACTACCCTGACGAACCACTTCAGGAAGGCGAAATTCGGCTCATCAGGCTGTTGGCCGGAGAATGGACCACTTCGATACAATGCCATTTGTTCCGTGCCGACACTGAAACGCTGCAGTATCGTGCACTTTCGTACGTGTGGGGATCCCAGCGAGTAACTCGACCCGTGCTCGTCAACGGCGTGATTTGTCAGCTCACATTCAATCTCGAAAGCGCGTTACGACACCTACGAGAAAAATACAAAGACGGGCTTGTTCTCTGGGTGGATGCACTGTGTATTAATCAGGATGACGTTAAAGAGAGAACGCAACAGGTGCAGCTGATGGGCCAAATATATCAGAGCTGTCAAGAGGTCATCGTCTACCTTGGAGACCGGCTTGAGAGTGCTGCGCGACCACCTGCAGTCATTAGCTTCGATCCAGATACGCCTCCCAAACTCGAGGTGTTAGATATTCATCATAAATTTCATTCTCAGCGAGAGGTCAGTGTGTGCCAGGTTTTTGAATTCCTTCACAGATTGAGTCACGATTACCACCTTGATAGCACAGCTGTATTCTCTCGCAATGGAGAAAAAGGCAGTGACGAATGGAACGCGAACTTCGACACCAATCGGATAAAACTTTTCGAAGCTCTTAGAAGACTGATGTACCCTCCCTTCACGCCATTCTGGAATCGAATATGGGTAGTACAAGAGCTCGTATTTGCCCCCCAGATTATTGTCGTTCATGGCACTATATCAGCCCCGTGGAGTATGTTTGCGAGGGCTGCATCAAGCTACATCAATCACAGTCTTGCATGCTGCTCTAGAACAGCCACACAATTGCCTCGAGATCAGATGAAAGTTCTCATCGATTGCAGTCATCGCATCTTAGACATTGAGAAGCTTCGGGATAGAAAGGATCTGAACTATAAATCGATTACCAAAACCGATGCCCTGCAAAGCGATAGAGACAGATCATTGCTGGCATTGCTATGCAAATTCCGAGATCGAAAAGCGTCAGATCCACGAGACAAAGTGTATGCACTTCTCAGCATGGTTCAAGTTCCAGAAGGAGAACCGCATATGGCGCCAGACTACTCACTAAGTGAAGTAGATGTGTTTCGCAAAGCGACACTCGAAGCCATTTATGGGTCGAAATCCCTTCGTGTTTTCAGTACCGAGCTCGGAAGAAAGTTCAGAGACGATTTACCTTCATGGGTTCCGGATTGGGGTGCTCCCGGAGGTCATACATATAGCATACGAGCAGAAGCTGCGGAGTTGTATGATGCGTGTCCTGGAACAGCAGTTACTAGGGATGTGGTCCGAGAAGAAGCTCCCTGCCAACTGTCGGTTCAAGGTGTAAGAATTGCCATGGTAGAGCATGTAGATGTGCTCATGTTGGGGGACGATGCAGATGCTTGCCGAGACACACTTAGACGATGGTGGGATCATGTGCCTTTCGAAGATGGAAACTATTTCTGGAGAATCATATGCGCGGATGTCGTTCATGCTCGGCATCCAGGTGTCAAGGTTCGACGAACGATATACGACGACGAGTTGTCCTTCATAACCTGGGCGCAACTATCAAAGCGATCACCGTTTAAAGAATCTTGCAAAGGGAGCTTTGAAAGTCAGAAGAACGACCATATGTGGTCGGATGCAGCGAGGGCATGGAGGGAAGTGCTCCTCCTTTGGCCCGATATGGTACGGTCAGATTTATTATCTCTGTCAAGGTGGTTCTGTCGCTGTGTCATTCCTCACAGTTACATTGCCAACCTGCAAGAGCTCACACAACGAGTGAGGAAGTTGTTGCGTTTTACTAGCCCTTGCGTGTATTCTGAAGACCAGCTGCTTCATAGCTCTGGAGATACCCGGCAGGACGCACCTTGGAAAGAGTTTCGCGGCCTAATCTGGAACCGGCTAATCCAAACGTATGGTCCAGAGGTCAAGCTCGACCCCCGCCCAAGGGAGAATCTTGTATCGACCATAGACCACACAATCATGGCGGCCACTCTTTCTCGGCGTCTAATTCGTACCGGCAATGGCTACATAGGGCTTGGACCGGCGGCCACGATGGTAGGCGATGAAGTGTTCATATTGAGAGGAGGAAAAACGCCGTTTGTTCTACGTAGATCGCGGCGAGACCTCGTATACGAAGTCGTGGGCGATTGTTATATGCAAGGACTGATGTATGGTGAAGGTAGAGAGGGTATTGAACCAGAGGATGGGTGGGAGAATATTGTGCTTATATAGCGTGTCTACATCCCTTTATTCTCAAGTGGCCAGTGACCTTGGTAAGTTTGATTGGGAAGACTTAGTGAGTAGTGATGGGAGATGTGCTGGACTAATCTGATATCGTCCATATGAGTTCGAAATAGATCATTCATAATAGTATGAGCGAATGTTTGCTCAGAACTGCTGCGTGTGATAAATCAACTGGATGTAGTTGGTAACTCAAACCTAGACTTCACTTCAACATTCTCAACCCAATGTCGCGTATTCGTCTGCTCCATACACTTTGGAATGCGTTACCTTGCACCAAACCATCCCTTAATCTATTGGTTGTTCTACACATCATGCCGAACAAGACTAGGATCGCTCCAAGCAAGTTTGATTACCCATAACTGCGTCGAACATAGGACTGTTGAACTCTGATTCCCACCTAATGAACGATTTGGTCTGGGCGAGCTATCCAACGGTCCGAGAATACAAGGTTGTCTTCAACTGTAAGCTTAACATTCGCGTAGTCAAACAAATCATGGGATGGATTGTACTCGAGGAGAACTTTGCCATGCGTGTTGGCAAAGACTCCGATGAGTTGATATAATTCATCAGGACCCCTGGGTATGTAGTCGATGACCACTGGCGGGGCAGCGCTGGGTATCAAGGTCTGAAGTCTCGTTGCGATTTGCCCGACTTCGTTGGCGTACAAGAGCAGACCGGGCAAAGCAGCCTCAGGAGGTTGCGTACGGATTCTTGGTGTGATGATAAACGCCTTCGGGTTGCTAGTGTAGCCGAGGATGCCCCCTGGGTAAGCCAAATTCCAGAGGCCTTCCTCATGCCACGCAGGGCCGTCGCCAGATCCTAAACCCATCCAAATCACGTCGTGGTGAAATTGGGACTGACCGTTGACGAAGGAGGGATTTTCAAAGAAGTGGGATATCCAAAGACCTTCTTCTGAAATTACGATGACCGAAGTACATCCGTATAGGTTGATTACGCCAGTGTCGAGAGGTACATTTCGAAAATGTAACGTCTTGGAGGATGTTGCGCCGTAAGTACCCAGAGGTCGATGTTGCAGAAGGTCTGTAAGATACAACGCCTCCATAGTGTATTCAAGTTGCAGCCTCGTACTGAGGTAATGGGGTGATGTATTAGATCTAGTATCGCCTCAATGTAGATGGGACTAAGAACTGGAAAGGTGAAAGGGATTCCTCCTAATTTATATTGCAGCACGTCCTGTACCACGTGTCAGCGCCAATCTCGAGTAAAATCACGTCAGGATGCATTGGTTCTGTGGCCGTTGCCTGTTTCTTCTCAGCCGGTGGTGAGCCAACCAAGATAGGATGGAGGCCAACATTGAACAGATGATACGCGACTCTATGCTTGGACCAACTTGCTGAGTGGGGTTGCCGATGTCTGTCCAGGCGAGGCTAGGTCCTTCCATTCGAGACATACATCTGTTCTAGCACTTTCATCCTCCACCCACTGAGCGAATTCGACGACCAGACGCATCCGCGATTGTAGGTCGTACACGTGTTGTTCTTGTCTGAAAGTGAATAGTTGTTATTGCTATATTCTATCAAATGACTGAACCGCAGAAGTAGTGTTTATCAAGAGTCTTGGTTATTTCTAAGAGCTATTAGGAGACAAAGATGGCGTTTTCTATGCATCGCGAGTCAGTGAGCAAAGCAAGATGTTGCTGCCTGGATTTCGTCACGTTTCGCACAGACACCACTTTAGCTTTGGGCCTAACCCGATTGGCGTGACGCGACGCGGCGACGCGGTGGCACCTTCCCCAGAAGTCTCACAGCTCGGGACATTTTCGAGGTCTGCTTTTCTCACTTTTGACGTCTGCGCAGGAGTTCGCGCTGGTTTTGCTACAGAGGTGCGTCATCATGTGTGCTGCAATGGCAATTTGGAGACGTAAAATGGGCGAAATCGAGCTGATGCCTTGCAGAAGATCCGTCCCTGGGGTAGCCCTCGCGTCGTTGTCGCCTCCTGCATCTGCCTCTCCACACAGGCGAACGTCTGCCTCGACCGCCGCGCGCCTATAAAGACTCTCGCAACGTCTACGCTGTGCCTGAACTGCCCGCATTATACTAGTAATCGAGATTGTCGTTTTCGAAACTCATATACAATTCTTGCGCCTGCTGGAATTGGACAACCACTACGTCACCTGTATCTGTAGAGCAGGCGCCTCACGACCACTAAGGAGTGGATACTATACACGGGCATCATCGCAAGGGACGTTGCGCCATCTGAAGCAGCCTGTTCGGAGTACAGCCCTCGCCGAGTAGATAGAAGGAGGTCTGGCGGTAATCAAGGCAGGTGACAGGATAAGCCTTGCACAAAGCATCGTTGCTTTTTCGTGGAGTGCGCCAGCACCTTCACTGACCCATTAGCTTGGAAAATATAGCAGGAGTCCTGTTGGTCGCCGGTTGTGCTCGTTGCTGCAGCAAGTGGTACTGCACGTAGTCGGACCTTTCACTCATAACCGACACAGACCAAGGCGACGCCCTCGCTGACCGTGTGGCCGCCCAGGTTTCTCTGCTGTCGTAGCAACCAACACTGGACTGCGCTACCCCTCAACGCGAAACTCTTGCGACCCCGCGACAGGTTGCTGACAGCCCCAATCATTGTCCCACTCACTTCTCTGCTTGTTAGCTCCGCGCAAAGCTCGAGCGCGTCTCTTTCCAGACGACAGCATCAATTTTATACAGGTTCTCAGCGATACACTGACGCCACCATAACTATGAGCGACGAACCAACTCAGCCAGCCACCCAGCCGGTGCTTGATCCACGCCGACTGGGAAGGAATAATTCAGGCTTGAACGACGAGGACATTGCTGATGTGCTTTTGATACTTCATCCTGCCACACCCACCGCTATTAAGATCGTGGAGCTCGCCGCTGAGACTCGCCCCGAGCATGTGCTCTTCCGTCGCAACTCTCTTGATTCGATGAGCGGGTCCCTAACCGATATTGAGGAGCAAGAAACGATCATCATCAATGCTTCTGGGGAGAGAGTGGGCCATGGATCTCGAGCAGGCGCCGACCTCGCCCTACGCATGTCCTCAGTACGGAATCTGCGATTCAGGCAGCTTGGCTTCATCTTCGGACGTAATCCAAACAGCGCGGATATCGTCTTTGGGCAAGATACCGGCAAGCGAATCAGCAACCAGCACTTCCGGATATACCTGAACTCAGATGGTATCATCATGATTGAGGACATGTCTACTAATGGTACAATTGTTGACGATCAGCTGCTGAGCCACAAAATGAAGCGCTTCAACAAGATACGGATGCTCAGTTCAGGATCCATCATCTCAATACAAAACTCTAACGAATCTGAGATGATCAGGTTCATTGTTCGTATACCTGCGCGGGTCTCATACATGGATCGCTTCCGTGACAATCTACGACATTTCATCACTGAGTGTGCTGAAACTGGCAACAAAGAGAAAGGTAACTTGCTTCCTTACAGGCTCAATGGCATTCGCTGACGTGATGCAGCCTTGCAGCGAATCAGTAAGCAATGCAGTGGACCGAGCATGAAATGGGATGGTGGAGCAAATTACAATCTCATCGGTATGTCCGTTCGATGCGATACATGACTTTCTTTGCTCATTCTCTCAGGTCAGATTGGCAAAGGCGCATTTGCCACTGTTCACCAGCTAGCCACCAAAATGGAAGGTAAGCTTCTCGCTGCGAAGGAGCTCGAAAAGCGTCGCTTCATGAAGAATGGCCAGTTGGATAAGAAGATCGACAACGAGATGAAGATCATGCAAAGCCTGCGACATCCAAACGTAGTCGAATTCGTCGAATATCACGACCAAGGCGACTACTTGTACATCATCATGGAGTTTGTGCGGTGCGGTGATCTGCAAGCGTACCTTCATCAGCAAGGGCCACTGAAGGAGTCTCTGGTGAGAACTATCGCGCAACAGATACTGAGCGCTCTCAACTATCTTCATCGCTCTAAAATCACACATCGAGATATCAAACCGGACAACATCCTCATCGCAGATCTCGATCCCTTCACTGTAAAGTTATCTGATTTCGGTCTGTCAAAGGTCGTCAAGCATGACGAGACATTTCTCAAGACCTTTTGTGGTACTCTACTTTACTGCGCACCAGAAGTGTTTCCTGAATACAGCACAGGCCCTTCCAAGGGAACTAAACGCCGACGAGGCACAAAACAGTATCATTCATACAGCTCCTCAGTAGACATCTGGTCATTCGGTGGCGTACTATGGTACTGTCTCTGTGGCCAACCACCTTTCAAAGGCATTGCAGACGCCACGGGCGAGGCGATGTTCAACAACATCATGGCGACTCCACTTGATCCGTCGCCTTTACAAAAGGCCGGGGTCTCGGCTCCATGTATCGATCTCCTGACACGCATGCTTCGAACTGATCCTGCAACGCGTCCCACAGATCGCGAATGCCTCAACCATCCATGGCTGAAGGAGGGTGCAGTGCTACCGGTCGACCCTACGCTTCAAGCCATTGCCGAGGAAGACGAGTCACAAGACGCAGAGGACCAGTTGTCGCAACTGCATATTCAAGAAGAGATTCCTGAGTCTGACGAGGAAAGCGATATCTTGTCCGACGACGAGCTAATCCAACTCGTCAACCCAAAACGTATCCGCCCGGACCCCCGGTTTCCACGAGACCAGCTACGTGATGCTACGGAATCCAGTATAGATGCGTCTTTCCAGCCCGAGCATTTTATTGACGACGACGAGAGTTTCAGGCTCATGCCTGCGCCAGGACGGGCACGCTTGTTTGGCGAGATTGGTCAGTCGGCTCTCCAAAGTTCAGGTATCCTGAACGCCCATGCAACCAACGCGCTGTCTGAAGAGGAGGCTGCAGCAATCATTTCACGGGATGGAGTTCAGTCGTTCAGTCATGCTGTCGGTGGAACACCATTCCAGGGTCCGTTTACGGCGCCTTCTCAACTTGACGGCGGCCTCTCGTCGCCTAGTCTTTTGGGAGCCGAGTCTCTTGTTCGAGAAATGAACATGACGTCTCCATACTCGCCGGTCTCGGGGACTCACACGCCCGGACCAACAACCCCTCGTACGCCTGAGGTAGTACAGCACAACTCGTTGACCGAGTCTTCGAAAGAATTTAGCCAGATCAGCGAACCCACGCCGAAAGCAAGAGCGCCAGGACTGAACCGACAGATTAGTCTGCCGTTGACTGCTTCGTACTACTACGATCCGTTGGATCCCAGTACACACAACGCAGAGTACGCTTCCAAGGTGAGCGGATACGACTTTTTGTCGGCGGGCAGAGATCTCACTACAGGGACATCTGTGTACGAAGACACGGTTCGAGCATCAGACACCAGTAGCCATTCCGAGGCGTCACATACGGGTGTAGCATCGTCCCCCTCGGCAGAAGTGCCTTGTGTGCCTGCCGAACTTGATATCGAACTCCTCCCAAAGCACTTGGGTAAGCTAGTAGCAACGGCAGACTCGTTCGCTCCGAACCTCACTCTCAACATTGACCGAAGCAAAACGTCGTGGGGTCGGTTCAGCAATAACACGATTGTATACGAGGACAGAGGCGACACTCGCATCCCCAAGACGGCCTTTATCATCTTCTGGTACTCGTCTGGGGGCGACAGGGCTGAGACGGTACAGGAGTTGAGTCAGAAGGGCAAAGACTGGACGAGCCTCAAGGAGCTGAATGTCGGTATCTGGACATGCGCGACACATGGCATCTCGATCAACGGCAAGCATCTCAGGCAGAAGGATGAGCGTGGACGGGCGTTGTTTGGACACCTCAATAGCGGCGATATCATACAAGTTTATCACGATCCGAATGGGACGACTTGCATGAAGTTTCGGTGCGAGTTCTACATCGGAACAGGTCGGCAGGCGAGAAAGGCAGAGGAGAGCTTTCAGGTGCGGGTTGGGAATAAACTTGGGCAGGAGTAGGGGTTTTCAACAAGGCAGGTTGGGAGGTGTCTAGCGGGCGTTTGGGATGAAAGATTAGGGTGTATGTGTTTTCCGCTTGTCAAGAGCATTTTACTGGCGTTCAGTATTGGGGAGGGAGTGTTCGTTTGACGTCGCGAGATGTGTGTTTCTTTTGAAGGGTAGGGACGAGTTTGTTCATGTACGAGTACACCTAGGTGGGGGAGATGTTTAGCACAGAATTATGGTCAAGAAAAGAGATGGAATGACACGATATACAAAATAAACACTCGTTCATGTTTTGCTGAGAATGCGGAAGTATGACATAGTTGAGGCCAGCCAATCAAGGCCTAGTCAATAAGCGGAAGTGACATCTGGCTCCAACCAGGGTCCTTCAAGTCCGCAGCTCCACGTTGCGTGTCCATCTTGATTCCCCACATGTCGTCCTGACGACTCGTCTTCCACCACCTCAACCTCCGTCATGAGGAACTTCTGGGCGCTCCCGGCAGTGTTGCGCATAGCCGTGGCGAGTCAGCACGCCTTCAGTGTGTTTGACGATCTGCTTGCCTTTCCCCAGGTATGACGCGCTGCATCCGAGATAAGACGCCTGGACATGTGCTGACTACACCCAGTACGCAGTTGTGTGGCCCGACACATTCATCGCCGAAGACGAGGCCACGGCCCTCCTCGCGCAACACGCACCCCGCAGCTCAGGCTCCGCGCCGCTCGAACCGCAAGAGACGCAGGAGCTGTCGAAGCGCGATCCGCTCTCTGCAGACACGCCACCGACCGACGATGCGCTCGAGCAGACGTACGAAGCCGTGGTGCTAGGCGGGCAGCGCTACCTCTGCAGCATCCCCACGATCCCCGAAGAAGTGCCGCAGAACAGCACCACGACGGCCGAGGAAGCAAAGGCCGAGGAGGAGAAGGAGCTGATGCGCGCCACAGACCGCGGCTGGGAGCTGCTCGAGGGCATGAAGGGAAACTGCATCTACTACCTCAGCGGCTGGTGGAGCTACAGCTTCTGCTACAAGGACGAGGTCAAGCAGTTTCACCAGCTGCCCCCCAGTCGCGGCATTCCCATGTATCCGCCTGTTGAGGACACGAGCGTGTGGAGCTTCGTGTTGGGCAGATACCCCAAAGACGATAAGCGCAAGACGCTGGGCAGCGAGCAGGGCACCAAGGAGACGTTCGACGACGAGGGCAACATGGCGCATCACGAGGAGAAGGGTATGGAGATTCCGCGCCTCGAGTCAAAGGGCTCGAGCAGGTACATGGTCCAGCAACTGTCCGGCGGCACGCAGTGTGACCTGACAGGCAAGGACCGTAAAATCGATGTTCAGGTATGTACACTACCCCCATACAACATCACACTACACTACACACACACACTAACACCCCCAAGTTCCACTGCAACCCGCAATCCGCCGACCGCATCGCCATGATAAAAGAAACAAGCACCTGCTCCTACCTCATGATCGTCGACACCCCCCGCCTCTGCAACGACATCGCCTTCCAGCCCCCCCAGGAAAACCTCGCCCACCCCATCTCCTGCCGCCCCGTCGTCCCCGCCTCCGACCTCCCCGCCTGGGAAACCCTGCGCCTCGAAGCCCAGGCCCGCGAAGCTGACCGTCTCGCCGCGCTTAAACTCCAGAAGCAGAAGCTCAAAGATGCCCCGCCGGGGGCGCTGAAGGATACGAGTAATCCCCTCCGCGACCTTGCGCAGTCCGCCAAACGCATCGTTATCGGCGGGATTGAAGTCGGTGCGCATCAGCTCGTTGGGTCTGAGGGGAAGGTTATCGAGAAGAGCGTCGTTGTGGGAGGCGGGAAAGAAACTTTCCTCGGCACTGTGGCGAGTAGTGATGGGAGCCAGATGACGGCGGAGCAGATGCGCGAGCTGATGATTACGGATCCAAAGGCTGTCGAGAAATTGAAGGCTAATCTGGATAAGTTGGCGGGGAGGAAGGGCTGGAAATTGGATCTTGTGGATACGCCGAGGGGTAGGGAGTTTCGCGGGATTATTGAGGTGGATGAGGAGGAGAAGGGGAAGAAGGGGAAGGGCGAGAAGAAGGACGAGGATAAAGCGGTCAAGGGTGGGGAGGGAGAAGCAGAGGAAGAATATGCGGACGAGGAAGAGGATGTGCAGGAGGGCAGTGAGGAGGTGTATAAAGATGAGCTGTAGTTTCTTTTTTTGCATCACGACGTATATGATTATTCTTCCACTTGAAACTTACTTTAAAATTTCCTAATCTCCTAGTGTTCATATTCGAATACTCTGCATACCTACCTGCCATACCTCATCTCATCTTGAAATGTTCCATCCATCCACGCATCCATCACGCTTCACGTCCCCCCAACCTCGCAACAACCCACCCCCCAACCCTCGCAATCCCTCCAACACCCACCCAAAACATAGCCGCAGGCAGCATCTCAATCACCGTAACGAACGTAGGATGGCGGGGGTAGAGTATCATCTGCATCCTCTCTCCATCCCCCTCTTCCTCTCCATCCCCCTCTTCCCTCCCACTCCCCACTCCCTCCCGACCGCGCGTCACCTCCACCACCGAAAGCCCACGCATCTCCAGCGAACACGTAGAACCATGTATTTTATGAGGAGAGCGCTGTTTATCAACGGGTTTCCATCCGAACACCGGTGTGGAATGCGTAATCCGTACGTCGTCGGGAGGTGGTGAGGGTTTGGGGGAGGGCGTGTCGGGCCATTCTTGCGCGGAGAGGATGCGCTCGTATGTCCTAGGCGGGGTGGGTGGGTGTTCTTCTTCTGGGGCGGTGGGGTGTGGGGGCGCGGAAGCGTATTCCTTTTCCCATGTTGAGCGGGGTGGTTCGGCGGGTGGGAGGGGGGCTTTGGGGTTGCTTTTGTGCTGCTTGAAGTAGGCTAGTGTTTTTGTGAAGGGCGTTTCGGGGACGGGGGCGAAGTCGATGGGTTTTCTACTTGGGGTGTGGATGGTTGGGGGTGGTGTTTCTAGGTCTGAGGCTTCGAAGAGCTGGGGGTGTGTTAGAGAGGTGTCGTATGAAGGAGATACAAGGAAGTGTGTGCAGTGTATCAACGTACCTCGCTCTCCTCTTCACCTCCTTCATGACCGATGAAACTCAATCCCATCTCAGCCTGCACAGCCTCGATATCGTCATCCGCTCCGTCCACGGTTGCGAAACCCGTCTTCTCGCCTTCTCCCCCGCTTTCGTCCATACTACCGTCCTCGTCTCCATATCCATCGTCCGCCTCACTCCCAGCATCTCCAACCACTTCGACCTTGTTTCCCGCACTGTTCTCACCACCCGCAAACAATCCATCGACAGTTTCGTTGGCCTCGGATGACGCACCTTGAACATGCTGCAGGATCTTCTCCAGCGTGCGGCAATCTGCCGGTGAGAGCGGAGTGCCGGTGCCATCTCGCTGCGGCGTTGAGGCGGGGAGGTTGTCGGTGCCATGACTGCTGAGACTAGCCTGGAGGGGGATGGGGTGTAGTGGTGAGGGAAGTTGGGACTGCATCGTGGGTTTTGCTCGATGGGGGCTGTCTGATCGTTTGTCTGGTTCTCGCGACGACATGGTGGGAGATGTAAAGGGGTGTGTGGTTGTGTTGTTGATTTGGTGAGCAGAGAGTTCGGAAGGTTGGAAAGTGAGTGTAGGAGAGGCAGGTGGGAATCAAACATGACGTAACACGCAAACAAACGTACAAGGCGCGAGGCAAGATCGATAAGGAGTTGGAAGTGAAAGTGAAGTGAAAGTGAGACTTCAAACTGTAAAGAAACACATCGAAGAGAGACTATCTCATGACTTTCATGGAGAATACTGACAGCCCAATGACTTGAGACAATGATATACTTCCATGATAGTGAAAGCTTCGGATAAAGTGATGCAGTAAAGAACAATACTTATCGTTGCGAATTTCAAATCTCTATTTCGATTCGACGAGTTGCAATGACGGCATAAATGCTTACCACACAAACGGAGTACCAACCTCCCCTCTCCACCTCACCATCTCGTACGTCTCACTACCGCAGACCGTCTACGACCAACTCGACATCTTAACATTCATCGGCATCCCGTCGCGCGGCTTCGCCTCGAAGCAGAATTCCTGGAACGCGAGATCCCCAAACGTCAAATCCTGCATCATATCAGCAACGCTCTCTTTGCAGTTTTTTCTCGACTCACCAGATCTGACCACCCAACCTTGGGCGTCTTGTTCGGCCGCAGATTCGCACACGTAAAGTCGAATTCGCGTGCCGTCAGAAGCAGCACGATCTTCAGCTCGTCCATGGCCTGTACAAGTCAGTCTAAACCACACAGTTTGGCTGGGGATAGGAAACACGCACAAGAGGCTGGCCCAGACACGCGCGGGGCCCGCGCTCGAACGGCCGCCACGCATGGCGAGGAAAGTCGGCGCGCGCAAAACGATCGGGATCGAAGACAGTCGGGTTCTCAAACCATCTGGGATCCATGTGCAGGCCGAGGGCTTGGGGGGCAAGCATTTGCCCCTTTGTGGTGTAACGTTGGCCCTGGAACATGACGAAGCCGGCTTTGTTTTCGCAACGCACGGTGCTGCCGATGGGAAAGAAGCGCAGGACTTCTTTGATGACGTTGGTGGTGAGCGTGAGGTCGCTGAGCTTGTGTGGCTCGGCACAAAGCATGGCGTATGTGGCGTCGACGCCCTTTGTGAAGACTGTGTCGTGCTCCTCGCGCAGTCGCTGGAGTATCTCCGGGTGTGTGGACAGGAACATGTTGGCGAAGCAGAGCGTGTCGGATGTTGTTCCTGTGCCGGCGACGAGCATGGTTTTAACCTGCGAGAGGGCGTCGGCGATGAACTGGGGGCTGAGGTCTTGCATTCCGGCCTGGATATCGTCTCGTAGAATGAGGTCCATGATGCCTAATCCACGCTTCTCAGACATATCGACCTTGTCCCGCCGTACGACGTCGAATCTCTCCCGCACTAATTTGGTGAGCACCGCGTCGAACTGTATGCGAATCTTGCGTATCTTCTGCTTTAAGAAGAGATTCTTGATAGGGTTCCACGACTCGCGCAAGACCATGTGGGTGCGACACATTTTCTCCCAGTATTCCAACGCTAGGCTACCATTCTCCTGCGCATGGAGTGAAACCGAAAACGTCGCTTTTCCGATAATGTCGAACATCAGGCGCTGGCCGTAATCGTCCATCCTGAAATCCTCTCCCGACTGAGCTAGCTCTTTCATCAGGCCGCGGAATTTCATCGTCTCTTCCGCAATGCCACCCCGCATGGCAGCAATGTTGGAGATGGAAAACGCAGGACTGAGTTGTTTGTGCAGATGTTTCCAGCGCGCCCCTGCAGAAGTCACAATATTCCCCGCGCCTATAAAAGGATCGATGACAGATTTTTCCTCGTCGTGTTTCTCGTGGTCGTGGTTTCCGGTGACCTGGAGCGCGAGGTCCGGGTCTGTGATGATCATGCAACTTGGGCCCAGGGGCCAAAGATCCAAGTAGAAGACCGATGGCATGTCGTAGTCTCTCCCAATCGTCGTGGTGATGTACTGGAAGTGGGTGTCTTTGGGCAATGCCCTGCTCAACTCGCCCACGAGCTTCAGGTGACCCCAGAAGAAATCATGTGGGGGCATGGGCTGGAGAGAGAATCAGTTTCTGGATACTATATGAGGAAATCGTAAGACGAGAGAAACCCACCAAACCCTTATAAGACCGTCGATGATTAACAAACTTGACAACAAAGTACGCGAGCCCCGCCACAACCCCCGAGACAACAAGGCTCGTCCACGACAACAAGCCCGAGTTCCCCATTGTGAAAAACCGTGATGGTAGAAGTAGGTAGAATGACCTCCAAAGACCAAGTGCGACAGGCCCTAGACTATATAACAGTCATGAACAGGCGGCCTAAAGTTCAACCCCAGTCTCGAGCTAAAAAGTCAGTCCAAAAGCGCGCCGACCAGCTCCTCGGGATGCATTCTGATAGCTTTGCCATTCTGTTCGTGGCAGAGTACATAATCTCGCAATCTGACTGAGTGGTGCCTGTCAGACGGACGGCCTAAACGGGGAAGATGCTGACACCACGTGTGTTGCGCTGTACCTTGCATTACTTTTTTCAGCGCCTTAATTTGCTGACAATTGTCCACGATAGGAGACGTTGCTGCTGACCGGCAAAGAGTAATTATCCCGACCGTTATCGATATTTACGCGCGCAGTGCTTGCAACGGGGCGAAGTTGGGGGCCTGAATGTGGGCCTGCCAAGGAACTATGGCTTTCGAGATGGACTGGTTCGTGGTTTTGAGATCTGGCCAGTTCATCCCCGATATTGACGTAGAAGAAGTGGTGTACGATGAATTTTTACTAGTAGTATCCTGCTTCCTGGGTGTTGCGTAATTGACACCGTGGCACATGAAGTACAGCACTGGAGATGGCATACAAATGTCGTTGGAAGTAGACTTTGACCCCTCGGAGACCTTGCATGCATATAAGGCTTAGCGTGCCCCGCTCCTCGACGTTGGGGGCCGCTATTATACGCCCCAATGCAATGGGGCTATTCTCGGGTAATGCACGAACATTGACGGCCAGTGCATTGTTGTCGGTGCATCATCGAGGGGTGATCTATTTGTCTGGGCGAGAGAGGGAATGAGCGAACATGTGGCAGATTTGTATCTATCTACTGTTTGATTTTTGTCGAATCCCCATCGGAACATGATCCGGATCCAATAAATTCGGCTTCTTCTGACATCAGGGTCTTGTGGTCTAGTGGTATGATTCTCGCTTAGGGTACTTCCTGAGCACACTTGCGAGAGGCCCCGCGTTCGAGTCGCGGCAAGACCCATGTTTTTGCCAATTCGCTCGATCTGCTTGTCATAGATTGATCGACTTCGGCGTTCTTTTTGCTGGCAGAAGTAATGTAAGCTTGTCTGTCATGCTTGACTAGAGGACGTCTCAGTTAGTCGAAGTACCAGGAACCAAGGTGCAGAATAAGCTTGCAAGAGCTCCACGACTGCATCTGCGATTAGTGTGAGAGTTTCGTGCCTCGATACCTGGCGGCGTACACACTTTGTGTCCCCTCATTAATGTAGTTCCGTAGCTTATAGTAGCCACAATGAACGCAGTTTACTTCACTCGCGCTTTCACACTTGACCGAAAGCAATCCTCACGTACTCCCCTTTTTCTGAACAACACCAAACGTCGCCCCTCCCCCCTCAAGAAACACCCTCTCCTCCTCCGTACTCTCGCGCCCCAACGCGCCATTCCGATGCGGATACCGTCCAAACCTCTCCAGAATCTCTCGATGCTCCTGCTCCGCTTTGAACTGCTGTTTGATCATATATTTCGACGCCTCGCACCCGTCCCGCGTTGCCAACTCCTGGTCGAACTCGTCCAGTATGCGCTTCAGCGTGTCGTGCGCAGCGAGGTCCTCGGAGTGCATGAGCGGCAGGTAGAACCACATGCGATGCGCGGTGGAGGCGCGCCATTGGGGGTGTAGATCTGGTCTTGAGGAGGAGAGGAGGGTGGTTGTGAGGGATGAGGCGAGGGCGTCGTAGTGCGTGTAGACGGTTTTTAGCGTGTCGTCGGTGCGGAAGATATTGCGCGGTATCTGGTCGAGGAGGATGACTTGACTGAGGGCTGTCCAGGCCGCGGCGCTGCTGTCGCTGCTGTGTTGCTGCAGGTCGTGGAGGAACGGGGCTGTAGATGCGTTGGGGAGGTTCGAGGGCCCGATGCTGTGCAGGGCGGCGCCGAAGCGCGCTTTACATGTTGCGTCGAAGGCGAGGCGCTCGTCGGGGGTTCCGGCGAACCAGCGCTTTATTACGGTTTCGTCTACGGATGAGCCGTCGAGGGGGGTGTCTTGTAGCCAGAGGTCGGTGACTTGGGTGTAGAGGGCGGGTGTGAAGATGGTCTTGTTGAGTGTGCTGGTGGACATGGCGCGTCGTGTGGGGAGAGCGAGACGCAGGAGATGCGGGGATATTATGCACGCGAGCATTGTCGTGACTATGTATATATATATTGACTTTGGTAGCGAGATCATGTTAGTTAGTTTGTTCTAGCTAGTAGAATGTGTGGTTTGGATTCAGCGCCGCGGCGCATTCGGGCGCATTGTTCACGGCATGACGTAGCTGCGGAAGTGTTTGCCTTCTCCGCGCCGATTCATTTCTACGACGCCTTCATGCAAACTCGACATCTACAATCTTGCACAGACACCACCACGACCCTCCTCCACACATACAGTAATTCGCGACTTCGAATATGCACTCAATCCGCCCCACAGCCATACGCAGGCTCCGCGCAACCCTCACCTCCGAGTCGCCCGTCTCGCCGCTCCGCACACAATTCAGACCATCGCCATGTCTGCTCTGCACCCACCGCATACAACCACAACCACAACAACACACCGCGCGCCGCCACCAGTCCACATCATCCTCCAACGCCAAAGAATCGCCCTTCGCATCAACAGCACCCCAACCCGCCACAGCCCCCCAAACACACTACGCCTTCTTCCCCACATCCCTCCCCACAGGCCCACCCCCAACCGGCCCCTTCACCATCGACCTCTCCGCCCTGAAACGCGAGTTCCTCCAACTCCAAGCCCGCGCACATCCAGATCTGCATCCGCAGCACGATAAGAAGCGCGCCGAAGCGTTGTCGGCGCGCATAAATGAAGCCTACAAGACGTTGCAGAGCCCGTTGCTGCGGGCGCAGTATCTGCTGTCGCTGCGCGGCATCGATGTCGCTGATGACGAGCAGTTGCGGGTTGAGGACCCGGGGCTGCTGATGGAGGTTCTGGAGGCGCGGGAGCAGATTGAGGAGGCACAGGAGGAGGGCGAGTTGGAGGGGATGCGGGTGGAGAATGACGCGAGGATTGAGGAGAGTGTCGGCGTGTTGGAGAGGTGTTTTGCCGAGGATGATGTGGAGGGAGCCAAGGGCGAGGCGGTCAAGTTACGGTATTGGATCAACATCGCCGAGAGTATTGGGAATTGGGAGAAGGGCGTACCGGTCGTGCTGCAGCATTGATAAAACAAAACACGAATTTCATGACGCATCTCTCTCTCTCACTACGCTGTCTACCCCAGACCTTTACCGCGAAACGATATATACCTACACCGGCACAGTCAACGGGTTCATCACCCCCGCGCCCCCATCAACCCTCAGCTCCGCCCCGGTAATATAACTACTAAACCCGCTGGCCAAAAAGCCCGCCACCCTCGCCACCTCATCGGGCCGCCCCGCCCTCTCCAGCCCAATAGTCCGCTTCTGCACCTCCACCTCCTGCAGGCTCGCGGGCGGAAACTGCCCACTCTGCATCTCCCGCACCCCCTTCAGATCAACGCCGACATCGATCTGCCCCGCTGCAATCGCATTGATGCGCACCCCCGTGCCCTTCAGCACGAGGACACCGGACTTTACGACCCCGAGCGCGGCGTGCGACGCCATCGTGAACGCCGGCGCCCAGCACCCGCCGTACGAGCTCGCCACGCTCGTTACCACGATGATACTCCCATACGGCGCATCTTTCGGGGCAGCATTCGGATAGCTCCCCTTCGGGCTCGTCTTCTGCATAGCAGCAGGCGCGTACTTGAGCGCGAAGAAAGCCGGCATGGCGTTTGTTTCGAACGCGGCGTAGAGGTCTGCGGGGCCTGTTGTCGTGATGCTAGGTGGGCCCAGCAGGCCCGTTGACGAGGTCCAGACGTCGAGGCGGCCCCAGGTGTTTAGCACGTCGTCGATGAGGGAGAGGGTGTCTTCTTCCGAGGTGATTTTGTAGGGGTAGCCGATTACTTTTGTGTTTGGGTAGGAGGCGTTTATCGTGGAGGCGAGCTCGGCGTAGGGCTCGTCGGGGTTGGAGGAGCAGGCGTAGATGCAGGCTGCGCCGTGGGCTGGGTGGAGGGGGTTAGTTTTGTTGTTGTTGTTGTTGGATTGGGGGGTGTCTGGTTGAGGGAGGGTGGTGCGTACCAGCTAGTTCGGCGACGATTGCTCGGCCTATGGGTTGCGTTGCGCCTGTTACTACGCAGACGAAGCCGTACTGTGTTCATGACCTGTCAGCTTCACTGCTCTTAATCCCTATCCCTTCCCATCGCTCCCCTTTGACTGGCTCAAGACTCACAAGCTTGCCATCCGCCCTATACGGCGAAAAGTGCTCCGAATCCAGCTGTTCAGTCGTTGCTGATGCCATTGTGCTTGATTGTTGACGTATCTCCTCACTCTGATAGACACTCGTTCTTTCAGGGTGAACTTCAACACGAGGAATGAGGGGTGGGTGACGGGAAGGTGGATGATGAAGTGCGAGATCGATTCAATTCAAACTAGACTAAACGAAACTACATCATAATGCAAGACGGGAGGCAGTGTTGCGTTTACCAGTACCATCAATGTCCCCGGGGCGCGGAGATGCATGACGATATGGCGCTGCGGGTAGTGGGTTGATCTGGTTTGGTGAGGGGCTTATCGACGAGCTTAGGCTTATCGCGCTGCATGCATGCATGGGCTGTTGGGGGTTTGCGGAGGTATGTGGGGCTATGATTGGGGGTTGTGTGAACATGATGTGCTGAACGAAGAATTAGGTAGATAGTAATTGGATGATAGTGTTGTATTCTGAATCGAAATGTAGGATATCTATGTCCAAGAATTGAATATGGCTTTGCAAATTTAGGGGCGAAACTCCATCTTCATCTTCATCTCCAACCACTCCACCTCACACCTCACCCATCTAGTTCTTGTAAGGTGGCAGACTCTCGACCTGCGCCTGCTCCGCCTTCCTGGCCCTCCTCCTCTCCCTGCGATCCATCTCCCTCGCCACAGCCTTAGCCAGCTTCTTCCTCTCCTCCCTCTCGCGCTCCTTGACAATATCGACGCGGTTCTTGCCCGACCACACCTTGCGGAAGTTCTTGCGGTACATCTGGCCGAACGTCAAGAACCTGTCCGCCTCGTCCTCTGCCTTGCGCTTGGTCTGCTCCTCCTCGTCTTCCGTATCGTACGCCGAGTCGTCATCGTCGTCGACGAGGGGCTCGGATTCGAGCGCGACGGCTTGCTGGTTGCGCGTCTTGTCCCAGGCTTTGGTGCGCGAGTAGGCGATGCAGCTTGTTACGCTGAGGACGGCGATCAGCGGCATGGAGAGGAAGAAGACCATGACGGCCCCGAAGGCGAGGAGATCTTCATCCATCTTGGAAGTAGTTTGGTTTGTGGGTTGAAAGTGTAAAGTAAAGTGACTTGATTGACTGGCTTGCTGCAGGTGTGGAGATGGAGAACGACAGGCGTGATATAGGTACTTCAGGGAGGTCGCAATTCGCCACCGTGGCTGTGCTGAAACGTCATTACCGCGGAGGTGTATTGAGCCAATCACGAGTCCATAATAGTGATCTCGTGAATCCTGCCGCGGCGTGGCGGCCGTGTATTTCGTGAGGACACAGTTGAGCAACAAGATGCATTTCGTAATTGTATACCGTCCTTCGTGTATAGCGTAATGTTGGTTACGTCGTATGGGTATCCTATCACATGATGCTTTCCTCACCACCCTACTCATACTTCACGTATCGTGTCCTCTTCTGAGAGCTTTCTTAAATCTAAGCGATACACCATTACTTCCCCTCCCCAGCAACCCCTTTCAGCGTCTCCCTAGGCGGCAAAACATCCGGTCCAAAGCTCAACGGCAACAGCTCTCCCATCGTTCGAACAATATACTTGCCCTCCTTGTTGAACATGAACACCGGTACATCGAGGCCGAGGAACTCACGCAGAAACTGTCTGCACATGCCACACGGGCTGCAGAAGTCCTGAATGTCCGTCGACACGCCTACAGCCTTAAAGGACCCTAGTTTGTGTCCCGCGTGGATGGCGGTGCCCATCGCGACACGCTCGGCACACGTGCCGACGGGGTAGGCGGCGTTTTCGACATTCGCGCCCGTTATGATTTCTGATGAGGAGGCGAGGAGGAGGGAGGCGCCGACGCGGAAGAGCGAGTATGGGCCTGGATGAAGCTATCAGTTTTGAAGTTGTTTGCGCCGATATACGTGGTACGCACAATAAGCCTTCGCCTTTGCCTCGATGCATTGCGCGCCCAGGACCTGCAGCTCCTGCGCCGAGACGCCGTGGATCAGGCCATCTTTCTCGGAGACAGGTTCAGCCGCGACAGGTGTGAAGTCTGATGTTGTTGACATGGTGGGGGAGGGAGAGAAGATCGAACGCGATGCGACGCGTGAAGCTTTAAGCTGCCATCCGAGGTGGGGCAGCGGGGTAGCTAGAGCTCCAAGGGAAGGTACGACATATCGGAGTACGCCGGTATCATGGCTTGGATAAGAGCATGTTAGTCATGGTTGGAATACAAATCTCATCAAGGCCAGTACGGTGGTCAAAGGTTATTATCGGCTCGATTCGTATGCTTCACTTCAGTAAAAAATTATGGTATGAGTATGTTGTATGATGTAAGGTGATAGAGCTAGCTAGGTGGTTCATGTCTGATGTACATGCCAAGACCGCTGACAACTTCGCATTCATTCTCCACTGCACTTGTCTCAAAACATCTCATGACTAACTAGAGCTTTTGCGTGTCATATCGCTAGCGGATTTCTCGGTACTTGACTTGGTTGACCAAAGGTCACCCTACCCTACCCTTCACCTCAATACAAAGTAGACCCCCCCCTTCATTAGCACAGTGTAGTGCAAACTCTCACCCTTATGAGCTATTGTATCATCCCTGAGGAACAACTGCGATCAGGTCTGCAAGCTAGAGGAGCGTTTCTAACTCTCTGGGTTGTCTGTGTAAGAGGGTGGCGAGCTGTGAAAATTTCCACTAACTGTATCTTGGGGTATTGGATGTAAGGGGCGTAAGGGATATGAGTAGTTGGTAAGCTTGGGAGTTTGGATAGTGGTGTGAGTGAGATTGTGGGTTGTGGTTTTTTGTTGATGGATTGGGGGGGCGAATCCGAACCTGGGGTGGTAAGGGTAAGAGATGGATTGTCTGTATTGGCGTTGCAACCCAACTTATCACCAACGCCGAAAGTTAGTGCGAGTCCGCATGTGCTAGAGATAAACGCGAAACACCGAAATATGTGGGCGAACCCGATATAGCGAATAAGAAGGGTGTGTGGGTTGATCTGAAGAGATGGATATTGCGAGACAGTCGATGCCCCGATTAGTCGTCGTCGTTCTCGACAGCAGCATCATTCTTTGGAAGAGCTGGTGGAGCGTTGTGTCTCCTACGCATGTGGACTTTTAGCCCGTCAGACCGCGTGTACTCTCTGTCGCAGCCACCGATCGGACAAGGGTATTTAGCTTTGGTTCTTCCGGACGCTGTGCAACTCTGAGATTTGATATGGCGCGTGAGGTTGCCAATAGCATGCACACCAGTCAGGATCGTCCCACAGCGATAGGGACATGGAACGCTGTACTCGGCATCGCCTAACCCTCTGGGCGATGTACACTGCCGTTCCAAGTACGGAGGGCTCTGTGGACTTGTAGATGACATTGTTGTCGAGCACTGGCTTCCAGGAACCATGGCGTCTCTGTGTAAGCCTCGTTAGTAAGTGTGATGATGGATGAAGGATGTTACACACGCCATAGGTGCTGGGAACAGCCCCGAGTCAAGCATATACATTCCCTGCTCGTGGAAGTCGGGTAGGTGAACGTCCTGGTGGGCCCGGCTCCAGCTCGCTCTGAGTTTCCATCAGCAACCTACTCTAACTCAATCGTTTTGTTTTTACGCACTGATACGCTTCCGGGTAGTTGCCAGGCATGGGATGCTGGTGCTCAGTGACAGGACTCATGACCCTAGAGCCAATTCCTGACAAGCCGAAGGCGTTACTGCCAACAGCATCTATCCCTGGTCCAATTGGTGCCAGATGTAAGCCCGCATGATCATATGCTTGGTAGTCGGGCCCTGGAATATCGGCGGTGGCATGATACCCCCATTCCGGTGGATATATGACCGATTGAGGTGACACTGGCCCTCCCTCGAAAGACTGGTAAGCTGCTCCTGTGCTGGCTTGGAAGCCCCATATATGCCCTGACGAGTTCTCATAGCTACCCCCATTCTGGTCTACCCAATTCGAACTGGAACTCTCATCGGGTACATGATAAGCCATGAGAAAGCTGGAAAGATTTATCTCTGCTGATGTTCGATATTCGTGTTCTCTTTTCACGATAATTCGTCGATCTGTCTTTTGTCTCTTCTTCCGCAAATTTACTCGTCGCGGATAGTCTCGAACTGCTCAATATTGCCGACGAGTTGTTCGGACCAAAGCTCTTTCCTACAGTCCTCGTAGAAACGTCGAGAGCTCGGCTTGAGCTGCACTGGAGGTTGGCCTGTTCTACTTTTGTAAAGTATTGTCGGAGACTGATCGTACTTCAAAAAGCTAAGCTGAATATATAGCGACTCAGTTCAATATTGATCGAGAAAGAGATTGGACTGAGGAAGTCGATAAAATGTTAGCGACTTCTCACACTGCGCAGTGACAACACTCACATTAGACGCTCTGTTCTCGGGTAGAATACGAGCAAATATTACCGAATGAATAAGATAGTCAAAGACACCAGGCAACTTCAAAGAGAACGCCGTGTATCGAGTCGGCTATTCATATACTGGGACCAACAATAAATGCCTGCATCGGGGAAGCAGAGTAGAAGGCGAGCAATCAAGGATGCCCATACAAGGCATCGGGAAGATCCATGAGAACAGGCTGGCAAGGCTGTTCTGGTGCCCTTTCGCACCTCACTGCAGCCTCGAAGTCTGTGTGTAAAACAGAAGCCTTCCCCACCGCTGTTATTGCGTCCAGGAACCAAGCCAAAGGGCAAAGGTCCGTGCGATAAATATGTTGGTCTCAACGCCAATCAGATGATTGACAACGAACGGGGAAGGTGGGACAAAACACACGGGCGCTTTGTTGATCTTTATGCGGGTTTAACGTTGTTTGTGTCAACGTACGACCGGATCGCAGAGAAGGCTGTTGCGTCAAACCCAAACCCATCATAGATTCCCCAACACGAGTTTTAAGGCACAGTGCCGATAAACGACTATTCCGCATGCCGGTCAGGGTTGTCCAGTGATCTGTGCCCCTCTAGTGCATTCGCACCAGAAGATGCAGCGAATGTTCTTCGCAATCCCTCCCCCCAAAAGTATTTCTCAGCCACTGAGTGGAATTTTACTCGGTTGATGTCTAGGAAGCTTGTCTCTAATTAGAATGTTATCGAATTCTTGCTCGGTAGGATCACAGATCTTGCTCGTATCGTACGATCTATCCGATGCCAACATTATGCCCAGCAAAATCACATCAGAGCGTCACCTGATACTTTTGAAGGCAAGGTAACCTTATTCAACTCTTGCTCCTTGCGCATAGCACTATCTTCGAGCAAATTCGTGTGCAATCTGTGTTTTCTCCATCAAAAAAGGCCTTTCGACATGGGAGGAAGAGATTCATTTTGAATCGGTTCGCTGCAAGTCAGCTGTAGAGGTACAGCCGTATCATCCCTGGAAAGAAGTCATTCGGCTCCAAAGTCGACCCCATTTGCAACCCTGTCCCAAGAGAATACCCGCATGCGGCTGGCTCGATGGCCTCCGATGGACCGTTCTCCGCGTCTCTCCCGCCTACCGAACATCCATCTCGGGCCGCCCCCTTACTCTGACTGGATCGGCAACGGTCTTCTACACAAGTAGATCTTATTCCGAAGCCGCCATTGGTGCGGTGGGCGCTAACAGGCGGCGGTTGATGCGGCACAGCGGCCAAGTGGCAAAAACCAATGCTGATTGCTCACGGATCCAAACACCGGTAGACCAAGGGGCTGCCCTTTGTGTGACAAAACGGCTTTCCGTCTTCTTCTGACATAGCTCACGACTTCCAGCAGCCTATTGGTCGTGGACGTAAATGCATCGCTTCTAGAAGACTCAAGAGTACTTGGCACCTCCCAGCACTGCCTAGAAAGAGCCTAGAGGGAGATATCTAATGCAGTTATAGATCAAATCTCAGCCCTAACTGGCATTATCCTGGCCAACGTCCGTGTTCGCGATGCGACGGCTTCGCTTGTTTCTCGACATTCTGTACTAGAGCGGTTCCTTGTGGTCTCATCAGACGACAACACTCTCAATCCGAAGGATCTTGTTGCACGTGCTTCGGCTCGACATTTGATGCAGAATGCTCTAGTCTTCCTTCGCTTGCAGTTGTGCTACATTATTGCTTTTTACCAACTTTGACGCATGCACATGCCATTGGCTTTGTCTCACGTTAAGCACGAGTTGAGAACCATATTCAAGCCAATGAGACACTCTGGGAGAAAGATGCGGTGAACAACAAACACTGCCCACACTTCTGCCTTCTCAGGTGAGTTTGCCTTGTCTGCTGATCTATTCCTGATAAAGACATGACAACGGCAATTGGATGACTTTACGTCCGGCAGTGAAGGCTTAGTAACAGATCCAGCTGTCCAATCCAATATCGTTGTCAAAATGCCAAAGAAATCAATTCATTTGATACACCTATACACGTTTACAATTTCACTAAGAAGATACTGAATGAAATAAGGAATGTAAACAAAACAGAGACCAACAATAATTCATCAACCACATACATGCCGCACAAAACGCCCAAAGGCATCAACCCCGAAACGCCGCACAGCTCCAGTTAAACTTAAGGGCTGTTAGACTTGGTTCTCTTCATAGCTGGTGGTGTGTTGAGTTCAGGGTGGCTTCTTCTCTCATGTACGAGTCTGGCATCTGTTCGTTGGAACGACCTACCACACCCTGGGCAACGACATGGAAGCATTGGCAGACCGTCGGCTGACGTGCTGGGATTATGCTTGTTCTCCATGTGGCGCATCCAGTTACGATGTGCGTACTCTCCAGTATATTTCTTTTCGGGGCAGTAAGGGCATGGCCGAGTTTTCCTGCGCTCTGGTTAGCTGCTGTGTTGCATCCACTGGCCTTCTGCAAGAGTGGTGGTACGTACTCGGTAAGAGGCGCCTGGCCAGTCTGAGACTGACCAGGAGTGTCCAAAACATCAAGCGCATCCTCACTTTCGACTTCACTGTGCTCGACGACTCTATGAACATAATACTGTGAGGTGTAAGTCACATCACGTTCGCCATTTTCACCATCACTGATTTGCGTCAGTGTTGTCCTACAATTGTATGCCGCTGCCATCGCCTTACCGATGTTCGCAGTACTGGCTCTGATTATTGAAATCGAGCAGGTCGTTAAAGTCCATACCGGAGTGGTTCGGTGCGTGCGCTAGCACTCGCTGAAGGCTGCGTTTGGCGAATGACCGTGGTGCAGCAGTGAATTCTTGATTGAGTACATTGACTGAATATTCGGTTCTCTCTTTGTGCAGTATCGGAGCCTGGCCTTGCGTATACTGGACATTGTGTACGGCGGCATGAATTGATGGAGGCCAGGTCGATGTGTGAACTATGTCCGGGGACAGATTGGTAAGACGATACTCCGAAGTCGAGAAGGTATCTGCAGCTGGGCTGAAAGGTGGAAAAGGATGGCTGTCATCTTGAATAAAGAGGGTGTACTGTATCGGCTTTAGCCCAAACTCCACAACTCGGTCATGCACATCCACCTTCTCCCATCTTTGGTGGTTGACTTACTGTAGGATGGTGTTCCACCCCAAGCGCCATGCGCGATACTTCATTGTCCTCGTCGATCTCCATTGCTTCACTTCCTGCGGGTGGATCTGGGCTTGTTGGTTCAGGCTGGGAGGTTCCCCGCAAAATTCGGGTGCAGCGCGTCGCAGAAAGAGCGATGAAGAAGGTCGAAACGAGCCGAACGGTCATTTTGAGCATACGGATGTGAGGACCGCAGGACTGATTTGCTGTCATTGTCCAGTTGATTGCGTCGCCGCCTCTAGTGGAGAGGCGCAATTGCATCATCTTACTGCCAGCGAAGCAATATCACTACGCACTGGAGGCGAATGGCCTCGAGCGGCGTGCCAGTGAGTAAACTGTTGTCGTCCACTCATTACTGGTGATGTTCTCGCCTCACCATACCACGAAAGAGGCCGGTGTCTCACCGGTACCATGTCGTACGTGGACGGATGTGATTCATCCACCGAGGGCTGATCACTGTCTGGTTTCCGCACCGACTTGAAAAGGCAGCCTCCATATTGCATGCGCTGATCGCCAGCGAAGCGTACAAGGACATGAGCGCTTTGCAAGCCCGTGGTTGTAGCTGATGTTGACGATCTCCGAGGAGTTCTTGCCTATGCTGCTGACCGTGAGTGTTCCTCAATCAGGCTGTTCAATTGCGGGGGACAACAGGGCTGGACGAATTGAACTCGGAAGCCGCCGCAATGATTTCTCGCAATCGTGCAAGGTCACGAGCTCACTGACCGAATTGCCAAGAATAGCGACGTCAGACTAGGCAAACGGTATGAGGCAATATAAAGAAAGATTGGGTAGAAGAGAAGGACCTCGGACAGGCGCAGCTGAGTTAAAGATTCGCCCAGCAGTCCGAGGGACACACATGGGCGGGAGCTAAACCTTTTGAACCGAAATTCTGGGAATGTAGCGGCGACCAGTATTATACTTGATCTTCAAGTAATTCGGGCATCATTGTGCTCCTAATCGTATCCTGCAGTCCAACAAGCCCAACCGACACGTGAAGCTTTCTCATTCCTTCCTTTTGTTTTTGAGCCTAACCCCTCAACGCCACAAGACGTATATTGAGCTTCGATCCGTCACACCTCGCCGGATCAAGAACACCACGTCACCCACCCAAAGCAGGGAACGTCGCTCTGGAAAATTTCTCGACGAACCAATAAAGCATGAACCTTTGCTTGCGGGTTTGGAGAGCTTGGCTGCCCGACAAATAACGTCATGTGGCTGCTTTAAGGCTGACTTTTTTATCCTTACGGCCCGAGCTGTTGTTATCTACAGCTGCATGGTGGGTTGCTTTTTCCTTGGCTCTCCGATGACATTCCGAATTGTTGCTGCTGTTCTTTTCTGGCATAGTCACTGTTATGAATTAGCACTGAAATATACGTCTCTATACATTGGCAAATCGAGCTACTGGCCTTCGAAATGCTTAGAGAAACAATGATCCAACAATTTAGTTTTTGATCGACGATATCACGAGTTTGATATCGTCGTGTAGAGATAACTTCAGAACTTCGAATTTTGTTAACCCCAACCAGTTCCTCGACCGGTCGAAAAATCCCATACGTTCTCTGTAGAAAAGAAATTTATTAATATTTTCATCTAGTCGGTCTGACATTGAACGAATCTTCGAAATACACTAACCATACTATCTGCGTTAGTCGTCAGTAAGACAAGGCGGTCAACATCGAAGTTTTACACTACCCAAAACATCTCGATCCACGAAACGTTTACATGCCGTTCACGAGTTATTTGTTAAGTCGCCGAAATGATCCCAACAAGAGGCCCTGATCAAACAAACACTCAACTGAGTTGTTCACAGGAAGACTTCGCTCCAATAGTACATAGGTATCGATCATGTTCATAAACACGTTCAAGTATGAGTGGTAGTAACTTCACAGCGATTGGCTGATGGCTGCACTGACCTATTCTTGATCAGATATGCGAAAACGAGGCCAAGATATTATCACTGTCGCATTCCGACATAGTCACCCCTACCAAACATCGGCTCTGAATTAGAGAGATCAAATGAGTGACTGATTCAAAGAATTTTCTCACAAGATTCCGCGCAAGCGTTCTACTACCAGCTCACTCGCTGTCTCGGACAAGATTAGCGGTGAGCATCCGACTGCTGCGCCAATCATGCAGTCCGGTGCTTGAAGACTGGCTCCGCTTATAATATGACATGTAACGTTACAGGCTTGTCATACAAGGCTTATTTCAACGTCGTTCGAAAACAAATTGCCATCATATATATGCCCAGAAGCCGTTTACAGTTAAACAAACTTGTCAGTCGCTGAAACGCAGATGTAAACTTCAAGCTCCACTTGATCTAAAACGCCGTTCCACTCAGCCCGCGTGTCTTTCTGTCTGCAGCCAACAATGCCATTGATCAAAGTTTCGGACATCCAACTCATCTCTCTCCATACCTCTTCCGTCGAGCCTGCGGCGGCGCGATCTTCAGGTGAGAGTGGTGCCTCCTCCGGTGGACGAGGAGTGCATCGCCGCGGCGGAACTGCCGCCCGCATCCAAGGATCTCACATCGCACAACCTTAGGCCCATCTAGTCCGTGCTTGCTCTTAACATGGCGATCGAGGTTGTGATTGGCCCATTCGCCGCGGTACACACTGGAGCACTGCCTGCACGCCATCGTCTGGTATGTACTTCTCAGTTCCGGAGACTGTGTAGGTAAACCAAACTCGGCAGAGAGACTGGAGACATCCCTGCTATGGTTATTCAGTATAGGCTTCATGTTTTGAGTGAAAGTGTACTTACTGAATTATCTCGCAGTTGGGAAGACCTAACTCGATACTACTGGCCCGATCAGGGTACTGTAGTAACTGTGGCGTCCAAACTAAATATGGTACTGGAGTATCACTGGGTCCTCGAGCGTTCGAATTGTCGATCACATCATACAAGGTGGGATACTCATGAAGCCTAGGGTCACTGTTATGCTCGCCGAAACCTATTTATGCTATTCTGTTAAGAAACGTACGGTAGGGCCTGGCTGGGGAAAAATTGGTCTGACATTCCGTTTGACGAGACGTTGTAGTTTTCTATATCACCCAGCGACTGGTGAAAACTGTAAGTATGCTCGATGTGGGCTGTATTCTGCTTCAGGTCTCAATATCAGCTCGACTCAACCCTTTCGTTCAATGGAATGTAAATCATATGCCGTCTAGAATTTTACCCACCGAGCTATGTGCTACCGAAACGAATGTTCGAAATTGCTCATCAGCCACTCCAAAATCGACCTGACCATGTTTTCTATCCTGTTCATGTGACAAGGCCTCCCACCAAGTTAGACCCAGAGCGTCGTCATCCATAATGTTAGCGAGATGGAATTTCGTCAGAAAGATTGGAGGCAACGCTAATTTGCGATATAGGAGGCATGAGTCTTCATCTTAGTCCATATAGTTCCCTGGCTTGACAAAGGTCCTCCGGGACTACTGACCTCATATCCCATGGTTTTGTGACACCATATCTCATCAGTCAAAAGAGAAAATGCCCAACGAGCTGCCTTACAACATGCATATGCATGACTGGACCTGGCGAGTGGAATCAAGTCACGTAGTATGTACTCTGACATGCATAGCAATTACTATTGTAATATGTCGCTGCCCTATTTCACGGTCCTGGAACCAGCTTCCACTGCATATTGTCCACGTGGATGATACCTATCCCCTATGCAGTGGGCTCCGGTCCTCGCATACTGGACCCAATGAAATTTGGACGTTGAGTTAAGAACAGAAGACGATGGTCATTGTGGTTTCGCAGATCTTCAAGGGTTAAAGCACACTGAGGCTCAAACCGCTAGGCGAGCGAATAGAACATAGAGAGGACCACGTAACATTATGCGCAACCATACAAGAGGCGGAGAATACGAGAGCGCCGAAGTCGGGCGACTGTGCATCGTATGCTCAACTTAAGCAAGCGACGAGTAAAACTCCTTGAAATTAAGGGGCTATGCAACCTCAACTTCTCGCTCGCAACTCGATGCGGCTCAAAAGCTAGGCGTTCGACACATGCTGAAGTGTGGTGTATTTGGACCCCAAAGTCAACAAGATAGTTCCCGCAGCCAATTCTTAACAGCCATGTGGCCGAACGTAAGGATTGATGCATTCGCTACACTCAGAAGGTGGTCATTCACCTACCTTCTCTGCCTCATCCTTTCGCCAGCTGGCAGGTCACAAGCAAGGGACTAGAAGTCAATTTTGCCGAGAAGGGTTGTGGTGACATAGCGACGATTGGCTGATAAAGCGATCCTTATAATTCACTGTTGTGTGGGTGTGTGGGTGTTGGAAAAATACGCCTAGAAATTGCACAGGAATACATGACTGCAAAGGGTTAGGGCAGGTCCAAACTCTTGGGATGGCCATCTTACCAAATGAAATCGCCAGACACGTCAGACAAGACCAGGCTGTGCTGAAATAGTACGTTGCGTCACACCGACTCTGAGAATTAGTTGACTGAATTGAAGGTAAACGCGAGGATTCAAGGCAGACGACAACGAGACTGGGATAATTAGACTGCAAATCACATGTGTAAGGCGTTCTTAGTATTCCAGAACAAGCTATAACAACTTACTCGGTACAATGGTAACATGTTGGACTGAAATTCATGTGCGCAAACGAAGATTGACATGTATGCAACATGACGCTTTCGGCTGACTGCATACACGGTTAGCTGTGTAAAGTCTCGGAAGAGATTACCGAACCAGATACTTGCGGGTTTGAAAAAATTGTGCCTGTCCCGTGAGGACTTAATCAGAGCCTCATGTTAGCGCAACTCAATGATCCTCAAGGATCCTTACCGACTACAGCCTCTAGACACATGACAGCACTCATCGTTAGAATAGACTTGCAATCGGACTTAGGCGCAAGACCTAATTTGGGGCGACAAGGAGCATGTATCTCTGATCGCGATGTAGGCTGGGTAAATTATGACACATTCAGAGGAACCGCAGTACATTCATCTCTTGCAACCCTATTGTCTAAGCCACATTCACTCACCGACATACACCTGCAAGGATCACAACTTTGCCTTGACATCCTCCGGTGTCGCAACCTCAACCATTGTTTTACCTGTGAAAGTTAGCATCATCTTAGCCACGATTTACCACATCCAACTTACCCGTATTCTTGCCCTCAAACAGCCCAAACAACGCCTCTTCCGCTTTCATAATCCCACCTTTAACGATCGTCTCTTTCCTCTTGAGCTTCCCCTCCGACAGCCATTGCGCGAGTTCCTTCCGAGCTGCAGCATACTGGTCGGCGTAGTCGAAGACGACAAAACCTTGCATGCGGATGCGCATGGAGATGATCATGAGGTAGTTCTACGTGCGTTAACGAAGAGAGACATAAAATAGGGGAGATGAGATGCGTACTTTGGGGCCTTGGGGCTTCTTTTTGTTATACTCGCTGATTGCGCCGCACATTACAAAGCGGGAGAAGGGTTTCGCGCGGGAGAGCGCGAGATCGAGGATTTCGCCACCAACTATTGTGTTCTATTAGCCAGACTTCGACCCGTATAGGATGAAGAACTTACCGTTGTCGAAGTATACATCAATCAAGTTCTATAACAAATCAGCCATCGTCTCTCAAGCGCCTTTTGAATGACTAGCTTACCTTAGTCGCAGCCTTGAACTTCTTCGCAAACTCAGGGTCTTTGTAGTTCAATGCCTCGTCGAAGCCTAACTCCTCCTTCAACCATTGCACCTTGCTGTCCTCGCCCGCGAGCCCCAAAACAGTCGCACCCTTCAATTTCGCAATCTGACCCACCACACTCCCTGTCGCGCCTGCCGCACCCGAAACAACAACAAAATCCCCGGCCTTGACCTGCCCGACGTTTAGAATGCCAAAGTACGCCGTCAGGCCAGTCATGCCGAGTACGCCAAGCGCGTCGGTTGGAACCGCGCCCGAAGGCAGATCCAGAGACTCGAGGAACTTCTCCTGGAGCACCGCGTACTCGGACCATCCGCACATGCCGAGCGCGTAGGAGCCCACGGGGAACTTGGAGCTCTTAGATGCGATAATTATTCCGATGCCGTTTCCGCGCATCACGGCGCCGATCTCGACTACATTGCATATTAGGCCTCAAATTTGAGATTCTGCGGGTAGAGGATTATACCAGGAGGAACGTATGAGCGCGTTGGGTTCAACCATCCTCTCATGGCGGGATCGAGGCTAGCATAGAGTGTTTGGAAGAGGACCTCGCCATCTTGGAGGGATGAGGCAGAGGGAATGGGGTGTTGTTTGGAGGTGAATGTTTTGCCAGGAACGATGGCATCTTGGGGCCGTTCGACAAGGTGAATGGATGTGTAGGAAGGCATGTCAGGCGTCGCGAAGCTTTATGTATTCAAGTTGAGGACAGACGTTCGATAGTGTTCGGGAGTTGACGGAGAGCAGTCTGCTGTTCTCTGGATGTGATTTAAGCGTCACACACGAAATAATTCTAGCAAGTACAATGGTAGTCGAGAAGATGAGGGAAATGTCAGAGAGAGTGCGCGGGCGTCCCAGACTTTTGATGGCTTCGTACCTCTCTCGGTCCTCTTACCTGATCGCGCCGTCTACCGGTCGGGACAAGTTGTGGAGTCGAAACGCGGAGTAGCGTGCCTCGGTTCGGCGAGCCATTTCCTATTCTGAGGTCTCATCACGTGCAGCACGCTTGCTCGACATCGAACTTGACATCGCAAATGCAAAGCCTCCGAAGAAATATCGACAATTGGAACGTTCTAACACTAGACAAACGATTGATCAATAGAAAGTGGTGATCCAACTTCAACTAGCACGTGATTCCGCGTGAGATCTAGATCACTCGAATTATGTTTAACCCAAACAGCGTCGACGTGGGCGCAGTATATTCTGTACAGGAACCAGAACGTAAAGAAGTATGTTACAGATACGTCGGGAATGGCGACTAAGGGGTAAGTTGTTTGAAGGAAGAGTTTAGATAAACTTATGACTGGTTCTTGAGTATATGCGAAACTTGGGACTGGGCTCGAGCAGTGCCGTGTACAACGAGGCAACCAAGACTTTTGGAATGAATTGCAGTATCCGGTATACCGCCCGTGCATATTGTGTTGGAGGTATATGCGGAAATCATTCTTCTGTGCCGTCCATCTCAACATCACCTTCCTCGCCCTCTTCCTCTTCTTGCTCACCCCACCAGAGTGTCGGTCCCAAACCAGCCTGATTCATTGAGCCCTGTGTCACACATCAGCACGTTGTTTCCAGACGTTTTGTAGCTCGTAAACTCACAATCACCCTCCAGGCCGTTCCTCTCTCCTCGATAATCTCGCCTTTCTCGTCCTTTTGCACGATGGTCGGCCGTTGATCGATCCACTCCTCCTGCTCGACCCTAAAAAGACACGGTTCACCTTTGTCGAGGAAGAGCTCTGTGCCATCAGAGTTCCAGATCCAGACGTTCTCAGCCGGAGAAAACTCTGAATTCTCAAAGATGTTCTGGTAAGGAATAAAAACTTCGGAAGTGAATTCAAGGTCGATAGTTATGCCCTCTGGGGTTGAGTTCTTGATGTGTCCAAAGATGATTTCGCCGCGGAAGGGACGGAAGACAGCCATGCGGAATTCGACTGTGGAATGTGAGAAGAGGATTGAGACAAAGTCGACCGATGATAGGATTCAAGCATATTTTCGTAACAACAAGCTACATAACCAAGAATCATTCGTGGCAGAAAGAAAAGGATAAATGGAGTGGACTTACGATTGACATTGACAAGTCCAGTCCCATGTCCAATCAGTCCTTCAGTCGCCGAAAGCAGGTCCCATAGACAGATGCACAGCCCAACGTTTGGGACGATCTTGTTCGCGTACTTTTCGTTGATTGCATCTTTGATAGCTTGAGCGCTAGGTTTTTCGAAGTCCTGCGGCTTGATTTGGATCAAGTCTTCAATCGTCGTCTGCAGCAGTCAGTGATTGCTGCATTTTTTGCGCCAGTATGCATGCGTCACTTACGAGAATGAACATGATTGCAGTCTTAGAAGCTTCATGCTATGGTTGAGCCAATGACAGGAATAAAGGACGAGTCGTTATTGGGACATGACTGGTGAGTGTAAAAAAGCATAGCGACACACGTGAAAAGCGACGCGTTGGCGCTAGTTTGTCGGCTTATCGATAACCTTAAATTTCTCCCGCTCGGACCTCCGAGTCGCGTCTCTTCAGTTGCGCTCGACTTTGCACACCATTCATCTCTCGTCTTCCCAGTCATTCTATTTCGCGGCATGTAATGTTCTGGCGCATTGACTTTCGATGCACCGCCGATTGAGATGACGTCGTTCAAATTCCCGCCTCCACCACCACCGCCACCGAAAGCTCTTCCAACCAACAATCCACAGCCGTATCCAAGCCAAAGAGGTGGTAACGCTAGGGGCGGTAGCGATAGAGGAGGTGGAGATAGAGGACGAGGTCGAGGGCGAGGAGGCGACAACAGCAATGGCTTTACGGAAGGCTCAAGAGGTGGCCGTGGTCGAGGTGGAAGCAACAACACATTTAACGCAAATGCACGGGGCGGATACGGGCAGGGCGATGGGCGTGGGAATGCGCGCGGACGAGGTGGTTCGAGAGGCGGACATCAAAACAACAGAGGTGGAGGGCATCTACGAGGCGGCTCAAACCCAGGCTATGGCCAGCAGCAGCAGCCACAGTCTCCACCGCAAACAAATACTCCGCTCTTCGCAAACCAGCCGCAACCCACGATTCCAGCGCAGGCGCCAGTGGACCCAAATGCTTTCGCGCAAGCCATGGCATTCATGACGACACCAGCTGGCGTGCAGTCAATGGCCGCTTTTGCTAACCACATGTCCCACCCAGTAGCTGCCACTCCCCAGTATACGCAGCCTGAGGCTCGGTACTCGCCTCCTCAGCAGGCAGGTCAGAAGAGGAAACTGAACGACTATGGTGACAATGCGCAACTGCAACGAAAGCCTCCCCAACCGAAACCTCCACGCGCTAAAGCCGCTGTCGCTCCTCCCGTGCCCAGCTTCGGTTTCTCACTACCAACACCCGTGTTTGCGTCGCATCCAGCAGCATCGAAGTCAAACGATAAGCAGCAGAATAAACGCAAGCTGCACCTGGGATTGTCCCATCATCCAATGCCAGACGAAAGCAGCGAAGAAGAGGACGTTGATGAGGAAGCAGTATTTTCAAACAAAGTCAAATTCGAGGGCGTGGCATTCGAACACAACGGAGAAACGATATCCCTACAAACGCCCGCCGAGGTCGCAGCGTGGAGAAAAGATCGAAAAAGGAATTTTCCGACCGAGAAACGGGCCGTGGAGAAGGCAGAAGAGACTGCGGCAAAGCGAGAGAGCGAACTGGAATTCCTGCACAGAATCAAGGGGAAACCACCGAAGCAAAAGGAGATGCAACATGAGAGACCAACGCAAGACAACCACGCCAAACCCAACAAGAAGACGAACAAAAACAACAACAATAAAAGTCAAGAAACTAACCCCCACGAATCTGCACGCAAACAAGAAGAGCTCGCTGCCCTCCGCAAAAAACTCCACCAAAGCATGCTCGCAAAACAATCCCTCCAATCCACCCCCCGCCCCGTCGACCTCAGCCTAGGCTACACCAGCGAAACCGACTCAGACGGCAAAAGCTCCGTCTTATCCGACTCTTCCGTGCTCTCCCCCTCGGACGAATCTTCGTCTGACGAAGACTCCGCCTCCGATTCGGATGCCGCCCCAGTCCAGCAATCCACAAAACTCGCGCCCCCGCCGATCAACGTGCCACCGCCATTGCCTGCCCCGCGACCTGAGCGCGCAGCGCCTGAGAAGCGCGTCTGCGTGCAGTGGAAACGCTATGGGAAGTGCGCGTATGGGCATTCGTGTCGCTTTGTGCATCCGCAGCGGGAGAGCGAGAAGCGCGTGGGCCTTTATGAGAAAATGGTGGAACAGGAGCGTGTCAAGGCGGATGGGCTGGCGCTGGAAGCTATCAAGTACTTGGGTCGGCATGGGTTTCTTGGGTGATGTTGGCGTGGTGTGTGATGCTTTGTTAGTTCTGTGTTGCTGCGGTTGATGGAAAAGACATCGGTCAAGTGTAATAATTGTGATTGTTGAAAAAAAAACAATCCAAACATGAAGAATTAAGCCTTATCAAAATGAAGTTGCTACATTGTTGAGTGATACCGATTTCCTCCCCAGATAGAGACAGCTTTTTATTCTATAGTATCTACAGACAGTCATTATGTTCAGACATCACGCCGATCTTGGGGATCGGGCCCAATACCTTGCCCAAGGAATACTGGCGGGCCTCCATATCGCATGTGCACCCACTCGAGGTTAACACGCTCCTGCACCACCCATAGGTAATCGGAAGTTGTGAAAATACGTGTTATCATCTGCTCGCGGCACAACATCTAGTCCTCTTGAGAGACATTTACGGACTCTGATGGCTGTCTGATCAGTTACCATACGAGCAGTAGCACAAGAGAAGTCCGCTCCTCTTCCCCATCATATTCAGGCTGATAGGACTGGTGGATGGTGAGGTGAACGTTGTGCTAGGAGCCGTGTGTGCTGAACAGGTCCAGCTCTCCAGAACCCGCAGAACATGGGCAGCCGTCGGGGCCAGACGCGTTGCGACCTGATTGGATCGTTTTTGGCATCCAATCAACAATCTTGTGCATCCCTAATCTTCACATATTCATTCTCCAATGACATACGTGCACCCCTCCTCCCCGACCCAGACTTCATGCATCTTGCGCGCATCGACGTCCCATCGCGCGCCGGGGCCTATGGTCTCTTTCTTTGCGTCAGGGTCGTCGGGGTAGGTGTATGTGATTTTTCCGTTGAGGACGAGATGTGTCGTTTTTCCGGAGTGGGAGTGCGGGGAGTAGTGGGCGTTTCTGGACAAGAGAAGTCAGCGGTGGCAAGGTAGGATGGAAGACATGTATGAGGAACAGACAGGGGACGACATACGCGCTGTCCGTCCATGTGAAGACGTGCTTGAAGCCCCAGGAACGCACTTCGGACTCTGCTTCTTTGCGTGATCTAGGCATCGTGATGGAACTGTTGGTGTCGTTGTTGTCGCTGTTAGTGTACTTGACGGGAAATGCTCGAAGATGGACCCTGAATTGAAGTGACGTCGACGGCTTGGCATGGATGCACCACCAAAGCAGGGCAGATCCTCATACAACAGTACGGTTTGTTATGCAATCAGTGCCGGGTTCCCAGTAACTGAGCAAGTTCTCGAGTGCTGTCATGTTTCGATTGGTCGATCAAACGGCAATGCGGCCGCCAAGATAAGCAGAGGGCACGGCTAGGTAGCAACTACTTCAATGTCGCAGGTCGCTCATGTCTTACATGTTCTGGATCTTGTTCCTTGTCCATTGCTTTGACTAAACAGTGAGTCGTCACCGAGCCGCCAAACTAGCTGCTCCGTCTCTCCTAAGCACTTTACCACCTGGGGCAGCAACTGCACAACAAAACACTAACTTGCGTAAGCAGAGCTGAGCTGTCAATTCAAACCTCAACTCCAGATCATACTTGGAGTCCAGCGTTCCAGTCTATTTGTGGTCCCCACCAGCTTCCACAGCCTGAAAATCTTCCACGACGTTACAACCAGGACCCCGCTGTACTGAGAGCTTCCCCGCACAATGACGACTAAAGACCCTAAGCTTGGTGTCCCGAAGCTCGACGTACCACAGCTTCAGGCAGGTGGAGGTATAGCTGCAGGCACCACGAAAGCTCGCGAGATCGATGCACTATCTCCACTTCTAGTCAAGCACCTAAGAGCTATTCACAGCGAGCTCGAGACAAATTACAGACTTGAGTCGATGGAGGGACAGATCCGGTGGCTCGCGGAGGAGCAGCAATGCTCAGAACGTGATGCTGAACTTCTGATGGATGGCTCTTTCCCGCACTTTGCTGACTACTTCTTATCCGGTTCGGCGAATGCTGTGAGGGCTGCGCAGCCTGTCGACGAGTCATATCCACTCTCGAATTACTTCATCTCTTCGAGCCACAATACATATTTGACCGGAAACCAGCTGGCGAGCGATTCAAGCGCGGATGCATACAAGAATGTCCTTCTTCGAGGCTGTCGCTGCGTCGAAATCGATGTCCATGATGGCTCAGATTCAAGCTCTGATGAGGAAGATGCGATAAATAGCGGAGCACCGAAAGTGAAGAAAGAAAAAAAGTCAAGAACGGGGTTGAGCATACGCAAAAGACTCGAAGCTCGATTCAGTAAGAAAGAGGAATCGCACACTCAAGAGACAACAGCAACCACGTCAGAGCACGGAGTTGAGCCGTGGAGAACGACATCTGCCAGAGTGGAACCCAGAGTATACCACGGCTACACCATGACATCGGATATGCCTTTTCGAGCAGTATGCGCTACGATCAGGGACTACGCCTTCCAAGTAACGAAGTTACCGCTCATTGTCAGCATCGAAGTACATGCGAACTACGAGCAGCAGGAGATCATGGTGGAACTTATGAACGAATACTGGCAGGGAATGCTGATTGGCCCTCTTACTGACCCCTCTCACGACTACAACTCTATCGATCTACCAACACTGAAAGAGCTGGAAGGCAAAATCCTCGTTAAAGTCAAGCGCGCACATACTAAGCCTGTGGTTACGGACGGGCAATCAGCTACTCTTCAAGCACCAGCTTCTTTGCAGAAGACGACAAGTGCTGAATCTACAATCTCGACTGATACCGAGTCTGAAGAGACAGGGAAGAAGGCAAAACCCAAACCCAAGCTTATCGACACGCTGTCGATGCTTGGTGTGTATTTCGGAGGTTACCACTTCAAAAGTCTTGACGCGCCAGGTAAGCAATTAGACACTAGAGCTTTAGAGACACGGTGATGCGTATCAATTCGACACGCCTGTGTTTGGTCATTGCATGAATCCATGAACTGCGAGCTAACAACTACACAGAGGCGACGATACCCACCCACATATTCTCTCTATCTGAGAAAACTCTGATGGAAGTTCACGAAACAAACGCCGCTGCGCTCTTCCACCATAACAAGCACTTCTTCATGCGAGCATATCCCAAGGGCCTTCGCATAACCTCATCGAACCTGAAACCCGCTGTCTTTTGGAGTGCAGGCGTCCAGATAGTGGCCCTCAACTGGCAGCGTTGGGACGGTGGCATGATGCAAAACGAGGCCATGTTTGCAGGTACCGGCGGTTGGGTCCTCAAGCCAGAAGGCTACCGTAATGCCAGTTATGATCAAACACCAAGAACAGCAATTCCACATCACAACCTGGACCTCAGTATCGAGTTTCTTGCAGGGCAGGATATTCCCTTGCCGCCCGAGGAGACTGACCCAAGCCATTTGAAGCCCTATGTCAAAGTCGAACTGCACACCGAGAGGCACGGAGAACTCCGTTCGGAGCCAATGACTGGAGATGGTCGAAGCAGCAAAGGCGACCTCAAGGTGAAGACTAAGACCTACAGGAGCACGGATCCTGACTTCGGACGCGAGGTTGTTGAATTCAGGGGTATACAAGGTGTGACAGAGGAGCTGACATTCGTGAGGTAAGTGGGTCTTATTTCTTTTTTCTTCCCGCAGGAGATGCAGGTCGCCATGGGATCCTCGTGTTCCCGGGTACCGGGGTCATTGCCAGCATGTCCATGTCCGAAACTGTTTGCCAGTCCACATTCGATAATCGACGCGGCTTGGTCCAGATACAGCCACCACTACACCGTTTGCACACTGCAAACGTTTTACCGACGGACCAATATGGCGCATCTTGCTTTTCACCACCCCTGCGATATGGCGTTGAGGACGGAAGGAACAGCGCTTCGATGTCATGCATATTGCCGTCATACCCGTTTTGGTTGCGGCGCCACGTCACATCTTCAATGGTAACGGCGAACTTGTCCTCGCCAATCTTCGCATCTCCCGTCTTCTCGGGTATCGATCGACGGTACCTTTGCAAGACGCCTCCAACAACGTGCTTGCATCTCCCCACTACGGAAACATACTCCGGCCACTCGCATCTATCCGCATCGATACTTCCCCGTTGTTGATGTCAAACTCGTCCATCTAACCAATCGCACTCGCTGGTCGTCTTTTCACTCGTTCATGCACGCAGGACACTATGCTAACTACCCGTCCTGCAGATTCAAGATCATGGACGATGAGCGCCTTAGTGACGACCTAGCAGCGTGGGCGTGTGTCCGCCTCGATCGTCTGCAGTCAGGTGTTCGGTTAGTACACTTGTACGACTCGAACGGAGTCGTTACCAAGGGTGTGCTGCTGGTGCGCATCAGGAAGACGGTTAGTCAGGCGTGATTGCTATGACTTGTCTCTGTATCGTTACTGTCCTCTTCTCTCCATTACTGACCGACTATTTCGCTTTCTTGTCACTTCGGGGACTCTAGCTGATCTCGTTTGTGAGTCTGGCTGATGAGTGGGCGTGCAGTTCTTCCCCGTGGGTCGGCGAATGGCTCGTGGAGACGGGTTTCCGCATGCCTTACCTCGCCCTTATGGCTCACGACGCTATGTGGGGCGAGGACAGCATTGGAGGGGATGGCAGCCTTGAGGGGTTGGATTGTTGGATGGTGGAGCAGTGTATCGTGATGTATTGCTTGGTGTTTCTTTTTTGTATACATCATCGTTTCTGCGGCGTATCCTTTCTTTTTCGTAGCGTGGATAAGCACGTTAGCCTGCACATCTAGGATTAGCAGTTGAACCTCGTGTCTTTGTCCCGAACCAGCAAATCTTACCATGCGTGAATACGGATGTGACACACATGAAGCTAGCATGGGCAAACAGCAGACACGCGAGAAGCATGCGCAGCGTGCTCAATTCGTGATTACAACTGGCAGTCGATAGTAACGTTCGCTTACAAGCACGCGCTGACTTGAGATGGAGTAACACAATCATTCTCTCCATGCACCATATCAGACATTGCACAGCGATACGCATGCACTCACCCCTGTATTACTATTCTCAACGCACCACTACGTGTAGCAAAATAACAATCAGCATACGAATGACCACCCAACCTCCCCAAGCGAGCCGCCAAATTGGTCAAGACTGCATAGCATTGGCAACGCAACAGTCATCCACATCTCTCCGACGTAAAGAATGCAAGACTCCCCTCGGCGCAGCACAAGTCCTTGACCTGGATCTCTATACCCACACCACGGATATTCAGATGTTGTGCGATACAAACAGATAGACAGACACAGATTCGGGAACCGACGCGAGTCCCAGGCTAAAGTGAGCCGGTAGGGAAGCACGGCAGCCTCGCTTCCGTTCGAGGTGCGATGCGTCCCGGGTGAGTGATTTGTGGTTTGTTTGTGCGGGTTCAGATGGGATTGTGACACGCTTGTTTTCTTGAGCTGCCTGGGTCGTGGGACGCTGGTTTATGGTCAAGAGAAGGAATTGTGTGGCATGCAGAGGATGTTGGTGTTCTGGCAAAACTTGGTGGGGGGTTAGTGGGCAAATATATCTGTCTACCGAGGAGACTTGTGTGTGCTATGGTAAGTTGTGTGGAGTGTGAGTCGCGTGCTGTTTTTGGAGATCGTCGTCGGTGGCTTCGGAGGATGTCGAAGGTCCGAATCTCCTACCATCGGAGTAGTAGAGCATAGCTTGCACTTCAATGGGGGTACAACAACGCCCGTTGGGACTTATCATACTTGCTTATCACGTCACAACAGAAGTCCAAGCAAGTTTGCCATCCCAAGGAGCGGTCCGCGTCTGGCGCTGTACCCATGCAAGCATCAACGGGCAACGTTTGCGGCAACGGTCATCGGACAGAGACCCGACGACAACCGCTACAACCCCCAATGCATCGAGATGAGAACACCGACCTGTCCGTGGCCGCGAAGAGGCCCACCGCCTGGACAGCTGAGTCACACAGGCCTTAAGATTAGCAATCAACGGTGTCATTTCATTGTGTGGGGCGCTTAAGGCGATCACCGGTGGAATGTCAATCAAGAACCTTGTATCAGACCACGCGGGTAGGGTCTAACAGACGGAACGGCCCTTAGCCTACCAGCTCTGGCTCCACTGCTCAGAATGACCGCTTCACAGGCTGACTCGATGGCCAGAAAGGACGACAAGGTCATTGTCATGGCTTCCTGATCCCCGGTTCAATGACAAGGCGTGGAGTAGACTCCATGAAACCTTTGGTCAGTGCGTAGGATTGTACATGAGATTAGGGTCCTGTTTGTGGCCGGCATAACTTCCGGTCGAGCGGTTTTGCGTTCAGTCCTGGTCTCTGGACGTGTGACTTCTACGACAGGATCTTCGGTTCTAGACTCTCATCACAGTCCCTACTACAACATCCTGCTTCTAGATGGTTTGATAGTAAATAGTGCCTGTTTGGTTTTTGTCCGTGGCGTCCAAGACATCGGCGATATGTGGCCTCGCCAAACGGAAGACCGAGCCGGCGGCTCAATGACATACCCTAGTCCCCGTGTTTTGGAAAGTTCCTTGTGGGGCTGAGGTTGATCTTCACGATGATGTGCCGGATGGGAATGCCTTGCAAAACTGCGAAGACATTATTCAAGTACCAGCTACCGAAACAAATGCCGGGGTAGTGGATGGATAAGGGCGAGCCTCATTTTTTAAGCTGAAGATTGATGAGGCGAATGGTTTGTGCGTGCACGTTTGAGCACCAGGAAGACATACTGTGGCAGTGACAACCTAAGTGTAGGTGAGTCGCAACATCGGCATGTTCCAACAGGAGAGTTTGGAAAGTACGACCTACTGTGGTACTTCTTGGAGATTGTAACAACTTGCTGTCCCTTCAGGCTAGCAAGGCGCATGTTACAAGCAACGTTGGTGGATGCATGACCTCTTAGGATGTAAAGAGTGGAGTAAGGCTTGTTCATCGGAGGGAACACGGCGGAGTGTAGACTCTAGGGTGATCCACCTCCTCCTAGCTAGGATGTGTACGGACCATGTGAGCAACTTGCCCAAGATTTTCGCAACACCATAAATCCTGGACATGAGATGAGCGCGGGACAAGACGCGCGTGTCCTCCATCCACCACCACTCGCAAGCAAACCTCCGAAGGACTATTAAGCGAGATAAACCTTGCTAGTTGTGGGAAAATGTAGTTTAGTACGGATCTCCATGCTGAAAACGGTCATCGTGCGTGGCACAACGCCCAGATATGGACGATCAATGCTTAGCCTGATGTCAAGAACCGGAGAAACCCCGAATGAGCCAAGTATGGCCTGAGGTGCAACGGCTGTAACTTTGTGGTACCATAACGGCTATTGGCGTTGCGCCCCAGTCACTAGTGATTGGCCGCAGGAGATGATCCGGAAGCAAGATTTCGAGCTCGACTCATGAAAAAGACACGGATAGGACATGCATTTCAACGGCTCGAACAGGGCATGTTTCACATCCAGGTAGCGAGATGCATGTTCTCGCGTTGTATCGCGTACGGTGCAATGCAACCGATATTCATGAGCGTGGTGGCTTGCCTAGCGCGGATCCGAAGATGCGAGAAAACGACACAGATCGATATCAAGTCCGACCACCACAAGGCTTACGCCTTAAGCTCACCGTAGGTTCCACGGAAGAACTGCGCTTGAGGGCATCTGCCGCTACTCTGCACTTGGCAGTGATCACAACACTAAAGCGAAACCGAGCTGTAAATTGACCGCAGAGAATGTAGGCCCAGGATGGGATATCATGTTCGCCAGTGGGGCTCGTTCGTACCTGAAAAACACTCGACATTTACCTACATTAAACACTTCTCGAAGTGATAGGGCGCATGCAGCAGACCCATGACCCATGATTCCCATCCCTCCTGCAATTTATGGATTATCCATACGCAGTTGCTCGGTCGTTCTCCGGACCATTTGGAAGAGGCAAGATCAAGCTCAATGACTCCCTATCCTGCGTTAAAAGAAGGTTACAGTGCACCGTCCGTGATGACGCAGCAGCCCGGTGGGACCACATGGTGCAGGTTTGTTGCACTTACCGCCGGAAGTTGATCACGATGGTCGATGGGAACGCGTATGGATGGTGTAGGTTAGAGATGATCTTTCAAGTCCTGGAATATGCGTCAAGATGCTCGCGCCACAAGCGCTATGCATAGCACAACAGGTACTCTGGCTCCATGTGCTTCTGATGTTACAGAGATGTATAAAGAGCCGGGCTTCTCCCCGTCCAGTGAACCATCAGGCACTTCATCCCATCTCTTTCCAAACAATCCAGATCACTTCCACTCAACATACTCACTCTGTCTTCAAATTGCTCCTGTCTAGCATACTTCTTCACCAACGACTTCCACCACCACCAACAACAATGTGCCAAAATACTCCCATCGAGAAGATTGCTGTTCCTTGCATGTGGGACGTTGAAGGCATAACGTCTATGCCGGTAAGTTCCACTTTTTAAACTCGGCGCAAGCAAACCAATCACCAGCAATTGCTTATATTTCCAGGTTCCTGGCCGCCGTTGCCCTGCTTGCCTCGAACGTGGGGATACTGTATGGGTGATCCCTGGCAAATGCTGCCCGCAGTGTGGTACACCGGTCAACTAGACAGGCCCTTTAAAGTGAGTACAGTCTTCAATCCTCCTCAATACTACGCGAAGTTGCTGACATTTTGACGAAGTGAATATCGTACACGTCTCGATCTCGAGAATTGGCTTGGCTTGGACCTTGGAGCAGTGCACGGTTGCCGGCGACTGTGTGGTATGAGTCGACAAACCCATGTATCTTGGGTTGGGTGGACCTCTGCTTGCATTTACTGGAGTTAAATGGGGCGTCATTCTTAGGCAACGAATTACATAAATCAGGTCTTTTGCGCATTCTGGAATACACAATTATAGCTTGAGTGGGGTAGTGTTGTCTTGAACTTTCTGACGTGGTGTTGTTATACTTTGGTGGCGCCCGTTGATGGGTCTGCGTCTAGGTCAGCCCTAATTTGTCGTGAACGATGATCAGAGAATAAGCTTACTCTTCGGCCAATGGAAAGAAACGCCAAGTACGACAACCCCCAGGGGTATGGAGTCACGCGGAGTCTGTTTCGAAACAATGGAAGCTTGCTGGCTTCCCCGCGAAAGAACGCCCTGATCAAAGAACGACTAGGGGGTGTTTGATGGAATGAGAGACACGCGGCGTCTTTGATAACTGAGTCCATGGGTTCATTGAAGAAATCGAGACATCGACGCGCACCATTCCTGGCAAGATAAGATTGGAAACATCTGTGATGAAGTAGATGGAGACGTGTGAAGACGTGTAAAAGTAGTTCGTGTCGTATCTGGAGGTCGCGTTTGTATGTGATCCGCTTACGTCACCACCGCACGTGGGTGCGGGCGCAAGTGGCATACAAGTATTCTGCTTTGTTACCTATTACGGTAGAGTTCTGCTCGATAGGTTTGCTCGGTTTGCTGCTAGCAAGGATTAAGCTGCGGCGCAGTCACTAAGCCATAGTTTCTTCGATGTTCTGTTTAGAGATTGGTTCACGCAACCCTTGCTAGTAGTAAACCTACTGTACGGTATGGCACCCGAAGGCTGGAATTACACAGAAGAGACGGTTAGCAAGATGTTCACTCGAAACGCATTTCCTATCTAATAACCACCTAAAAATATCAACCAATGACTCTATATTCACTGTGGCATAATCGCGGGGTCACCATGGCTTGTGCGTATTGGTTTTTTATATGGTCATACAATAAACAACGCGTCCAACGTAACCGATGTGTAGTGGTTCGTAGCTGAACCATAACTAATTCGAATTACCAGACGGTGAGCTGCCACCTTTGTACATTGAGCAGCCAATCGTCAGAAGACAATTAATGTGCTCAGCTTCTCTATCACTATTACTGTGTATTTCCACTACCAGCTACTGTGTGTAGAAAGATTAGGGCTTAGCTCCCATGCTGCGTCAGAAAATAAGGTTTGGTATTCTGTCTTATCTATCTGCTTCTACAACGGGTTGATACGCTGAAGAGTAACACAAACAGACTGCCATCTTAAATGCCATACCACTCAATATCACATGCCGGGGTAGGAGGGTTTGCTTAGGATCAACCCCCAACGTCACACGCACATGTCCCTAGCATCTAGACGTCTAGACCCTCCCCCAGCATTGAGGTATGCGTTGTACTATGATTGAGAGTAGAAATTCGTACCTGCCATTTCCCGGTTTTTCCACCAACCAAGAGCCATCTCCCATCAACACCTCCTATGACGTTGAGAAACACATCTTTCAGGAAATTCGAGTAGACGTCACATCACGAAATGTGGATCACATCCTACGTCCTAAGAAAACCATGACATACGGATGCTTCTGTTATTCCAACAATCCAGGTAAAGAAAAACCGATATCCCGGACATTCTCTATACGGCCATCCAGCTAGATACTAGCTATGCAAAACTCCACTCAACCCGGAACAAGGGCCGCTGTATGTGGGCTGCGACATGCAGAAAGCAACACGCCGTTGCAATACGCTGGTGCTTCGAGTATTTTGAATTCCACTTTGCTCAAGCCACCGCCACTTCGACAGCAACGACACTGCAGGACCGGATCGCAACAAGTTAAAGAAACTACGCATTCGCTCCCCCCTTAGTAAAACCCTCAATACCCCAGTAACGCCTGTGTCCCCCCAGATTGTCATGCTGATGTCTGGGGGAGCCTCCAACGCCGTATCCAGATACTGTACAGATCGCCTTGTAACCCAGAAATATTGATCATCACGGTCGTAGTGTGTGTGTCAGGCAGACACGACTCAAGTGCCTCCTTGACGCCGATGCTGAGTCATCACCCACTTCATCTTATCACGCGTCTCCTTCAGGGACTGGATGAGTTTCTCCGCCTCCCGTTCCTTCTCTGGAAGTGAGAGTCTCATCTTCTGTGCTTCTTCGACGAGACCGTCTAGTTGCTTCTGGTGCTCCTCCTTGTAGGAGACCATCAGATTTTGGCGGTTTTGGTCTGTTCGCCCGGCTCGCGACAGTTCGTGATTTAATTGGTCGCTGATGATGGCTTGCCGCTTTATCTTGTCTGCGTCTTCGTTGCGAGACTGTCGCAACTCGTTCAGTTGCTCGGTCATGTATCTGACCTTCTTCTCGTAACCCTCGCCGATGCGCTTGAAGCCCTCGCGCGCCGTCTCGAGGTTCGTCTCGGCCATGTGTTGCATCTCGTATGCTGTCGAGAGCTGCCGTTGCGTCTCTGATCGTGTGTCGCCCAACATCCTCAGCGCTTCTTCAGCCCGCTGCTCCGCAACTCTCCGTCTGTTTGCCTCGGCCTCCAACGTGGCTTTCAGCTCTTCCAGCTTCCGGTCCTTCCGCTCAATCGCTCTCTCGTTTGTATCGGCGAGCACTTGGAGATGCTGCAGCTCGGTTCGGGAGTCCTCGGCCTTCGATCGCGCGGCAGATACGCGTTTGGTTTCATCCTCTCTCGCGAGTTTCTCCGCTCGTAGCTCTCTCCGCAGGCGGTCGTTCTCGGACGTGATCTTATCAATGTATTGTGAGGTTTTCGAATTGTTCTGCGAGCTGAGAGGGTTGGCGTGAGGGTTTGGGCGAGCCCATTGCGAGCCTGGGGCAAGAGGATCGGAGGCCATGAGTGCTGACTCGACAGCCAAGGGTCCGGATACGTTGCGCGGGGACGTGTAGGCGGGCATGACACTGTTGCTGTTGATAGGGCGGAGAGGGCCTGTATGCGCAGTGTGCGGAGCGTCGCTTGAGGTGCTAACAAGGCCGTTCATGTCATTCCTCCTGTGTGAGTTGAAGCCGAGTTCTGGGAGCAGAGGTGCTGTAGCGGCTTGTATGGCGTCAGCATCGAACCTCTCCCAACTTTGTCAAGAAATGACAAGCGATGGCAAGTAATGCAAATGTACGGTGTGGATAAAGTGATGTTTATGCCGCGAGCTCGGGTAAGCAAAGGGTGACGAGTGAATGCGCTTTGAGAATTGGCATGCAGGGGCTTATCGCGCTAGTGGACTTACCTCGCACAGGATGTGCAGGGATCGCTTTCCTCTTGCGAAAGGGAGAGAGCCGCGATGATTGCCTCGGCGAGTTCTCTCTGTCGTCAGACATCTGCTGCGCGTTGGAATCAACATTGGGGCAGAAGAGGCTATGTCGATGCGTCGTTGATAGGCAAAAACAAGGCGCTGCTAAGCCATGCAACTAGCGACGGTTGCCAGCCAGCCAGAAACACTGCTTGCCGAGGGAATGCCAAAACTGTTCAGATCTCAGCAATACGTACCCTTGTGGTCTCGACGCGTCGACGCGACTGAACGTGACTGCAGTTCGTTAGCTTATTGTGGTTCAGAGCCCTGCTTGTTAGTACTGCACACTGCTCGCTGGCTCTAGCCTGTCCACGATCAGTGAGGTTAGTTGGCGGGCGAGCAGTGCGCAACAGCGAGATCTTGTAGCAGTTACGAGCGCACTAGTCATCTCTGAGAGCCAGCCCGCAGTTTCACTTTCACCATGAGGACTCTCCATGAACTGCTGTAAAGTGGTGGTGAACCCAGCAGCCAATCAGTGCTAGGCGCCGATCACAGCCGTTTCGCTTCCGTCGCGAAGTGGGGCGGAAACCACAGCAACCAGCCCTATGAGCAGTGACGTGCCCGTCATCTCTAGCCATCTCTGAAGAGCCTTTGTCTTGCAGTCCCAGCATGTCAATGGGTGATGTCGTATCAGATCTAGGCTGAAACCTAGTGAGAGGTTCAAGATCAAAGGTTTCAAAGGCGTATGGGTTTGTGCAGGGTTAGCTGCTGTGCAGTCGTGAAACACTCTGACAGGTGCTTTGCATTAACAGAGGAAAGGGTACTGGAATCTACTTGATCGAAGACACTGGTTCTCTCCAAGAACATGACATTCACTATGAATGAAAACTCTCTAGTTGCTGTTTCTAGTGTGCATCTCAGTGCGCTTGTTGAGTTTTACGCGCATTGAGAAACTCCACATGCAGACATAAATGTTCAACATCAATAGACAAAGCCCATGGTATCCTCCAAGTCCAGCACAAAGTTGCATGACTTGTTGGAACGAGTCGATTCTCTTCTCCAAGTCCGCAGACGGAAGACAGCTCGCACAGCCGCATCTTACATGGAGTGTCCAGATAACTCGGCACTTCCCTATCAGCACTACATCTCAGCCTTCCCACCATCCTCTCACATAACGCAACCAATAGCTCAGGACCCACCAAACGCATCAATGACGATATACTAGCGTATACATAATGTAACACCGTACTCCTGTCTAAGCAGCAATGGCCTTCTGGAGGGAAGATCCTACGAAATAATGGGTGTATAAAAACACCTAGATTGTTTCTATAACATATCCTACTCTCTCTCGACTTGGTCGCAAGAGAGAACGAAGAGCGTGTCCCGTATTCCTCACATATCCTACGTCACTCATACTGATGTTGTAGAGCAGTCTTCGATGACCAGGTGTACGTGCTGTCAGATCGAAGGGTGTGGCGCAGCTACCAGGCTGTGAACATGACAATCTCTCGAAATCAAAGACTGGTAGTGATGAGGATTAGATGCGAAATAGTGGGACTTTTGAAACGTTTTATACTTGGTGACGTCTAAGAGGTAGGTGATGTAGTGGAGTCTGAACGGTGGGGTGGAGATCAGTAGATGTGATTAGAAGGAGAACGAAAAGGTAGAGGCTTCTGTGTGCTATTGATCACACGTGATAGAAACCAAGTTGAACGTCCGAGATGACTGAAAACAAATGAAACGGATATCATTCCTTGAGTATGTACATATACGGTTGTATCAATCTTGACAATGCTCTACAACGCATCAGGTGCCTTCCTGATGTAGTTCTTCTTGAACGGCTGCTCGCTCTTGATCTCGTTGTTCCTCAACGCCTCAAGCTTGCGCTCGTTCTCTTCGTATGCTAGTTTCTTGTACTTCTCAATGACCTTGTCCATCTGGACCTGGCTGCCGGCCGGGACATTGTATGGCGATCCTACGTTCATGATCCTGCGCATCGTTAGTCACTACTTCCACCCCACGCCCAACTCTAAATCCAGCTCATAGCCCAGAAACTGCTATGGTGGAATCGAAAAAGATGCGTGTTCGAGTACGTACTCGGGAAACTTCATGTCCACAAATTCCTGCGGCTTGGTGTTCATGAACAGCACCCTGTCGTCACCCGCCTGCTCGATCATGCGAACGTGTATGTCGTTCCTCCTCGCCCACTTGTCCTGCGCGTCTGTGTATTTTTCGATCATACGGGTGAAGAAGGGTTGTGTGTTATCATCGCTGTTTCGCGAGACGAAGTACACAGCCCAACCAGCGGGGATGGTCAGCATCGTGAACCAGAAGCCTTTCTACACATCAATTGAGTCAGCGAAAAGCCCCCAAACCACCATCAACGTCGTGCATCATATCAGGCGTGTTGCCGAGGGGTAGTTGGTGATTGACGTACCCCCATGGGCTCGTTGACAGGGCCGTGGCCGTGGCCGTGGCTGTGCTCGTCGTGCGCATATCGTCGCGGCTGGCGTGGGAGTGTAGTTCGGCTCGCCCGGGCAGCAACTACTGCTGTCTTGCGTAGTGACTGCATCGTGTGGGGTGGGTTGTCGTAGGACGTCGGAGCTTGCGGCGATGAGCTGCGACTTCGATGCTCGTGAACACCTCGTCTTGGCACCGTACCATGGCGCTAGAGTTGGACCCACATCGCGCCTTCCTCATCACATCAATCCATCAACTCTATTACTGTTTGTCAGAAGTTGAGGAAGTATAACTGGCAGGGCCCCCGGATCTGCCCACGCCATGCAATGTCAGCTCTAGAATGGCGCACTTCGAACATATCGACGACGATATTTTGTTCCTGATTTTCCAAAATGTAAAATCCTCTTCAGCCTTGCAAGTCATCACTAACACCTGACAGTTGAGATCTGAGCGCCTGTCTTCTTTGTATTGCTTTCGTCTTGTTTCACAACGATTGAAGCAGTTCGCGGAGTCATGTCTGTACAACACCATAGTTCTTGAGGATACGCCGCTACGCGAGAATAGTTCATATCGTCTGATCGAGCGACTCGTAGACTCTAGCGACACGTTGTCCAGAAACGTCCGCGATCTGCAGATCAAATCGTTCAAAGGTGATGACGGCAGCTATTGTTTGAACTCGAAACTTCTGATAGCAGCCCTACACAGTCTGCATAAGCTTGACTCCTTCAGGTTCGTAATTCCGACTTATCTCTAAATATCACTCCAGTTCCTCCAACAGCGATAGTCATCGTGCAGTGATTTCCTTAGTTTTAATCTTTTCAACCACCACCTGTCATGGGGTAGTGGATCGTCGTTTCGAAATCACATAAATTCACTAACTACTCCCATGTAGCTGGGATTGCAATATACCCCTACCCGATGAGCTTCTCAGTACTTTGTCTCAACTGTATCCAAGAGCACGGCTATGTGCCACCGCCAGATCACTTGACGAAGCTCTCCTGTCTTCGTCTCAACTCCACACGCTCTCAATATCGGTGCCATGTGCAGATGCTTTCCATCCTGAAACAGAAGCTCGACTTGGGGAACTAAGACATGTACTTCTCAGGAGTCGCAACCTCAGGGTACTGATTCTGAACATCCATCGAGACCACAGTCTGTGGAAGCTACAGGAAGAGGCTTTGACTCAAAGTCTTACTCAAACCGCAACAGGATTGGATAACAAAAACTTGGATATCCACAAAATACAAATTCCCCTCGAACCTGGAGATAGGCTTCCCGCTCTCGAGTATCTAGCCATTGATGCGAGGACATACAGCTTTGACAAAGAACATTGTCTTCGATTAATCCAATGCATGGACGCGAGAAGGCTGAAGCGCCTTCGCATTGCTTCCTCAAGTACCGAGCATTTCTTCGAAGCCTTCACACACAAGACACCGCAACTGGAAATCCTCGAATTTGACACTCATTGGACTTGGCAATCTTCTCTAAACCGCTATATTGCCACTTCCGTCGCATGTTCACGATTCATCACCTCGATCGTTAAGCTGAAAGAGGTTGTTGTCTACTGTAATGCCACGGATTCGCGCGAACCATTCTGGACAGCGTTGGCCGAAACTCACGGCTCCCATCTCCAACGTTTGTCTATCCAGACCCGTAACGAAGGCCTCGAACTTCCCTATTCCGATCACAAAAGGCAAGCACCACTCAGCTGTTTCCCCAGCCTGACAAGTTTGGAAATGGTCATGCATCCCTGGTGGGATAATTCTAGCTGTTCTGATTGTTTGGAAGGCCGAAGACACTGGCTAGTAAGCTTCCACAAACGCAATGCAATGCAAGAGAAGCCTGACCCTAGAACAGAACACGTGCTACATCGGAGAAGTGCCGGTTCTGCCCCTACTAACAACGATACAAATCTCCTTCAAATTCTCCTTCAAATTCTCCTTCTACGAGACCCCGTCTTTCCACTCCCACGTCGTCCGCCATGCTCACTGCGCCATCCGCAGGTTGTGGTCCATGTACACAAACGACAAGGCCGGTCACCATCTCGATCACAAGCTCGAACGCGTGAGTATGCGCTTCTGGCGCTGGGAGCCGCCTCCACCGCACCCGGACGAAAACGGCGTCCAGCATACCACCCGCGTCCATGAGATCATATTTGACAGCAAGATGATAGATGAGCAGCTGCTGATCTGGGTTCGTAATCGCAAGGACCTTCCGATGCGGAGGTGCAGCACTGCTCGGCACTGAGGTTGGGTGTGATGTGATGGGGTGAGGATAACATGGAGGTATGTTGTGGATGAAATTGATAAATGGCATCCAGGATATTAGGAGGGGTGACAGTGGAGTTTGGGGTTGTATACGTACTAGCTAATTACGCGTGTGCACAGTTTGCTCTATATGGTCTTTGTGGTGTTCTTCTTCCTTGGCTTTCTACGCAACGCTTGACACAGACTCCTCTGATGTAAAAAGTATAGCATATCGCCTCTGATCTTGCAACTGTGCACGGCAGTGTCTTCGATAAATACAACGCCCACGTATAGGACATATACATAACCGCAAACTCGTCGAGCGGTGCATACACCCAACTTCAAGCCCGGCCCCACGAACAAGACATAGTCACAAGAAGAAAGAAATTGCAAACACTTACCTCTTCTGAACATGCTCCCATCAAGATTCATATCTCTATTCCCTCGCACTCGCAACTTACAGCCTCCAAAACACGCCAATTCTGATCCCCCAGCATCTCTCACACACCGTGATCCCTCTCTTCCACAACCCTGTCCTCCACAGAATCACACCTCCTTATGCCCCGTCACCAACCCCCTGCTTATCCCATCCATAACCACCATTAACCACCATAAACCACCACATCATCCTGGCACGCCACAACATAACATAACACAGCACAACACAATGTCCCATACAGAGCATTACATCTTTGCGAGATGATCAAAGTTTTCCTCAGAACTAAATACTCGAGTTTCTCAGCTTAGTGGTAAGGGACGACAGCTACCTTTGCAGTATCTGGGGCGTGTTTGGAGAGTTCGTTGCCTGGCTGGTTGGCTGGTATCGAGATTGTAGATGACACGGTGGATGTACGCACTTTATAAGTTCAAGCTAGGGACTTGCGTAACGAAGCGGCTATCTCGCCTTTGGAGGATTTGCTCGGAGTGCCTCGTTCACTTATCTTGATGTTTTGTCTAATTTGTCGAGGGTCACTATGGAGCAGAGATGCTTATTCAGTTTCAAGCCCTCCTTCTATTGACCGTTGGTATACGTATTTATCCTAACGCTGACACCTCCACACCACTGACCATCGACACACACACACACACACACACACACACACAGTACCATCTCATTCCAACAGATGGAGACTGAACCGCCGAGTCACTGCGGGAATCCCGTTTTGCCATGACCAATGGCTTAGACTCTCTTGTATGCATTCTCGCCGACATAATCAGTCAACAGCATGTATCCAGCTAATAAATAATTCAGTAGTCAGCCCATCCGGTCGAGCGTTTCCACCTGCACTTACATACCAACTCAGTGGAAAGGGTAACCCAAGCTGAGGCCCAAACCCTCCGTTATCCAGGACGTCGCAGGGACCTCGCACGAGTCTATTCCCACGCAACGTTTATTTTTTCGCCCCTTACAAAACATCGCCAGCCACACTCCCCGCAATCTACCAGCGCGCTGAGCACTACCCTAACGTCACAAAATCCAACCAGAAGCGCATATAGATTTCCCAGTCCCCACCCACCCACCCACCAGTCTACCCAATCCAATTCAGTTTAATTCCAACCCACTGCATAAAAACTCAACCCCACACCAAGAAAACTCCTCCATACATCTCGTACCAGGCTGGGGGAAGAATAGGCATATGTATAGTATAATACAAGTCAGCACCTCTATTTCCATTCTCCTCCCTCTCTCCCTCCCTCCTCCCCTCCTCCCCTCTTTCCTATAGACAGCTAAAAAAAGGCACCCGCAAATCGGAAACCAAGACAGAACAGGACAGGATAGTGACAGAACAGCTGGCTACCGATCGGCCCCTCGCTTAGTATGAGCGAGGAAACTACTCTTAATCTGATGCCGATTTTTATGAAGAAGCTACACAGTTTGGATAGTTGGTTGGTTGGTTGGTTGGTTGGTTGGTTGGAAGGGAAAGGAAAGTGGGATGTGGAATATGGAAAGACAGGGAGGGAGGAAGGAAGAGAAGAAGAAGTATAGTGTGCTATGGCTGTGGTGATGACTGGACTTGGCATATCACATCACACGACCACCACCTTCACCCTCACCCCCCATATCTGCCATTCCGGAGGAGGGCTTTGGTGGAATGGTATGTTGCATTGCTGGGGTGAGAATGATAAGGGGGTTGATGGAGAGAAAGAGAAAGGATGAAGCAGAAGGTCGTGTGTGACAGTCTAGGAGTGAAGAAGCCATGTGTAACCAATATCACTACAGTCACCTAAGAATGTGTAGAACGGGGTGCACCGCTTAATATATAGAGGTTAAAGTATACCAAACCAAACCAAACCAATTATTTACGGTCGTATTTCTACTCTACACATATATATATATAAGCACCTCATATCTCATCTCGCAATACTACTTCCCGACTTCCGTCTCCCTACAATCAAACACCTACATCTACCACCACCAACCATCACATCAGAAAAGTACGACTTCACCATCAATCCACTAGCAATTTACATATGGAATTTAAATCCTCGCCCTCTCCCCCCCATCATTAACAAGCACAAACCGATACCTCGCGCCTCCCCCCTCCATCTCCACCACACTCTTATTCGCCTCGCCCATCCCCCTCTCCTGCACCCAAGGCCTAACGCCCTTCTCCGCCGCAAAACCCAGCATATGCTCGATATCCGCCGGACTCCCGATCTGGCTGCCACTAATACTGCAGCCCTTGCCGATCAGACTAAACGCCGAGACGCGCGGGAGTTTATCTTCAGGGGCGCCGACCTGGACGAATGCACCGCCTGTGCGGAGGAGTCTGAGGTAGGAGTCGAGGGGCATGTCGGGCGAGGAGACGGTGCAGATGAGCAGGTCGAGGGTTCGGGCGTGTGTGCGGGCCCAGGTTGCGTCTGTGGATGTGGCGATGTAGTGCGTTGCGCCCATAGCGGTGGCGTCGTCTTTTTTATCGTCGCGGCGCGATATGGCGACGACGGAGGAGCAGCCCAGTGCGGCGGCGAACAGGATGCCCATGTGGCCCAGGCCGCCGATGCCGATGATGCCCACGCGTTTCCCGGGGCCGGCGCGGTGTTTGCGCAGGGGCGCGAAGACGGTGATGCCGCCGCAGAGGAGGGGGGCAGCTGCAGCGCTGGGGAGGGAGGCCGGGATCGCAATGGCGAAGTGTGCGGGGACGCGGATGTGTGTTGCGTAGCCGCCCATGGACCAGCTGCCGTCGGGGTGCTTGCCGCCGTATGTGCCGACCATCTTGGGGCAGTGCTGTTCGAGGCCCTGTGTGCATTCTGGGCAGTCGGCGCGCAGGCAGGAGAAGGCTTGTGCGCCGACGCCGACGCGGTCGCCGGGCTGGAACTTCGTCACTGCGCTGCCTACGCGGAGTACGTGTCCGACGACCTCGTGGCCGACGCAGATGGGGTAGTGGGTTTTGCCCCAGCCGGAGCGCAGCGTGTGGATCTGGAGACGTGAGTAAATGTCTTGGAGGGTGTTTGTACTGGAGTCTTGCTTACATCACTTCCACAAATCCCACAGTGCGATATTTTGATATCAATGTCGATTGCGTTGAAGGGCTTGGGGGTGAAGGGCGACCATGTCATGTTGCCCTCTGCCGCTTTGGCGTCGTGGCCCAGCCAGCCGTGGAATTGGGCGGGAGACGTCATCCTTTCCAAGCACCGTGGGAGATGGTGTGTTTGGGGAGCACGGTTGAGAACATATCAAGTGCAATGGTTGATTTGGAGGTCGAAATCTATCCGAGGTATCTCGACATGTCCGCTCTAGCTCGACCCTAGCTCTTGCCCCGCCTTTTCTGTCGGAGATAAGGGCCATAAATCCATGCTGTAGATTGCATGCATCAATCGCCCTTCTTCATGCCCTTTGTGAAGAGGGGACTCTGCTTGACTCTCTCCCAGTCATGTAGCAGCATCGTGTTCGCCGTCCCATCCCTAACCTCTTTCCCTCCCCGCGCAATCATCTCGTCTTCGAACGCGGTGATGGCTTCTTTCTGATCCCCCCCTCTATCAATCTTGACCAGGGCGTCTCGGAGCTTGCCAGCATCGGTGACGGAGTGGTTCAGGCCCTGCCCTCGCTGGTAGGTCATCGGGTGCACTGCGTCACCCAACATCGTCACCAGCCCGCCGTGGTTGTCCCAGCGACAGGCGTCCCTCCCTGGATCCCAGTCGGTGAGCCCCATGTACCACACGGGCGCATCGTCTGGCGTCCACTCGTACGCGCTCTTCCACGGGTCGCAGAAAGACTTGGCGTACTCCTTCTGCTGGGCGAGGCGCTCGGCGTCGGTCCAGTGCTGGGTGCGGTCCTGCTCGTCGAGGCTGCTGGGCCAGGATATGTAGAAGAAGAAGACCCAAGAAGACGGGTCGTGGGCGTCTGCGACGTCGTGCAGGCCGAAGAAGGCGAACTTGTTGTCGGGGTGGGCAGAGGCGAGGTAGAGCGGGTGGAAGCTGCGCAGGAAGAGGGCCTGGTCGGCGGTGAAGCTGCGCTGGACGAAGGTGGCTGCAAAGGGAATTCTGTGGATGGCGCCGAGGTCTGGGCCGAGCAGGAGGCTGCGCGTTGCTGAGCGGGCGCCGTCTGCACCAGCCAGCAGCCGTCCTGTGGCGGAGGTGCCGTCGTCGAAGTGGGCCGTGACTGATTGGCCGTCGTGCGCGTACGTGATGCTGGCCAGACGCTTGTCGTACTGGATGTCGAGGCCCTGTGAGAGAAGTGCCCGCAGCTTGCTCCTCCGCAGGCGGTAGAAGGGGCCAAAGGTGAAGGCGGCCAGCGACTCGCCCGTGTCGCCCTGCAGCCAGTTCAGCGTGTCGAGGGCCTTGGTGGGCACATGCGGGTCCACCTGCACTTCCTGCAGACGCGCCCACGACTCGGGCAGCATGAGGCTCTGCAGGGCGGGGCCGCCCCAGTGCAGGCCCATGTTCCAGTCGCGCTCGCCGTGGCGGTCGGGGTTCTTCTCGAAGACGGTGCACGCGATGTCGGCCTGGACGAGTTCAGCGGCGAGGACGCGGTGGGGCGTCGATGGCGTCACCTACCTTGCGCAGACCCTGCGCGAGAGCCAGGCCGGTGCTGCCTGCAACGAGAGGTTAAGTCGGTGTGCCATGCACGAGGGGTTCGCAGCCGTTCCACGTACCAGCGCCGATGATGAGGACGGGCAGGCGCGGACCTGTGCCACGCGCCGTGCCTTGCATGCTGGTGCACTCGTCGCCGTGCGCCATGGACCTACTTGTAGTCGTCTGGCTGCGCAGTGAGGGTCACGTACAGCTCGTCGTCGCGCCCGTCGCCGTCATTTCACGCAGACCGGCCCTCCTGCAGTGCTTGGCAGCCCGCAGACGGCACAGCGACGGCCTCTGTCCCGTGTTACGCCCCAGCGGCCGAGGCATGGCCCGTCCGGCCAGATTGGCTGCTCGATGCAGACGGCGGTGCAGTAGCAGCTGGGCGGCGTGCCCATGGCGGCAGACCGGCGGCGGAGAACTGACCGGATCGACGCCTGGGTGGGACGGCCAGCTTACCCGTTCGCTGCCACGCTGCCGCCGCCGTCTTTGCACCACGGCCACCGTCAGCGACCGTCTGTCGTGCTTTCCCGCCCGCGTGGCCCGCGAGATGCCACCCTCTCTCCACGCCCACGCTCCTTTTCCCTGACCGCCCATCCCCCCTCCGCCATGGCCGCCTACACCTCGGCCCACGCTCCCCTCGCCACCGCCGATGCCCTCGGCGACACGGCGAGCTCCGCCAGCACCACCACCACCCCCGACGACGACGACGACGGCCTGCACGACTTCGCCTCCGACTCGGGCTTCGACAGTGGCAGTCTGCTGGGCGACGAGACCGACACCCTCGCCTCGAGCATCCTCAACCACCGCATGGAGAACGGCCGCCAGTACCACGCCTACCGCGACGGCGCATACTGGGGCCCCAACGACGAGCTGGCCAAGGAGATCCTCGACTTTGCCCACCACATGTACCTCCTGACCCTGGACCAGAAGCTGCACCTGGCCCCCGTGCAGAACCCGCAGCGCATTCTTGATGTCGGCACGGGGACGGGCATCTGGGCGATTGTACATTTTCACTATCCGACAACTACTTCTATAATGACTAACACCCTGCCAGGACATGGCGGACCAGTACCCCGCCGCAGAAGTAACCGGCACCGACCTATCCCCCATCCAGCCCGAATGGGTCCCGCCCAACTGCCACTTCGAAATCGACGACGTTTCCCTGAACTGGACCTTCCCGCCCGCGCACTTCGACTTCATCCACATCCGCGAGCTATTCGGCTGCATCCCCGACTGGGACTTTTTCTTCGCCCAGGCCTACGCCCACCTCGCCCCGGGCGGCTGGATCGAAATCGTCGAGCACAGCGTGCAACCCCGCTGCGACGACGGGTCAATGGGGCCAGACCACTTCTACCACACGTGGGGCAAAGTCGTCATCGAGATGGGGGACCGCTTTGGCAAGAGCTTTACTATCTGGGAGGAGAGTAGGGAGCGTATGGAGAGGGCGGGGTTTGTGGATGTCGTTGAGGTGCCGTATAAGTGGCCGATGAACGGGTGGCCGAAGAAAAACGATAAGATGCGGAATATTGGACGGTGGAATCAGCTTAGGCTTATGGATGGGGTGGAGGGGTTTATGCTGAGGTTGTTGACGCAGGTTGGTGGGGTACGTCGCTTTATACTCCCCCCCCCCCGTCTCATTGTGTTGGCGTATACTAACTGGGTTTTGATACAGTGGTCCGTCGCCCGCGCTCAACTCCATCTCGCCCAGATGCGCAGGGAATTGAAAAGCTACCGCACTCACGCTTACCTCCCCGGCACCGTCGTCTACGGTCGTAAACCCCTCTCCGGTTGACCTTACAAAAAAAATCGTCTTGTCCAGTTCTAGCCATCGCGAGCGATCTTTCTTTTTTTTGGGGGGGGGGGGGCCTTGTTGGCGACTTCACGTTTCACTCTTGTACCAAATAGCCGTCCACACACTTTTGATGATACCCGCATTTTTGATACTTGCAAATAGTTTGTTTGAATTTAGAATTATCTTTTATACCGTGTGTGTGCTTTGCTTTGGGCATATCTTCCTGGATGTGAATGTATTGCATGTATGTATGTATGGACTAGACAGTAGTAGAAGTCTTTACTATTTCCAGCGTGTAATGCGAATCGTTGACCGAGACCACCCACCGTCCGTGGATGTACGACGGTGCGATGCAATGCGATGCCATGCTGCGATGCAAGGGTACGCGCAAGGCCATCCCTGTCCTTATCCCTGCCCATACCCCCTATCCTTGTTCGTGGAAGGGTGGAGCCGCCCGATCTGATCCGATCTAGTTCAGTCCCGTCTGCTTTTCCACACCACACCATTTATTACTTCTTTTTTAGAGAGCAGAGAAGAGAAGAAGAGAGGAAAGAGAGAAGAGAACAGAATAGAATAGCATAGCATAGCATAGATACAACCTCTGTCTTCACCGTTCACCGTTCACCGTTTACCGTTCTCTGCATAGTTCAGCAATACAAGACAAGACAACATGTGTATTTCCGTCTCTTGCATGTGTTTGCGAGATAGATGGGTAAGACAAGCAAAAACGCCTACTTCCCCCTTAATACTTTGAATCTCCACCTCGATACGTTATTCTGCACAACTTGTGCGAAATACCACCCCATCCAACGCACAGCTTGATTTGTTTGTTCGTTTGTTTGTTTGCGTACTCCTATTCATGTTTCGATGATACTGAATGAAATGAAATGGAAAGGGAAGGAAACGGAAGACGTGGAGAATAAGGATTGCTGGAATGTTGGGCTGTGCGTGGTGTTTGCCTGAGCAACGCGGTGTCGGTGTTGGGGAGGAGGTACATGCTCGGTTGGTTGGACGTGTGATGTGTGATGTGTGATATAGAGGAGGTGGGGTTGGTTGAACACACCACGCCCTTGCTTAAAGACAAGAGGATCTGGTAGGCGATTGGTAGGCAAATCGAGGGCTCGTTTTTGCCGGCATGTTATCTTTCGTCAATGCACAGTAATGATCTGAGAGAGAAGCGCTTTCTAAACGTTGGTGTTGATCTTGGATTATATATCTGGGAGGAGGTATGCTATTAATCCGCCTGCACGCTTAGCACAAGACGAATGGAGTGTATTGAGGGAGAGGGGGTGTTTAGACAGGAGTGTAAGTTAAGGTAAGGTAGGGCGAGACAAGAGAAAAAAAGAGGTGTGAATTTGTTCTCTAATCGTTTATGCGCCCGTATAAGAAAGATAACGGGAAAGAAAGGAAGGAAGGAAGAAAGGAAAACAGTTACCTGACGACTATTTCCGTCAACACAACACATCAACAACCCACCAACAAACCAACCAAGCAAAAAGCACATATCATCTCCGCGATTGAAGTGAATATAGAAAAAAGAAAAGGAAGAAAAGAAATAGTCGTAGATAAATAAACAGCTAAATATAAACACCCACCAACCCAGCGCCTACCCCCCTGTCCTCACCCTCCGCCACCCCCTCCCACCCCCCCAATGCTCCCTCCAAACATAAACCCCCGCATTCGCCACCCCCACAAACTGCGTAGAACATTGCATAACAACCAACACCCGACTCGACACGCCCATCGCCTCCGCGACACGATTCGCAATACCCGGGATCCACAGGATGAAATACGTGACGGGGTACATGTTCAGCAGGGTCATGCGCCATATCTCGCGGTCGAGACTGGATTTTGGGGGGGAGGCTGTTGCGGTTGTTCGTGTTGTTTGTTGGCGGGCGGTGGTGGTGGTGGTGATGGGGGATGCTGGTTCGGAGTGTATGTGTGCGAGGGGTTGTTTCTCTACATCGGGTGGTGGGCATGATTTTTCGAAGTCGAGGGTTGGGGATGTGGGGGAGGGGCAGGACGGGAGTGGTTGGAAACCTGATGGGGAGGGGCGGTCGAGAGTGCGGCTTGAGAGGTTGAGGTGCGTGGATAGTCTGGCTGAGAGGCGTACGCTGCTGTTGTTCCGGCGATGAGCGTGCGGTTCATGAGAGGCGGATGGATGGCGGGCGTGGATTGAGATGGCGGGCGTGCTGCAGCCACTCAGCACGGCGTTGTCGCGGCGGTGCGGTGCGCGTCCTAGGTCTGCGAACTCTTCGTCGTCGTCGTCGTCTTCGTCTATGTCGATGATTGCTGATCTGGAGAGCTCCTGCGGCTTGAGTCGGCGCGACATGTACACGAAGACGAAGATGTATGTGCAGAATGTGATGATGAGGATGGCGAAGCGCCAGGCGTGAGATAGGGTGTAGCGCTGGCGGGGGTGGTGGGCGGTGATCCAACACCAGTTCCCCGACACGGGGCCGTAGTATTCTTTGCGCCAGGCGTGAATGCCTGGATTGGTGTTAATAAACATATCGACATGCTGGAATATGTACTTTGGCGAGCTCACTAGTGTAAGAAGGGATGATCCAGATCGATAGACATATCAACGTTTTGGTTGTAGTCGATGCGTAGATGATGAAGGAGCGAAGTTGAATGGTAAGGAGTGTGATGATGGAGATGGCCAGGATGGAGAAATCAACGGCCTAGAGCGATTCGTCAGTATGTGTGTATATTGATTGACATTCACAGACTCACCTGCACCGAAAACTGCCCTGCCCATCCATTGAAGTTGCACGCTGCGCCTGGAGAGAGCGGTTTCTTCAACACATTGGCAGCGATTCCCGAGACCGAGTTGTTCAGCGCGTTCAGAAACTCTGATCCATCAGTCAGTCGATCCAACGTACCGAAACACCGATAAAAGAAACATACCAGCAACTGTAAGATTGAGTATCAGCGCATATCGAAAGTCTCTCTTCCTCCCACCCGCAAATATCCAAAGCAAGATGACAGTCGAGGTAGCCGCCAGCGACAGAAGACTGCCAATCAGAGTCGGAATGGAACTCGCCGGGTCCCAGACCAGACTGTCTGATGGTGAAAGAACAACGTCACGCTCAGCGCGGTTCATAGTTGATGTTCGTCAATACATGAACATAAAAGGTAAAGAACGTACAAGGTCGGATAGGCAGGCGACGTCTGGATTCGAGGTCAAAGATGCAAGGAGGCGTGGTTGTTATGTGAAGGTAATCTGAGCCTGAACGCTAAACCGCATGTCAGATTGCCAACGAATGTCATTGTGTCAGGCCCAGGCCAGGATGTCGAGAGCAAAGATGAAACACGGAAGAGGGTTGACGTGGTTTATGGCGGAGTCCATGTCTTGACGTTTTGCGCAGCCTCAAAATCAAGCCAAGATGGTGCTGATATTCTTTTAGACGAGCACTTATTCACCACGTGAGGGAATATAGAGGGCACGAGATGAAGCTCAACTCGTATTGTCTCATTGCAATGGCTTGAGGGTTTACAGCGCAAATCGGCCCGTCTCACACGATGCGACTCAGCAAATCTTCCTTTTCAAGATTAGCAAGCACCTTCATGAATTGAACGCGAACAGAGCAGCCATGCGGCCCGATTGAAATCCCCCACAAGCCTGGACCCGAGTCCCTGTTGCCGGATGGGCCGAGCGTGATGTTGCATGATACTCGCACCTGTTCAAAGTCAATGGCGAGGCTGCCGTGAGGATGGTCCGCCTCGAGCCAACAAAAAACACAAGGCAGTCACCTCGCAATCAAGACAACAGACATGCTTGTCGTGTATGGCAGGGTGAAATTCAAGAATTGAGATAAGAGGTGCAGAGCGCCAAGAGAATGCGGTCGCGGCTTCCCCAGAGTAACCCTGCGAGATAACAAACACAAAGATGAGACTTTTGAAGGGACTTCCGGCCGGAGAGCAATGAATCAATTGTCAGTACTTCCTGGTGCTGCAAAGAGCCCAATTCGTCTATCTTTTTGGTATCGCAAATTTTCAAAGCTCCGTTCCCATGCACGTACGCCAGCCCAATGTTCCCTTGGTGATCCAAAACGCGTTGTCCAGTGTGTGGGGTGAACCGTATCGTCCTTGTCATGTTGATCGTGGATAAATCAGCGCCAGGGTCTGACGCGATCGAGGAGATTGCAGGTCCCCCGCTACATGTTGTGAATACGCGTCTATCGAAGTCGGTCCTCTGTTTGTCGAGTCAGCTTTTCTGATCTTGCAGGGACAGCATGTCTGTCTTACGCATCTTGGTCAACTCGTCCAGGATGGACTGGAGCGTGTCAGTGTCCATCTTCTCAGCCAGAGACGGGATGAGGGTTGTCGCCTCCTCGGCTGAATCGGGGGTAAGTGTTCCTAGCATGCAGTCAGATGCTGCTCGGTTGTGCAGGCGACCATCATGTACCTAGTAGTGCCTTTTCGACAGTTGTGAGCTCGGGGTGGGTGTCGAAGAGCGCGGCGATGGAGTGCAAGCTCTCCTCCTGCTTATATCGCGAGAAGTTGTCGAGGTAGTCGAGGAATTGCGTGATGATTCTGCGTGGAGTTTAGTTGTGGAGCTATTACAAGCCCTTCTTGTCTCGACCTACATATTGTCATTGTAGATTCTATCGCGCAACGGATTGTTTTCGGGGTCCTTCTTCTTCCTGGCTTCGTGAACGGCAGTGACGACGGCACGCGCCTCGGACACGGACAGGGCATGCACATCCTCAAAGTCGTCACCCAGCTTGATCTCGTTGCCCATCTCCTCCTCCTGCTGCACTGGCGGCTTGGGTCGCGAGACGAGTCGCGGGGCGATCCATACGGGAGGCTGTGCCGCTCTGGCAGGCGCCTCTTGCCTCTCTTCATCCATGGTGGGCAGATGTTGGATTTGATTGAAGGCAGGACGCGGTCGTGACGCAGAGGCCTTGTCTAGTGGATTTCTTTATTTTCAGTTACGGCGCGTATATCCCAACACTTGCAAGAGCACTCTATCATCCACACAGGTGGTGCGGTCTTGGACGACGTGTGGTGGGCTTGCGCAGGGCGTTCTGGAGGTGTCCAAAGCTGGCTGGATACGGCGTGCCAAGACATTGAGCACGCGCCCACGGCAAGCATTGGGTTGAATTTCCCCGGACCGGCGAGGAGACGCGGCGCATGGGAGGCATGTCTGGCGCAGGCTGCGAGAAGCCTCAGGCAGATGGCTAACGCTATGACGTGTGCGTTGGGGCATTGTGTGGAGTGGGATGCTGAAATGCAATGTGTGGCGAGCGCAAGTGACGGCTGCCCTCGTCTGTAGCAGCACGACGATATGACCAAGGCAGGGCGAGCAAGGCGAATAAGGCGCAGGTGCTCTGCTGACCTCGATGCTCCCACACCCGAAGCTCTGACTAGAGCAAGGTCGAGGTTCACGGGGCGTTTAGGCCTGAATGGCCATGGCAATGCTGCCGGCGTCGTCGAAGAGTGGAGTGGCGCGAAAGAGGTTTAGCTCATGTAGACGTGGAGTGGACTTAGGTAGCCTCGTAGACATAGGTGCACAGTGACACTCCCGACGATACCTTACGCCCCCCACGAGTGCTACCTCACGCCGCCTCGCCGTCTCGAGTCCTGACTGCGCTGCAACGACCTGCCACTCCGCCATCTCGTCGCTCCCAGGGGCCCCAATTCGACTGATTCGACTCCCCCGTGGCTCGCCGGGTACCGTTCACCGCACTTCGATCCCCTTTCCGCAATCCTGCGCGCCGAAGGAACGCACTTTGTTGGGCTCTCACTCGCGCATTTAGTAGCCGCTCTCACCCAGCTGCAGTCCCTCGACACCACCACCAGCAGCACGACCCCCTGGCAGAGCGCCGTCGCCAACCCACCTCCGCCTCTTCGTCGCCCGCCAACGCCGACATTCGCATCGCTGCACGTCCTCGACGGTCTCCCCCCGCGCGCTCCTATACTATTCCTCCACGCATCCGTGGCGCGTTCTCGGTACCAGCCGGCGCCAAAGTGTGCCGATCCGTGCGCTCCTCGACTCTCGGCTGCGGCCCACACTCGCGCACGCACATCTGTACCGAGGAAGCAATCGCCAGCGCTGGCGTAACTGGACATGGGCACTCCGGCGGAGGGACCGCCACCAATGGACGACCAAGACGCGTCTCAGCAGCACCTGTACGAGGAGCGCCACAATGGCCTCGAGAGACAGCCAACCAACCCGCTCGACATGCACTCCTCGCAGACGCTCGCCCCGCAGAATCGCACAGACGCGCCCGCGAGGTCCATGACTGACCCCGACCAGCACCAGCAGAACCTGCCCATACCAAAGCCGAAGCGCAGTGGGAAGATATGCGGAAAGTGTGGAGAAGGACTGACGGGACAATTTGTGAGAGCGCTGGGCGACACGTTCCATTTGGAGTGCTTTACTTGTCACGTAAGCTTGCCGTGTTCTATGCAACCCCCAACGAAACAAGCAATCGTACTGACTGGCGTCTAGGACTGCAGCAAGATTGTCGCCTCCAAGTTCTTCCCCGTCCCCGAGAAGCCGCCAGGGCAATATCCATTGTGCGAAACCGACTACTTTCGACGCCTCGATCTGCTTTGCTTCGAATGCGGCCAAGCCCTCCGCGGGTCCTACATCACGGCCTTGGACCGCAAATACCACATTGAGCATTTCACGTGCTCTGTATGCCCCACTGTGTTTGGAGCCTCCGACAGCTACTACGAGCACGAGGGCAGCGTCTACTGCCACTACCATTACTCGACCACCTTTGCCCAGCGATGCAATGGCTGTCAGACGTCCATTCTGAAGCAATTTGTGGAAATATTCCGCAATGGGCAGAACCAGCACTGGCACCCAGAATGCTACATGATTCACAAATATTGGAATGTTCGCCTCCACTCGACAGGCCAGCCTGTCATTGAATCAATGCATAATGCCGATAGCGAAGCGACAGATGCAGTTCGCGAGACTGTGCGCCAGCAAGAAGAGGAAATCGAGGCAAAAGTCAATTGGATTTGGAAGACGCTTTCAGCTTTTGAGGAGAAATCCGCCACATGCATTTCCGACATGCTGCTCCACGTGAGCAACGGTGCATATGTCGACGGCGTCATGGCTGCCAAAAAATTCATTGTTCATGTTGATCTATTATTCACCGCCGCAGACGACCTCGACGCACAACTGGTTGCGAAGACCCCCAAAGGTCTGACCTACTCCCGCGAGTCAAAGCTGCTATGCAAGAAAGTGGTCGCCTTCTTTGCACTCCTCACGCAGTCTCAAGGAACGGGTGTCCGGCGCCTGGGCGTTACCCAAGAACTGCTGTCCCTAGTTACCGGTCTGGCGCATTATTTGAAGCTTTTGATCCGGATTTGTCTGCAGGGTGCTTTGAAGCTAGAACGCGAAACACGGAGCTCTAACGGCCTAACCAACTTCCTCACACAGGTCAACTCGCTCGATGCCCGCTTGGAAGACGAAGCACAGAAAGACCAGGCAGCCGAGTCTGCGCTGCTGGTTCCCAGATGGGCTGATGCGTGTCCAATATGCGATGCTCAAGTCGAAGACAAGTGCTTACACCTGGATAATATGTCGTTCAACTACAACTGCATGGTCTGTCGTGGTTGCAACGCTGACCTACGCAACAATGTCCACAATGCGTATTGGAGCAAGAGCAAGCACAGAATGTTCTGTCCAGCCTGCGCGGCCGCAACGTCGGATGCAGTAAATGGGTTTGAGCAAGTCACAAAACTGCGGCAGTACATCCATTTGCTAAAGGTGGCTCATGCCCGCCTCATGGCAACGCTGCGCTCCAGTGGTGCGCTACCTCACACTTCTGGTAAGTTGGTCCCTCTTCACGAAAAACATTGCTCATCATCACCTCTCATCTTGACACGACTCAGATTTCTCACGTCGCTTCCGAGATTACATTCGTCCGACTAATGACTTGTAGATGACCCTAATTTGAGCGGTTACGACTCCTCACAAGGGCATCGTCTAGGCGATGCCGAGTCCGACCTCCAGCCGCCACACTTGCGAGCTGACGCTCGTTCCAAGTCATACGGAGGTTCAACTACGAATGGCAGTCAAGTAAGCTCCAATGCTGCTTACGAGCAATCCATGTCCGACATCAAGCGCCTGCGGTCGACACGGCTAGACAAGCATCTGTCCAACACAATGAAGAAAGCACGGGCGTCGCGAATCATCGACGGCCCTCAAGGCTTCGAAATAGGAGGCGATAATCAATCACGAGGTGGTATGCAAATCGTTCAGGAACGCGACGGCCAACATGATCTCGACAATGTCACTCTTGCTGTCAATTCGCTCGCGTTGGATGATATCGCACGCATGGCGGCTTTGGAACAGCAACGTGAACAACGCCCCAATGCATTTCGCGCGGGTGGTGATGCTCTGATTGGGCGGGATCAGGCAAGGGTCCTGAACGGTCACCGTCGCGACTTTTCCGGAGCTCAGGAACTGCAACAGATGTCTGAGCTTCGATCGCGCACATACTTCTCCGAACTATCACCTTTGGAGTACTTCAAACTCAAGGGTCTTGCTGTGCTCCAGCTAGGCCTCCTTCTGGATGACAACCAATACAATCAGGGAGAACTTCTTGATCTCATAGAAACTAAGAAAAACAACTTCTGGGGCAAAATAGGACTTGGAAAAGCGTTCAAGGCCGATAAGGGCAAATCGAAAAAAGGCAATCCCGTCACGGAGAAGCCGGTTTCCGACAGAGCCACATTCAGACAGCCGCTCGAGTACCTTGTAGAAAAATACGCGGCGGAATGCACAGAGGGTGTGGGCCCGGGTGCCCTGAAAGTCCCGGCTTTGCTACAAGACGCCACTACTGCCATGAGGAGCATGGATATGTCAGTAGAAGGCGTGTTTCGAAAGAACGGAAATTTGAAGGCTTTGCGAGAACTAGAAGAGGAAGTTGACGCGAAAGGCGTGGAACAAATCGACCTCAACACGAAGAACCCTGTCATGCTGGCAAATCTCCTCAAACGATTTTTGAGATTGATGCCAGAGCCGGTGATGACGTTGAAACTATATCGGCTCTTCATGACAGCCAACGGTGAGCATTAAGACTGGAATTTCCTTGAAGTCGACTAACATATATAGATATCGAGGACGAGGTGCAAAGAAAGAAGGTCCTTCACCTGATCCTGTGCTTATTACCCAAGGCTCACCGGGATACCATGGAGGTCTTGTTCTGCTTTCTCAACTGGGTCTCATCCTTCCACACTGTTGACGAAGAATCGGGTAACAAGATGGACACGTGGAATATTGCTACGGTCATTGCGCCGAACATCCTACGAGAGAACAACGACAAAGAGATGAGGAACGTCGACCAAGGCGCAGTCAAGGTCGTGTTTGATCTCATCGAGAACAACGATGAGTTTTCAGAGGTATTACTCGCTGATCACATTCGACATTTTTCATAGCTGACTTGGATTAGGTGCCACCCGAGATCATGGAACTTCTTAGCGACGACAGCTCATCTGAGATGTCTGCAAAAGAGATCATGCGACAATGGGAATCGAGAGGCAAGGCCCCTGCCACAACCGCTCTTTCGACGTCGCCAAACAACCAAAACGGACCGGCGAAGAGAAAGGATGAGCGCAACGCACCACAGATCACACAAGCGGATAACAACCCACAAGCCCACGCAGGCGAGTCGTCCGTCAGACACATCGGGCCAGGCGTCCACAGCTTCGGATCGCCTCCCAACGCCAGCAACAGTCCCCTCCATCAGCAGAGAGAGGGCACGCCAAGCAGTGCTTACGGCCCACATCCACAGGCATCCACAGAAAGCCATCGAACAGCTTCACCCCACCGCCACAGCTACCGCTCTCCCGCCTTTCAAAAACAATCACAAATCGGCACCGCAGGCGCGGGGTAACCGTCCGATGGCTTTGCTTTGTCTTTGCTGTGTCATTGCACAACACATTGGAGTAACACAGGCGTTTGACCAGCTTTCCACCCATCATTTTTCCATCTTCTTCTCAAACAACGAGAGCCACAAGCATATATATAAGAGACAGAAAGAAAAGCGTCATCACTTTTCTTTCTCTCTCCGGCCATATATATACCTGGAAACCCTCTTCTTTTTTCTTTTTTCTGTGCCGCGTTCTCCATTCATTCCCCGGACCTGATGGTCCATGTTCTTTTTGTGCCGCGTTGGTTTGTGGCGACGGCTTTTCTCAACGCTTGGGTGGCTGGCTGGCTGGTTGGCGGCAGGTGATGCGTGCACCCCCTTTTGGCATCCAATGGCGTTTTGAACTTACCTTGTGCATGTCTGGTTGGTTGATTGATTGGCTGCCCTTATGATTTTCTTGGCTGGGCCTGTTTTTGCATGTATGCATGGAAGGAAGAGGTGAATGGGTGGGTAGAAGGGGAGGAGGGACAAGAGACGCGGGTGGTTGGACAAGCCGGGTCGGGTTGGGTATGGATGCGGATAATGTGCGTGGGATTGGGGTCGTAGTCGTTGGGAGACGTGACGTGACGTTGATGGGAGGGTTGTGTTTACATACCATTCAAGGAGCCTATCTCGCTGCATGTGCGTACTTTGTGGTACCCTTTTCACTGGTTGTTAGCCTGGGATTTGAGGCGCTCCTTCTTCTTTTCTGCTTCATATTCATATTCATATTCATTGCTCTTGGCAGGGCCTGCTATGTCCGTTTTGCGGTACTGCGTTTACTTGGCTGTATACTTTACCGTATTTACTACTTATTACATACACCTCGTTCACTTGGTCGTTACACTTCTTCTTACCTCGTCCCCACGCATGGCTTCATACCGCATGGCTTTTCAAGCTTCACAACAGTGGCCCTACGAGACTCACGTGTCCCTCGCGCTCTTTTCAACCACGGAGGACCCGCCAACCCCTAGAAGCTTTACCTCACAGAAGCCGTGCGGAGCAACCAAGCGCTGCACACAACACATCTACAGACGAAGCCCCAGTACGGCAAACCACCGCACCCCTACACCCCGATGATCTACTTCCTCACCGCGACCAAAAACAGCCTCGGATACCCCAACAGAACCTTCCCATCCACCAACTCCTTATACTCCCCCTTCAACCTCTCCTCATACTCGCTCAAAAACGCCGTCTTAGCCCCCTCATCATCCCCCATGCGCTGCAAATACGGCTGCAACCCCGTCCCCTTAACCCACTCGACAATCGCGCCCGCATCGCTCAAAACATGATAATACTCCGTACGCCAGATATCAACACTCGCCGCAAGCGGAGCCAGCGCATCATAAAATGCCTCTGGCCGCTCAATAGGATCGAGATCCGGACGCGCCTGGTCCTCCAAATTGCCCACCTGCGCATCCACGAAGTGACTCGACCACGGCTTCCCGGGCAGCAGGGCAGTAGTGCGCATCAGCGTATGCGACGGCGCATCGTAATTATCCGGGACCTGAATCGCCAGGACAGCACCACTCTGCAGCTCCTTGAACAGCTTCGCCAGCGCAGGGATCCGCGCCCCGCTCCGCAACCAGTGAAACACCGCGTTGCTAAACAACAGATCGACCTTCTGCCCCGCAGGCGCGCGCCACGTCCCCACATCCCCGGCTTCGAACTCGGCGCCCGCGGCCGTCAGACGAGCGTCCTCGCGTGCCTGCCGCAGCATGTCCGCTGAGCTGTCGATGCCTGTCGCGCGCGCCCCGGGGAACGCGTCGAGCAGGACTTGTGTGCTGTTTCCTGGGCCGCAGCCGAGGTCGTAGATGCGTGGTGTGGGCGTGGATAGGTGGGGGGTTACGCGCCGGAGCAGGTCGTGTACGGGGCGGGTGCGTTCGTTGCCGAATTTTAGGTATTGGGCTGCGGACCAGTCTTTTTTTTGGGCGGGGGACGTCATGGTGGGTGAAGTGGTGAAGGGGCGGCGGGGTGGGGAGTGTGGAAGGAGGTGGTGAGGTGCTGGGATGGGAGTTTTGTGAATTGGGTGGCGGGTTATGCGCAGAACAGAGCGCGGGATCATGTCGTGTCTGGCGGTATTATACTCTTGAATAATCAGTAGGTAAAACTTGAATCCCCTACTTGTAGTTTGACAGTGGAGAAAGGTGAGGCTTGTATGTGGTACTTGTACCTGAGAGCTAGTGGGGTAAAGCTCCCGGAGGTTGGCTTATATCCGCGTCTACTGCGGGGGAATCCAGGGTTCACAGGTTCGCAGCCTAGGTACTTTCGCTCCATCTCTACCCATCGGGACTCCAGGTCATGCAAGACGAATGAGTCATATCGGAACCACGGCACTTGTTTTGGGATCAGCGTCAGTGAGGATGGGTACATATATTCTTGCTATTCAAGTTGATACTTTGCTATTACGAGGACGTCTATACAGCATCTAGGTACGCGGGAACTGGAGGAACAGAAGAAAAAACGCTTAGGACAGGGTAAAACAAAGAATCTACAATCACGCCATAGCGCCGCCAGTCTTGCCAGCCGTAGCGTCAGCATGCACAGTAACCTTATCGCTATACTCGATGGGCATACTATGATCATCCGGGATACGCGCGCTTACACTAACGACCAGGACGGTCAGCGCCTCGAGATCCGACTGCAGAATCGCTGTCCCATTGCCCTAACATATCATGTCAGTAACGCATCCGTTGATACAAGGGAAACGACAAGCAACATACCGAGTACACCTTCCACACCAACCTGTCCCGCAGGTACGGCACAACATCCGTCGAGTTCAGACTCGCCAGCTTCCCCGCCGCAACCTGATCCAGCAGACTGGCCGTCAAACCTACGTTGCCTCTCAGTGTCTTTGCAAGAATAGGAGCGCGTTTCGCTTTCTTCTGCGTTTGGCGGATCTTTCGTTTCGACCTGTTGTGGTCCATGGGCATGAGTTTCGTCCACATGCCCACATCGACGACGGGATCCGACGAGTTATCCCCCGCGAGCGAAAAGCGCGCGACGAAAGTAGGCGGCAGGTCGAGCGCAGCGGCCTTCGTAGTGATGGTCCAGTCGGTGAAAGTAGTGTTCTTAGCGGACTGGGCGTGGATTCCAAGAGTTCCGACTCTATCGCTTTCGTCTGTTAGCATCGCCTTTACGCTTCCGCCGTAGAGCCGCGAGATGGTGGCTGTGATGGCTGCGCGGTACTCAGCGCTTGAGGCGTAGTTCCACGGCTGCGTCTCGGGATATGCGTAGCCGAAGATGGCGGTGTTACGGGCGTCGTTTGTTGTCCAGAAGCTGGTTGCGTTTCTGCGGAAAGGGAGGAGGGGCGTGGTTCCGTCTACGACAGTGTTGTCCTCGAGGAAGACGTTTCCTGAGTCGAAGATGTTTTGTGGTGTTAGATAGCGGGTGGGATCCTGCGCCTGGTACAGCGCAAACAGTCGGTCTACGTTTCTGTTGTGGACGTTAGTAGACCCCCTCAACGAAGGACTTGCAGATATACGACTTACGCGTGGTGCAACCAGAAGAGCGGCTCGTACGATGAGTAGTCCAAAGGCCACATATGCCCTTGCCCTCCGTTACTGTCAGAGTAGCCGCCACCGATAGTCCCATGGATCCAGCCATGAACTTCTTCAATCGCCTGTCCAAACGAATTGTACGTAGTCTCCCTGAAGGCCTTCTCGAGCCCATCTAGGAAAACACGTTGCAGATCTACAAAATCAGCCGCAAACATATAATTCCGTGACGGCGCAGACGGGTCATTTTCTGTCTGCGGCCATCGAACTGTTTCGTTCATCTGCGCCCACTACAAGAATTTGTCAGCCACAGCCCCCTACATACCAGTTCAAAACGACGTACCTTTGAATCAAAATCCCCAGGGACAAGAGGGTGGAATTTGTACGAATACAACGGGTTTCGTATGACTTTTGTGATGCGATCCATGTCGACTATTGTAATGGCGGGCGTCATGAAGAAATCTGGCACGGGGCCGCCTTTGTCTCCCAACCCCCAGTCCCAGTATGGGATGCGAAATGAGTTTGCAGCAGCGCTGTAGCGCTGTCTTTGGTCTGCTGGAGCTCCCAAGGCGATTCTCTGAATATGTTTGTACAGTTCTTGTTCGAACAGAGCGAGGTATGGGCGATGCCACCCAAAAAATAGGGAGTTGCCATGCGGACAGTAGCCAGCAGTGCCGACCTTGTGTGTTAGACCTGGCGCGTTTTCCCACACTTTGTAAGGCCTGCCATGCACACCTTGACAGTGAAGTTAGTCTTGGCTGTCCCAATCCATCAGACCCTTGACATACCAGCAATGCGGTAAAAAGATAGCGAATCATTCTGATTGGCCCGCTGAAGCGAATCCAGTCCACGCAGGTACAGATTCCATTGGTCTGGAAAGTTATCTTTCAAATCGCGAATATCGCGGCGAACTGGAACATTGCCTGCGGACGTATTAGTTCCACTGTGTCCTAATATACATGGCAAAAAGGTGGATACCATTCGCATCTCGCCACGCAATCCCTGAGACTATACCACCGGTACTAGACTGTCTCGGCCACAGTCCTTGCCCCTGGTTGGTGGGTGTGCAAGTTGCCCATGAAGCAAGAAGTATCGAAGTTACGCAACGGGTGAACCACGAATCGCGCATGGTGAATAACGTATGAATTCTGGTCAGAGTGGACGCTGCCCGAGATCTATATGCGGAGTACTGCGGGGTCAGTCATGTCATGTCGTGATGTGATGTTTGTTCAAGAGCGGTAACCAGGACGACAAAGTGGAGCTGTACCAGTAGGGAATATCCAATGTGCATTGACGGACGCCTAGAGTGAAAAGTCGCGACACCACTAAAGCTGCTTAGACTCGCTCGTGAAAGAAAAAAGACATGTGTCGATCTGCAATGTAGGCATGGCCCAGTCCATGCATTCTATATCTAGTATGGCTCTGACGCCCTGTGGCGACGCGGAACTAGAAATTCTGATTGCTAGTGGGACGTACCTGTTAGAAGTGTGTGTGGTTGCAAACGAGCGACAGAGTTATGAGCTGGTAAGGCTTGAGATATAAATAAAAGTAGATGATTTAGAAACGGGTGATTGATATGTGACGCGTGCGCTTCCTGAGCGAACGACCCCGACTGAAAGGTTAAAAGACTGTAACTGAAACAAACCAATGAACGTACTGTCAATAAAACCCAATTCGAGAAAAAAATGAAGTCAACGTTGAGATGGCGACACGTCGGTGAAGAGGTCTTGGATGCCAAACGCTGGCGTGGAGGGGATCGTGCTTTCCGAATTGTAGCTTTGTGCCTCCTTCCCTAATAGACGGTGAGTCGTCATGGAGGTACAGGAACACTCCCTGCGCTAGTCCGCTGAAGCTCTTGTGCGCATAACCCACTGTATAACCTTTGCGCCCTATAGGAACGGGTGTATCTTACCGAAAAAAGAAATACAGGGATTGCAGTCAATACCGCCTTCGCATAGAGGGTTTGCTGGGATCACATTAGACTCATGAACACTGAACACAAGACGACCTTCTAGAGAAAATGATTGTTCGTGACCAGTCCCATCCGAGTAAGTAGTGTTGCACGATGCGTGGAAAGACAGGCCTATTGCGTGGTACATCCTTGCATGCCAAAGCATGTTTGGCAATGAGTTATCAAGAAAATGACCAGGTTGGATCAATACGATGGTGTGGGACCAAAAGGTCGAGCTCAGATATTAGACGTGATGTCTTGTAGGTGAAAAGCTAGGGGGTGGAAGTGTATGAACCAAAAAAAGAAACCCTTAGCAACGTTACTCGCAACCGTGTCGCTAGCCGGCTTGATAAATTTGTACGCCCGTGCGACCCCAAAAAGGACCTCCGATATGATACCCGCCTCGGCAGTTCGTGATTCGTGCTATTCGTATCATCATTAACCTTGAGGGCTTCGCTTTCGATGTTGTTCGCGCCAATCCTCTACCTCTAAACGTCGTTGAAGCCAAGATACCTCTTCTCCAGGCCTTTGTCAGCGACAGCCCAACCCCAGGCACGTCCAGCCTCGCCGTGCCATAGCGCTGATGGATCATCCGATTTTTCGAGCATACCATCCTTCTCCATTGACTTGATCTCGTGGCCCGTGGTGTAAGTCATGAAGTGATCGAATTGTTTGCCTTCCAGGGCAAGTGCATTGCCCGTAATACCGTGGCACAAACAGGGCTCTTTAGTCAGAAGACCTCTCTCCCATATACAATCCCGGGCTTTGGCAATCACTTTGTCGATGCGGTCGTGGAGGCCAGGGAAGTATTTGCGGATCGGAAGGAGCGAGCCAACGACACCCGAGGCACCGTGACAGAATTGTACAAGTCGGTCGCGTCCCGGTGGAAGTGACGATGGGAAATTCCCGCTGTCGTACTGGTAGCTGAGAAGAGCTCCCAACTCGGCCTCGAGCTTTGGTGCCCAGGAGGGGTCGGTGAGGACAATTTGCATGATGATTCCTATCGCGCCATGTACGGCACCCACATAAGTCTTGCCGTGCCATTTCCAAGGACGAGGGCTTGCGACGATGTTCTCGATCACCTCATCAGCAGTGTCTTCGATAAGCTCTGTGATCTCTTTGTTGTTGGTGAAGGCACCGCGGACAAACCGAAGGAGGTATAAGTATCCGGCACGGCCATAGAGCCATTCATTTGAAGTTTCTGGCTCGAGCATGACTGCGGCATGATCGCAAAGTTCCCTGACAGTGTCCGGATCTTTCGCCGTCACGGCGTACAGGGCAAGGAGCGACATGATGTCGTTTGACACGCCGCATTTGCTTGGAGAGGGTGCCGGAAACTTCTTGATGTTTGCCTGTGCTTGCTCGAGGTAAGCAGCGGACCATGTGTTTAGAGGATAGTCTTCCAATTTCAGATCCGGGTACAGGTCGTGGAGAGAGTATAGGAGGAAGGCAACAGAGATAGGCCCATAGTAGAGGCCACCTCCAGGCGATATATGATGCGGAGGATGCTTCTTGATTAGTCGGTCAAGAGATGCTAGCAATTGCTTGTGAGGATCTCTTCGTGCCAGCGGAGCGTCGTTACGGAAATAGCGGGGTATCGACGGCTCCGCCTGCTCTGCGGGTGCTGATTTCCCCTCAGGCATGGTAGTCAAAACGTGCTGAACAGTTCCAAGTGGGCGGGAGTGTGTTGTAGAAGGGCTGGCAAAAGATAGAAGAAGGATAGAGTGTGAGATGTCCCGACTTCTCGAATATGACGTCAGCGGGGCAATGTTTCTAGGTCGTTCAGGTGGCGCCAGATCAGGATCACGTCGGAGCAGAGGAAATCGAGGAGAGGAAGCTCGCACAGGTGACAGTTGGCTTACAGCCGTTTAGAGAGTGGGTAAATCGAGTTCTGATTCGCGAGACGCTTGTTAGCGCGGCCCTAGGACATTCACATGTCACGAGACCAATCGAACTACTGCGTTCTTAGAACGAACACCTGTTTCGATATGGAACGTCAAGCATGTAATTGAGACAACATTTGTTGTTGTGTTAAGCTTTTTCTACATATAAAGTACCCATACCTAGGATATCAACAGCTAATGACGTTTGCGACTCTTTCAAAGGGCTTTTCCAAGTGCATACTGACCTTAAATTGGAACAAGGTACTCCGTCGGCTAAAGATGTATTGGAGTGATCGAATTAGCAGGAAGCTCTGCAATGTGTCGGATTGGTGATTCGCCCAATTCAGCTGCGGGAACAACCTCTCTGCTGTCAAGTTGCTGCGGCTGTGGTTGACTGGTACTAAAAATTGTCTTATGTTGTGGTTTTCTCTCTTCCTCCTCCTGCTGTGGTAATACACTGTCTACTACTCGTCAGTCAAGGCATATCTCGGATACGAAGTTTGGGTTCCTGTCTCACACTTACTGTGGAGTTGCTTCGACATGTCGCTGCCAACGTATGGAGAAGGGAATGTCGCTGCTCTGCGCATTTTCGTACGCTTCCTCCGCCGTAGACAAAAGAAAATCAACAACGCTGTGGCAATCAAAACGACGACGCCTACGACGGGACCAACGATTGCCGCTATAGGAATGGAATGTCCGTGTTGAGCGCGTGTATCAGGTTCCGGGGTGACTGTCGACGATTTGGACGTCTCTAACGGGTCATGGGTGATGGTGACAAATACTGTTTGCCCTGCAGATAACGAAGCGATGGTCTCCAATGGTGGTGCTGATGTTGTTACTGCGTCTTTTGTTCGAGATCCAGATGCCGACGAACTTGACATAGAATCTGGTCGTGAGAAGCTGCGAGTTGAAGGCACTGACAGTACAGGGTTTGCACTCAAAGCTTCCTAAAGTCAGGATCGGCAACGTAAATTCACGGTTGGTTCGAAACTAAAGACAGAGGGAGTTTCTGTTGGTCTCTTGCGTGTATCTGATTCCCAGCCATTCCACGAAGACAACCAGGGAGGAGAAGATTTGCCGTACTTACAGTTGTTAGGAGTACGATCTTTCTCCTTGGGACAGCCACCGTTCGGCATACACGGGTCTTCCAGACAACATCCACGAAACCCATTACTACAGCTGTAGAAGACTCCTCCGTTTGGACAATCGGTACTTCGTATTTCGGCGCGCATTGCGCGAGCTTGTTTCGGCGAGTGTTGGCTAATGGCCTGGTATCAAGGATGTGGAAGAAGAGAGCCAGATTGTGAGACATGATGGGAACGCTCTTGGGGACTTTTGTCTAACCGATTGCCATGACATCGTTGAGGCGCAATTTCCACATGAAGCGGGAGTGGTATACGCAAACAAAGCGTTTTCATGCAAGGGGTTAGCTTCTGCGTGGCTTTTGCCGTGATTCAAAACATTCTTCCAGATGCGGCGATGGAGCTAGACAAGTACCAGTCTGCCCGAGTGTCTATATACGGAAGACGGATTACTTGACTGACGTCGCAGTTGGTGTTGGTGTTGTGGTAGGATACTTAATGCTCTCAGTAGACAGCCATCGCGTTGGACTTCAGCCATACGATCGTGAACCACGAGCAGGTGCTTGTCCTCAGGCGGCTGATCTTGTTCCACGAGGAATGTCAATCTTCCCGAAACCAAGACTGGAAGAAACCAGACTGGCAACCGATGCATGCAAACTATCGCCTGAGAAGTGGTGCTTGGTTAATTCTTCCAACCCTAGCTGCAATTTCAGAGTCACGAGTGTTGAGCGGTTGTCATGGCAGGCAGCGTAGGCCAGATTAAAGAAGGCAAGGATCAGTGAATTGGGAGACAGAAGCAAATATGCAATTTACCTAAAAACATGATGTAGCTGCCATCGTTCCTGGAACCTCTGCCTCTAGTCGTTGCAACGACCAAGCGACCACCTGGACATCATACAGATGCAAGAACCACCCCACATCAAAAGGAAAGTCATCTACAATAACGACGCTCATTGTAGAACAGTGTTGTAGTCTGAGGTGGCGCGCATGGGGATCTGCACGTGCGTAACGCATAGACCATGCACGCATTTGTTATCTTATAAATCAGGCGCTCCCTAAATTACACGCTAACAAAACTCCTACAAACTCCTAAGCTAATTATAGTAGTAGTATAAAGTTAAACTTCTATACTAATAAAAGTATACTTATATAATATATAGTAAATATATTTATAAAGTATTTAAAAAAAAATAGTTTCTAGCTTAATATATCTTTAATTTAAATACTATTTTTTATTTAAATTACTATAACTATTATATAACTACTATAACTCTCTACTTTTAGTATATAATTAGATTAATATAAATATAAATCTTATTTACTTTATTTATATATATTAAAATAATACTATACCTAAAGGAGATATATATACTATTAAAAACTATATATTTTTAAGTCTATATATACCTACTTACTTAAAAAATAAGTAATATAATATTTTATAAAGTTCTATAAAGTTTTAAGAACTTTAAAGATATTTCTTAAATACATTTAAACTTTTTTAAAGTTATAAGCTAATATTATTATACTATAATAGATACTTACTTTAGTAATAGTTAAGCTTATATATAGTATATAGCTAAGCTTTTTTAAACTTTTTTAAATACTTTTAAACTTCTTTAAACTTCTATAAACTTTAAGTAAAAAAATATACTAAGTATAAAAAAAAAAAAAACTAAATATAAAAGTACTAATAAGTAAATAAAGTAGGGTTATACTTATATAGCTATAACTACTTATACTACTATAAAAGCTTATAATACTATACTATTATTAACTTATATTATTTATATTTTAGATATAAGTCTTACTAAATTACTTATAGTAATTAATAAAGCTTAAAAGTATAGTAATTACTAATTATAAAAAAAGGTAGTATAAGTATATTTATAGTATATACTTTCTTATAGATATACTACTATTTTAGTTTTATAAAATTAGTAAGTTTATATACTATAATAGCTTATCTTTAGTTTAAGTAATATACTTTTTATTACTTAAACTAGTTTTAGAAAGAGTTTTATATTCTATATATATTTTATCTTAATAAGTTTAATAACTCTTTAGTTAATACTATTAATAAAGCTAAAAAATAAGTAGTTAAAAGATATTAAATAACTTAATAGCTTATATTTATATTTAATTAATATAAAAATGCAAAGTATAAAAAAGGTATTACTAGCTTAAGTTATAAATAGTAAGTTTACCTATATTCTATTAAGTCTAAAGTAAGTATTAGGCTAGTTATTTTAAAATATACTTAAGTATATAAATCTTTAGGCTAAGATTAGTTTAGTTATAATAAATAAGTATTATTTTATTTTATAGTAAAAGAAGTTCTATATAGCCTTTATACTTTTAAAAGAACTATAGATAATACTTTACTAAAATATTACCTAGTTTAAATACTTTATAATACTTAATATAGTAGCTAAAGATAAAGTTTTAAGTATAGCTAAAATTTATAAAGTTAATAACTATATATACTAAACTAAGGTAATCTAGATATCTATTAACTAGCTTAATATTAGTTTATATATTATACTAATACCCTAAAAGAAGCTAGAATTATAAGATATACTATACTTTCTACTTAGTAATATAGTTTATAGTAAAGATATAATACTAGGCGTAATACTAAAAATAATTATATTTATTAATAGTTATATATTAATATAAGAAGTAGCTATATAAGTAATAGAAATTCTTTTTTAAATATTAACTAGTTTTTTAACTAACTTTTAGTATAGTATATCTCTATTAGTAGCTAAGTATAGTATTTTTAATATAGTCTAAGTATTTACTATAAATATATTTTAGTATAATTATAATATTATATATAAAGAGTTCTTAAAGCTATTATCTATAGTCTATATTATATCTATAATAATAAGCCTTAGTATAAGTATTAATATACCTAATATATTATATATTATTACTTAAAAGATTCTAATTACTAAAAGTTTTATAAATTTATAGTAATAGCTTAAGTATAGTAGCTATAGCCTATAATAGGCTAGGCCTAGTAGAACCTTAGTAAGTAAAGCCTTAGAGCTTAGTAGACCTTATAATAGGCTAGGCCTAGTAGAACCTTAGTAAGTAAAGCCTTAGAGCTTAGTAGGCCTAACTACTAATACCTACACTACTACCTATACTTTAGAAACTCTTAGTACGCTACTAGAAAAACTATAAGTAAAGAAAAACTAGTACTATAAATCTTTAGTAAATTTATCTAATTTATACTAGTAACTACTCTTAGAGTTAGCTCCTTATATTTAAATTTACTTATAAAAATACTTCTAGGTATTAGAAGTACCTTAGAAACTACTAGCAGTATATCTATTAAAAGAGATACTATAGTTACTAAGCTAAAAGTAAAAGCTTTACAGCTAGTAAAGATAGGCTTTATATAGAAAGTAATTAAAATACGCTTATAAACTATAGTAGAATAAAACCTAAATAAATAAAAAGTTTTATTAAAACTTTAGCTAGTTTTCTAAAGTCTTTAAAAGAATAAATAATAAATAATAAGGTTTATAAATATACTAATCTTAATAGCTAGCCTATTATTAGTAGTAGCTAGGAAATAACTAATTAAAGAATCTAATAAAGAGTCCTCCTTAAAAGAACTATATAATATACTATAGATACTAACCTAAGAGATTAACCTCTTTAAAAATAATATACTACTAGTACCTACTCTTTCTAAATAGTAAGTTTAATAATTAAAGAAAGAGGTACGTAGACTAAGAGTAGTCCTAGAACTAACTTTTTTTATAGTAACTATTAAGACCTATATAAAAAACTTTAAGATACTAGATTCTAACTACTTTAATAGTAACTAGAAGGACTATTAAAGGTTCTAAACCTAGATAAACTATAAGCTAGAATATAATATTAAAGAACTAGAATTAGGCCCTAAGTATATCTTTAACTAACTAAAGAGGCTAATAGCTAGTATTACTTTATTATAAATAAATTATAATAAGATAAGTACTATAGAAGGCTTATAAATATTTCTAAATAAATAATTTATAAATAACTTATATACTAAGAGAGCTAGGTAAAAACTCTAAACTTTTTAGTAGAAGAAGCTTTTCTTATAATACTTTAATATAGAATTTATAAGGCTAGCCTTTAAAGTAGAAAAGAAAAGTAATACTAATAACTTAAAAATAAGGTATCTTAGTACTTTATAGCTTAACCTATAAAATTAAATAATATCTATAAAAGTACTAAGTAACTAAACTATCTAGTTACTAATAACTTAAGTAGTTACTATTAAGAAAAATCTTTTTAAGGCTAAGATTAGGTCTACCTTCTTATATATAAAGTCTTTTTAGAATAACTTTATAGATTAGAAACTCTTAAAAGCTTACTTTAGTTAGGTAATTAAAGTAATAAGTAAAACTTAGAATAGAGCTAAATAAGCTTCTAAAAAAGAGTACTCTCTTTATAAAGAAAAAAACTTATATCTATATTATAAAAAATCTAAGTACTATACTAATAAGTACTTTCTAGTGCTAGCTAATTATTTAGCTTAAGCTACCTTTATAGTAACTTATAACCTAGAGGAGTCTTTAGATAAAGAAATAGTAAGTTTAGAAAACTAGAAACTTCTATATATAGATATAAGTAGAAGTATAAGAAACTAGATTAAAAAGAAGAATAGTTCTTATTATTTTAGTAAAACTAGCTAGATAAGAAACTATTAACTATCTATATAATTATAAATAATATAGCTATAGTATCTACTTTAATTAATACTAGCTACTTAACTTATTTAGTTATCTTTTCTAAGTTTATAAAAAATAATAATCTAAAGTATACTATAATTATATAAAGACTTATTATTAAAGTAGAAAGAAAGTCCTTTTAGATAAAAGTAGCTATCTAAATATAGATAGATATAGATAGCTATAAAGAAGAAATATAAGCTTATAAACTAGAAAAAAATAAAAAGTATAACTTTATCTTAAAAAAACTCTAGATAGATAGATACTAAGTAACGCTAGTACTAGTAAAGAAATCTATATTTATCTATAGTAGCTAGACTAAAATATAAAGCTAAGAAAGTAGAATACCTATAGAAGTCCTTAAAGCTATTAGTATATAGGTATATTTAGCCTAGGCTAAATAATTTTAAAAAAATAAATAGATCTAACTATATTCTACTTTTATAGTAAATATTAAAAAAGTACTAAAGAAAAAGAAAATAGTTAACTTTTAAAAAAAATTACTAAGCTATCTATAAAGTAAGTTTAAAACTTTCTTAAGAAAGAAGGCTAATAAGCTTA